CCCCCCCATCCAGGGTGCTTGTTTTCCTGGGGGATGCCCCACTCCTGTCCAGCCCTCCTGAGCCACCTCATTCTAGGCCCCTGCCCCCAGCTGTCTTTCCTGGCGACAGCTCATCCCAGCCCTACCTCTGGGGACCTGGCACCGGAAGGAGAATCTCCTGGAATGGGGTCTGGGGGAGGGGGTGGCACATGAAAACAGAGAAGGAGCCGAAGTCGTGGGAAAAAATGAGGAATTCTAAAGGGCTCTCTGGCATCTGGTCTCCTGGAGTGGGAGACGGAGGCTGTGCAGGACGAGGGTGGGGCCAGGGCAATAAGGGTGGGGTTGCAGGGTCAGAAAGCTGAGAGGCCAGGCTGGCTGTCTAGAAAGGCCTGGTTCCCCTCTGCTGGATGTGTGGCCCACTCCTGCCACGTCACGGGTGCACCTCTTCCTGCAGCGTCTCCTGGCCTTTTTCTCACGGTTCCATAGATCCTGTGTCTCCCCCTGTCTCCCCGTTCCGCGGTACATCCAACAGCTAAGCCCAGATTCTTTCCACTCTTCCTCAGTCACTCAGCGACCTGTCGTCTTAATTTCTCCTCTCTTTCTGGAGTCCATCCTTCGGGATTCTTTCTTCTCTGTCTCCCGCAGACACGCCTCTCCCTTCCTGTCCCTACCTGTCCTCTCCTGCCCTCCTCTCTTTGAGAAACAAGTCCTGGAGCACACTCTCAGCTGTCCCCTCAAGACCCTCCCCCTGTGATTGTTCCATTCTGTTACCCCAGAACCCCCTCCCCAGATTCTAGATTTCCCCAACGACAGCTGATAGCATCAGCTGAACGGCTGTGGGCAGTGGTTACCAGGGCAACAGTAAGGCCTGCCTAGGTAGCAAGTGCACAGAGGTGGAGAGGGGGCAGGGCTGGGGCCAGGGTCAGCTGGCAGGGCTCCCTCACCTGCTCCCAGGGGTCACACATGAACCAGACTCTGCTCTGAGCCCAGAGGGAACCAAAAGGCCAGTGACAGGGTCCCGGAGTGGCGGGTGGTTTTCCCAGTGTCTCTGCTCCCACAGTTCTAAGGAGGGGTCTGGGCAGGCCCTGGCAATAGCTTCTCTTTTGAAGACTCTGCCCTGGAGAGAGAATTGCGTCCTTCCCACTAACCACCGCTGTGCTCTGTCCCCCGGAGATCTGGGTTACGGAAAGGCCAGCCGGGTCTCTTGTCCTGAGGACCTGGTCTCCTGAATCCTCCCATTCTGTCCTCCCCAGGAGAGGGTTAATCCTTGGGTAACCAATTCTGGCATCCAGCCCACACACCCCTCCCCTTCGCCATCCATCTATGGGGCTTTCACACCCTGGGGGGGGGGGTGGTGCAGGGACCCCAGAGGCCTGGCTGGTGGTGGGTGATGAGTGGGAGAGGCAGGTGCTTGGAGAAGCCAAGTGCTGTCACCCCTTCTGTGATCAGTAGAGCCCCCTCCCCCGTCCCCTACGCAAACGCTGGCTGTTTAGGCGGCTCGAGGGGCTGTGTGTGAGCATGAGTGCTGCTGGGCAGGGGGTGGGTGTGGGAAAGGGAAAAAGGCCAGCGGCTGGCTGAGTCTGCTTCCGATTCTGCTTCGTCATGAGGCCCGGTTAATGCTCCTCTGTTTGGAATGGATTGAGCTGCAGCGAGCAGGCGAGGTGAAGAGCCGACACACAGACACACACCCGCAGGCCAGCGGCCACACGCTATCAGCTGGAGGTGGGGAGGGTGCAGGAGCGGGGAGCTGCGGCCCGCCCTGCCGCCGTCTGCCTGGCTTGCCCACCCGCGCACACGCCCTCCTGCCTGGCCAGGCATCGAGATCCGGGATCAGCGGAGGAGTAGGGTGGGGGCGGGAGTGGGGGCCCAGAGGGTAGGTCCCCTCCTTCCCCAGCTCCCCACCCACTCGCCCACCCCAAGCCGGCTTTTATCTGGTTATTTATGCTCTGGGAAAGCACGCTGGGCTCCTGGAAGAGTCTCCTATTACCTGGACTGTGAGCAAAAGCTGCAACCCGGGATCTGCGTCTGCCCCTGACTGCTTGGGGCCTCAGAGCATCTGGGCCTCAGTGTCTGGGAAGAGGTAGGTGGCAGGACCCCCAGTACCCACGCTCCTTTCCCCTCCCTGCCTCTCTTCTCCTCTGTGGGCATTTTGGCCACAGCACCTGCCTTGAAGTGAGGTTCTGAGTGGGGGCAGGAGTCCCTGGGGAGGGGTCAGCTATGGCCCCTTGTTCAGTGGAAGAATGGGCTGGACCCTGAGGCTAGCTGGGTTTGGTCTGATCCACCTCCTTCTGATTTGGGGGGCTGGGGTGAGCCACGGTATCACCGAGTAGCCCCTTTCCCCTAGCTATGCTGGCCAGAAGTCTCAATGATGGTGGGTTGTGGGGAGTGGGGTGAGTCGCCTGGGTGGGTTGGAGAGCTTTCTGTCTTTGCTGAATGATGGGAGGGGAGTGGGGGTTGCCGGTCTGCCAGTCTCCTGCCACCTTGCCACAGATGCTCGAGAGGGGAGTAGTTCGCTCGCTCTCGGAAGCCTGAGTGCCATTGGTGTGGGGCCTGCTCCTTGGGGGAGGGGTCCAAGGAGCCCCCTTCCAGCCCTTAGCTGGCCAGGCTAGGTGGCAGGGCGTGGCCGCAGGCCTGACTATGGTGCTCTCCTGGTGTGGGCTGTAGAAATGCTTGAAGGGACAGTGGGTAGGGGGTGGGGAGCTGAGCAGACGCAAAGGCACCCAAGGAGGATCAGAAGTATCCCCTTGCTAGCTCGGCCCCTCCCTCTTCCTGGCAGGCCAGGCTCCCTGCCCTTTGGGGGGCAGAGTGTTTCCTTCTGGGGGGCCTGGGTTGCCAGGATGCAAGAGTCAGGGGAGCAAGGATAGGTATGGGAAAAGTCTTGCTTTGGGAAGGAGGGCACACAGGGAGTGCCCACGGGATGGGTGAGGGGGGCTCTGTGTGCCTTGCCAGGCCCGTGCTTGGGGAGGGGGTGTCAGCGCATGGGCCAGGTGGCTGTGGCGTGGAGAACAGGAGACAAGGTGGGGGTGTGAGCGGGTGTCAGAGGCGCCGCACGGCAGCGTGGGGGGCCTTGATGGGAGAATGGGGGCGTGATCTTGCAAGCAGGTGTTTGCTCTGCCACTGCTTTCCAGCGGGGGCTGCCTGTGCAGGTGAAGTGCCTGTGCCCCTAAGGGGGAGTCTGCCCTCCACGCTGCTAGCCTTGCCAGGGCCACGTGTCCAACACCTGAGCCAAACTGTCCACCTCGGGGGGCAGACCTGAGGAATTCCTCCTTCGGAACTTCTGCGTGTATGTAAAGAGCAGAATAGGGATGCCCCCGGGATTCAGGAAACTGAATTTGGGAGGCCATCTTCCTTGCATCTCCCTCAGCCCTATCCATCCATTGGGTTAAAGTGACACCACCAGCTGCCAACAGGACCAGCTGTAAATAGAGGCCAGAGCAGGAACAAGCTGAGGACCAAGCAAACCTGAGGGGCTGGGGGACACAGAAAGAGGAGCCTCTTCAGAGCTGGGGGTGTAGATTGAGGGTACAGAAACAGGAGACAGCAAAAAGAAACCAGAAGATGAGATGCATATTTAGGGGAACAGGGAGGAAGGGGGAGCCTAGGGCCGGGCCCTGCTGTCATCAGAAGTAAGGGGCAGCAGGACCTTGAGCAGCTGGGGTCCCAAGACGGGACCCAGATTTTGGGCCCTCCTGCCCCTGCGTGATGATGCTTCATCAGAGTGTGAGAGGGTGCTGCTGACGGTTGGCATTAGAGGAACCCCAACCCTACTCCTAGCAGATACAGCAGGGCTTAAAAATGGGGGTGGGGAAGAAGAATAAAATGAGAGGACGGGGTGGGTACTCCAACAGTCTTAAAAAGGTGCAGGCGCAGGCTTGGCACAGGATGTTCCCATGAACCACCAGCCCAGGGTAGGGGGATCTGAGGAGCGACTGTGGGTGTCCCCCCCTACCCAAACACAGACACAGACCCCAGGCTCAGGGCCTCCCCTGTCGGGCCAGGCTGCTCTGGCCCACCCTTCCCCTCTCCACCCTGGGATGCTGTTTTGGAAACTGGTGACCTAGCTGGATCCTGCCTTTATTTCTGGCATTGAGTTGTTGCCACAGTAACTGCGGGGGTGGGGCCGGGAGAGGGAGAGGGTGAAAGGGAAACAGAGTGAGGGAAGAAAGATGAAGAAAGGAAGGAAAAAGGGGACGGAAGGCAGAAAGAGCGGGATGGGACTCAGAGACGGGGTGAAGCAGGCAGGGACTGTAAAGGAAACTGGTGAAAAAGGAGAGGCGTAGAATCGTGCCCACCTGACCCCCAGCATACGGGGACAGCCTGCCCATTTCGTAACCCGTTTACTGTCTGCACAGCCAGCCTCCAGCCTGGCTTGTCCCTGCCCCAAGGCACAGAGCCCGTATGCCAACCCCCCAACCCCCACCCCCAGCCTCTCTGCTCCTGGTCCACAGGCCAGTTCAGCGAGCAGGATTTTGGTGGCTCCGCAGTATAAGGTTAGCGCTCAGGACCCCAAATCCCAAGTCCATATTAAAGTGGGGTCTTTGGGGACCCACGGAAAAGAATATTCATTGGCTTCGACCCGAGATAGACCTGGGTAGGAATTCCAGCTTGGCTTTTATGGGGAGGTGCGGGGGTAGAGGCGGGGGCAGTTGGCAAGTCAGTCTCTCAGCCATATACTCATCGCCTAATGGGGAGACGTGAGCTTGTGTGAAGCAAGAGAGGATGGGTGCAAGTCCCTGGCCCAGAGCAAGTGGTGGCTGGTTTAGAACCCGGGCGGGGGAAGGCTGACTAGAGGATCCAGACCGCGGGTCTGCCGGTCGAGCCTCCATTTCTCAAAGCCCAGGGAGCCCAGGCAGGTTCAGCTCCTACCTGGAACCGGCCCCCGCGGGGATGGATGGGCGGGCCTTATCACCCAGGCCACGCGGCTCTAGTTGCTATGGAGATGGGGCGGGTGGTCTGAGGTGGGGCCGGGCTGGGGGCTTAGATAAGGCGCAGCTGCACAGCTGGGGGAGGGTGGGGCGGAGATGGAAGGACTGGGAGCCGCGGCGCAGCTGAGCGGGCCCTTCCGCCACCTGGGCTGGCCTTCCTCCGCGGCGCTTTCCCTTTCCTCCCATGGCGCCCTCCCTTCCTGCTGCAGCCTGCCCTCTTGTCCGTACACCCGAGGCAGCCGGGAGCTGGGAGTGCACGTGCAGAGACGAGGGGTGTGCACGGGCTGGGAGCAGGTGCGGATCGAGCAGGGGCAGCTGGTGCGGACGCGCGAGGAAACTGGCTTTGGGAGGGGCTACGCGTGGGTGTAGTAAGCGGTTCGCGGGCGTAAGACGTGATTTGAGAGAAGCCACGAGAACACTCCCAGCGCCCCTCCCTTCCCCTCGCCCTTCCCTCCCCCCACGCCCCTGCTCCACTACAAAACATTTTCTCTGCTGGCTTAATATTTCACTAGAAAGACCTTCACTCCTTAAGGTTAGTCCCGAATTAACGTGCCATGTCCCCGAAAGGGTAAGATATTAACAATTGCCGCAGAGTGCTGGCCAACTCACCAGGCGCTGGTGTGCAGGTTCCTGAAAGAAGGTGGCTCAGGGCAGAAGGCGAGGAAACCCAGCCCAGGGGATGAGTGGGGCTCTGTGCAGAAGGGGCCGGGGCCAGAGCGCGGACATCGTTATTCTGAATCATTTGAGTGGCTGCGCCTGTAGGACGGTGTTTGTGCAGGGGAGAGTTGGGGTGGGGGGTCTCAGTTCAAGACCTTGTAACCTGTGAGCTGGCTCACGGTGGCCCCCTCCCCTCACTGTCTGGGCAGTGACCACGCTGATGGGCAGTCACTGCCCCACGCTGTAGCCACCCACAAATGGTGTTCAAGGGAAGGTCGCCCGGGCCACCCCCAGGTTCAGCCTGAGGCTCCAGGACACGTAGCAGTTCTGTTCTTCCAGCTGCTCAGCTGTCCACAGGCCCCACCATGACCCTTACAGTCCTTTCTACTGTCTTCAGCCTCTGCCTAACCCCCCTGGGCTTCCCTGTGGCTCAGATGGTAAAGAATTCTCCTGCAGTGCAGGAGACCAGGGTTGCATCCCTGGGTGGGGAAGATCCCCTGGAGGAGGAATGACAATCTACTCCTGTATTCTTGCCTGGAGGATCCCACTGACAGAGAAGCCTGGGGGGCTACAGTCCGTGGGGTCACAAAGAGTCTGAGACAACTGAGAGACTAACCCTTTCACTTTCAACCCACGTGTTGGGTCTGCATATGCCCTTCTCTCTCAATTTTCCTGGGAAAATAGAAGCTTCCTGTTTGGGATCAGCTCCCTCTAAATGCCCCTAGGCTGCAGTTACCAACTTCCCTTTCTTCTCCTTTCAGAGGAGCCGTATTTGTTTCTCTCTACCCTTCACTTTCCACTGAGAGCCTTTACTCCTCACTCCCTACTGCCTGCAAACCTGTTCAAGTCTCCCTTTTCCTGAAAAACCTTCAGCCAGGCTCACTTCCTCCATAGTTACTCTCCTGCCTCCTGCCTGCCTATCACACTTCTCAGAACTGCTCCTCCCTGGCCTATGCATCCTGGTCACCTGCACCCCTCTGCCCTGCACCCCATTCCAACAAGGAGGCTTCACACTTTGCGGATGCTCTCAGAGGCTGCCCGGCCTTGACAGCCAGACTGGTGAGCTGTCTCTCCTGTCCACACATCTTCCCTTCTATGGGCAATGGACTCTGGGCTTCTCAACATTCTCTCTCTTTTAAAAAAAAAAAAAAATTTAAAAAATACATATATATTTGGCTACACTAGGTTTCAGTTGCAGCATGCAGGATCGTTAGTTGTAGAATGTTCCCTGACCAGGACCCCAGCTTTGGGAATGTAGAGTCTTAGCCACCAGACCACTAGGGAAGTTCCTTCATGACATTCTTTCTCAACCCCTCTTTCCCTCCCCAGATGCCTTTCTTTCCAGGTGGCATTCTTTCCAGTGGTAAAGCATCAGCCTGCAATGCAGGCAACTTGGGAGTCAGGGCTTCCATCCCTGGGTCGGGAAGATCCTCTAGAAAAGGAAATGGCAACCCACTCCAGTATTCTTGCCTGGAAAATCCCATGGACAGAGAAGCCTGGTGGGCTACAGCCTGTGGGGTTGCAGAGTCAGACACGACTGAGCATGAGCACACACCACGCTTTCTCTCAGTATTTATTGCACCTTCACTGGTTTTTTTTTTTTTTTTTACCTTCACTGTTTATATTACGACCTTTACTGAAAATTCAAAGAATCACTAGGTATACCCCTGCCCTCAGGGAGCTGGTTGTCCAGTTTTTGCCCTCATCTTCGCCCTCCCTTCAGGCCATCTCCAGCTCCTTTTTCCTTCTAGTCCATCCAGGTACTTCCCAGAGTGCTATTTTTGATCTTCTTTCTCCATTGGCAACCTCATGTGCGGACTACCACCTCTAGCTCAAATGGCTCCCAAATTTGTGTTTCCCGCAACTGCCCCCACCTCAGTAGCAGTATGGCAAGAAGTGAACTCATTGCCTCCCCTTCTGTCACTACCTGCTCCTCTGGTGGAGTTTTTCACATCCTGCCTCTTGGGCCCCAGGCCCCAGGCCAGCGCCTCACCATCCCCTGCCCGGACTGTGGCCATGACTTCCTGGCTGGTCCCTCTGTGGACCTTCTAATCCATCTCCCAGTCTGCAGCCAGACCCATTTCCCCAAAGCACTGCTTAGATCTGTCACTTCTTCATTTTGAAAAACAGTTCCTAAGCATTCCATAGTCCCAGTGGCCCACAGAATATATTCGAATCCTCTAGTCTAAACTCAAGGCATCTACAATCTGGTCCCCAGCCTCCTGCCCTAAAACTGTCTCAACCTCTTGAGCGCCACAGTTCAGCCATGTTTGCTGTCCCCAGACAGACATAGTGCTTCCCTGTGTCTCCAGTTTCCATCATGCTGCTATCTCTTCCAAGAATACCTTTTTAGTTTTTGCAGGATCTCCAATTAGGCACCTTTCAAGGCCTGCCTTAAATACCTCCTCTTCAAAGAAAGGATTTCCATTGCGGCTCAGTCAGCAAAGAATCTGCCTGCAATGTGTGAGATGCAGGTTTGATCCCTGGGGAGGGAAGATCCCCTGGAGAAGGAAATGGCAACCGACTCCAGTATTCTTGCTTAGAAAATCCCATGGACAGAGGAGCCTGGTGGGCTACAGACCATAGGGTAGCAAGAGTCAGACATAGCGACTAAAACCACCAACGCCTCTAAGAAAATTTTTTCCCCCATCTTGATACTTCATTAGGAGTTATTCCTCTCTCCTGTGACCTCTCACAGCCCCTTATACCATCTTGTTTTGTTTTGACTGCACCCCATAGTGTGTGGGATCCTAGTCCCTCAACCAGGGATTGAACCCTGGCCCTCAGCAGTGGGAGTGCAGAGCTCTAACCACTGCATCACCCCTTATACTATCTTATCTGGCATATGTAACGGTTTGTTTGCATGGGTATTATTTACACACATGGCCTCATTTCTGGAGGGGCAGCTTAGCCTCTTTGATTCATCATTCTGTTCTCCATAAGACAACAATGGTCTGTGGTCATTTCAGAATAGGTGCTCAAAGAGTATTTGGTAAATGGATGGATAAAACAATACACAACCGGGTGGGTAAGTGGATGGGTGGATGGATGGATGGGTAGGTGGGTGGATAGATGAGTGGTTGCCTCTAGGACTAAGTCAAGTGTATGGCTATTTTGATACTGTCTGTTAACAAGGTAAAGATGAAAGAGGAGTGAGAGGGTGGAGCTAATAGCTCTTTGAATATATACTAGAGTTTATTCTGGTTCTCAAACACCTAGTTAAAAGCATTACAAAGTAAGTGTTAAGAAAGCAAGAGAAAGATGAAGCTCTGGAATGGAGTCTTTCCACAGGCACTAAACACCTGGTATAACCCTGATGGTCAGAGTCTCGTCTTAGAAATGCTTGACTCTAAAATTCCCAAAAGGCTTAAGAAATGTGCAAATGCTAGTCTGTCCACACCATGAACCTGACACTGTACTGGGAAGGCACTGTGAATCATGCCAGTGCTGAAGACACAGTCATTTTCACCTCCACGACACTGGACGAGTTTTTAACCTCTCTGAACCTCTGTTTTCTCACCTGTAAAACAGGCCTACCTTATAGGGTTATTAGGGGGATGAAATAAAATAATCCTTGTAAAGCGTTTGTCAAAATACCCAGCTTGAATATTCAAAAAAATAATAGCTATTATTATTGTAGAAATTAGCAGTCATTCTAGTTAGCAAAAATACATGTCAGGCAACATATAATCAAGGACTGAGTTACGTGGTCTCTTTTTAAGTTCCACTGGAATTCAGACTAGAGTTTATCAGTGAGGACTAGAATAACTGGGAAGGTCTCCTAGAGGAGAAGTGTTAAGGATGATGCTTGAAGGATGGGTGGGATCTGGGAGAGGAGAATAGTTCAACGGCATGCACAAAAGCAGGGGAGTGGAAGTGAGCTGCCTCTGCTCAAGTAGGCAGTTTGGTAGTGGAGAGACAGTGAGAAATAGAATGGCCTGATATAAGAGTAACAGATAAGACTGGGAGCACTGATGACCTACCTTTCATGATCTTCTGTGGCAAAGAGTTGAAAAAGCCATCTAAATGCATCAGTCCTCAGGGAGATAGACATCATAATAGTTAACATTTTACATAGAATTTATATTTCAAACACTTCACATGTTATAACTTGCCTAATAATCAGAACAACCCTATAACACAGATATTGTGACCATCTTCCAGTTTACAGATGAGAATGTGAGTCACAGAGAGGGTAAGGAACTTGCCCAAGGTCACACAGCTTCTGAGTAGCCGAGTCTCCTCTCCCCAGGCACTCCAGGCCAGAGCCCACACTCTTAACCACCACGTGATTGCTGCCTGTTCCCTGTACCTCTTGTCGCCATCAGCTTTCTTCATTCTGTGGCTTACTGCCAGCAGCTGGAAGACAGTCCCACTGTCACCGTCACATTGGAAACTCAGCCAGGCATTAAATGAATGGTTATTATGTGTTCGGTCCAGGGGTGTGGGGGGAGGATGGGAGGATGGCTAATGAGTTACTGAGGAAGGAGACCTGGGCTGTGTCCCCAGGGGAGCTCCTAATCTTTACAGCAGACAGGACCCAGCTCCCCAGGATCCAGCCCGGAGGCCTTCCTGCTGAACAGGGGGCTCTGGCTTGCAGCAAAGTAGTAGCTCAGAGGGCAGCCTCAGCTCAGGCATTCGAAGATGGTAGGGAACTAGGATGTGGCCTTGGTCTCCAGGGCGCTTTGCTAAATGCCTGCACGTGAGCGTGCCCGCTGTACGCGACAGGCACAGGGCACTGTGGCTCCCCTCCCTCCTCTGGGCATGGACCCTCCCCAGGGCAGAGAGGCCCCAGTCCTGACCCGCCTGCTTCCCACCAAGCTGCCTTCGCTCTGTCCCTCCCTCCTGCTGTAGCCACCTCACAGTATTACTAAGACCTTCTGTGTTAAAGCTTTCTGAGGAGGCAGGGGACTTCCCTGTCAGTCCAGGGAAAGTTAAGCCTCTGTGCTTCCACCGCCCAGGGCATGGGTTCCATCCCCTGGTGGCGGAACTAAGATACTATATGCCATAATGTGGGGCAAAAAAATAAAAACAAAAAAACCACCACACCTTTCTGGGCTATGAGAGGATGTGGTACCTTGGACAGTAGGTTAAGCGGGAGAGGGGCAACGGCCCAAGAACAGAGCCAGGGAAAGGCCGCGGCAAGGGAGTGAGAGCCTGGGCCTGAAACTGACCACAGGCCAGCGGGCAGGTGGGAGGAAGCAGGGATGTGGAGACTGCGTTGGGAACGGCTGACCCCTGCCCTCATTTCCTTTCCAACCAGAGAACAATGGCTAAAAAACAAGTGCAGCCCGTCTCGCCGAGGGCCACAGGCAAGCTCGCTGTCCCCGCGGGCTGAGCGAATGAGAAAGCCGGAGCCCTGCTCCCCGGAGACACGCGGGGCCAGAGGTGCTGTCCTCGCCCCCGCCCTCGGAGATTGCCGGGTCAGCTGGCACGTTTTCCCTCCCCTTCCAGGCCCTGCACTAGGCCAGCAGCCTGGACAGTCACCGAGGGATGAGGGCGCCACAGCCTGGGGGAGCGCCCTCTCTGCTCTCGCGGCCCCGAGCGCGCAGCGCCCAGGAGCCGGACAGAGCCTGACGCCCGCGTCGTCTCCCCTCGCGCACGGGATCCCGAGAGTGATCCGACCGTCCACATCCTTGCTGCATGGAACGGCTGCAGAAGGTGCGCGGGGCTGCACCCACGCCGGGGCAGTGGGATGCTGGAGACAGAGGGGCACGCGGTTGGGGGCCCGGCTAACTGCAGAGGGTCAGGTCCGGGAGTCGAGGGCGCCACCTGGTGGCACCGCACCCCGGGGCCCCGGAGGCCTAGGGAAGCCCTCCCTGACCCCTGCCCGCTTGCTCCAGCCCGGCCCTGGCACCCACGCACATTCCCACCTGCCTGCCTTCTCGCTCTCCCCAGCAACCACTTACCTCCCCTGGGAGCGTCAGCTCCTCCCGAGACTCCAGTGTTCCCGGCTCTCCCTCCAGCATCGTGGTGAGTACCCGTCAGCCACCAGAGTCCTCAGGCTGGGAGGAGGGAGGAGTCGGGGACAGGCAGTGTGCTGGGCAGCCTCACTCAGACGATGGTCCTGCCAGGGCTGGCAAGCAGAGAAAGCCCCAGATCCAGAGAAGATTCCGCGTCCCCCTCCTGCTGGTCTGGTCCTGTCTCGTACCCAAAGTGCTAGCTGAAGGACTATCATTGTTTTAAGATCACTCTAGCATCACCGATTCAATGGACATGAGTTTGGGTAAACTCCGGGAGTTGGTGATGGACAGGGAGGCCTGGCGGGCTGCAGTCTATGGGGTCACAAAGAGTCAGATGCGACTGACCGACTGAACTGACTGAAAACCCCTCAGAGGCTGCCCTGGTGGCCCAGTCAGTAAAGAATTCGCCTGCAGTACAGGAGACCCAGGGTCGATTCCTGGGTCAGGAAGATCCCCTGGAGAAGGGAATGGTAACTCACTCCAGTATTCTTGCCTGGAGAATCCCACGGACAGAGGAGCCTGGTGGGCTTCAATCCATGGGATCACAAAGAGTCAGACACAATTGAGTGACTAACACTTTCACTTTAAATCCTTAGAATGAAAACAATAGAAAGGTTGACTTATAGGAGCTGATCTCTATCATGGCTGCCCATCTTCTTCCTAATAAATTGCAAATCGGGCTTGTAAGGTCAGTATTCTAGATGAGGCTTTTGGCTCCTCTGTTCCATGGGTACCATTTCCCCTCAGGCCAAGATGGACAATCAAGTGCTGGGCTATAAGGACTTGGCTGCCATCCCCAAGGACAAGGCCATCCTGGACATCGAGAGGCCTGACCTCATGATCTATGAGCCCCACTTTACCTATTCTCTGCTGGAACACGTGGAGCTGCCCAGAAGCCGGGAGGTAAAGGGTGGGAGGGTCCTCTTGGATGGGACTCGGGGCAAAGGCTCCCCCAGCCGCACTGGGTGGGGAACAGAATCCCTCTCACTTTCTCTCCTGGAGGCCAGATGCCAAAACAAGAAAGAGAACCTGTGCACGGGAATCACCAGTCAGTTGGTGACTGAGTGTTTGTACTGCAGAGCAGGCAGAGATGGATTGGCCTCCGGCTGGTTCCAGGTAGAGAGCAGGAGAGGCCATGTTTGAGTGATAGCAGCACAGAGTGGGGTCATGTAGGAATGGGGCACGAGTGGGCAGAAAGTGAGCAAATTTGTGGAAAGCATACAGAAGCCAGCAGATCAGAGGCTGACTTTAGCAACCTGAATTCGGAGGCTGGAAGTCCTAGCTGAGCGTGACCTGTGTTGATGGTGTGGTCTCAGTTTCCCCTCCTCCAAAACAGAAGTGATACCTTTACCAGTCCACCTCACCAGGTAGTCAAATGCATGAGATAGCTTGGGACAGGTATTTTGTAAACTGTATTGGAGAAGGGGGCCGTGTCATGGCTGAGCAGAGAGAGAGGGCCAGGCTATGGGGAGACTTAAATGCCTGGTGAGGGGCCCCAACTCCATCCTGGTTACTGTGGGTCTTGTCCCTTCCCGTCGTTGCTCGGCTCTGGGATCAGGGCCAGAGCCACCTTCAGCTGGCCCTCAGAGCACATGGACACTGCTCCAGAATCCTCAGCTTCTTCCACTTCTTCATGGGTCCTCGGGAAAGTTTCAGGACCCTCTTCAGGAACGAGAGGGTGGAGGGCCAGCCCTGAGAGCTGGCCAGGACTGAGAGAGAAGAGATGGCCCAGAAATCAGCTGAGCAATTGCAGGATTGGGCGTGGGGGAAGAAGTGGCCCACCTGGGGTCCTAGGGACGAGGGTTTAATCCCACCCTTGTGGCTCTGACCAGCCTCCTCTCCATTCACAGCGCTCGCTGTCACCCAAATCCACATCCCCCCCACCATCCCCAGAGGTGAGTCTGCCCCGTACCTGACTCTGGTCCAGCCCTGCTCTGATGGGGCTAACCCCTGCCCCACACACATCCAGACTGGGCTCGGCAGAACCTAGGGGGTGATGGAATCAGTGGACCTTGTCCTGTCACTGGCCAGCTCTGGGTCCATCTGTGTCTGACCCAAGATCTCATTTAATTCTTTCTCCTGGATCAGGCACCATTAGTAGATCAAGTCCTTGGATAGCCCTCCTCTGCCCTGGGGTTGGGGGCATGTGGGCTGCTGGGTGGGAGCACCAAGATAGTAGAAGGGGTCGGGTGGGGGACCTGGAGCTGCAGTGAACCACACTTCTGCTCCGCAGGTGTGGGCAGAGAGCCGGTCTCCTGGAACCCTCTCTCAGGCTTCAGCCCCCAGAACTGCTGGGACCCCCCGGACCAGCCTGCCCCATTTCCACCATCCTGGTAGGTCTACTGTCAGCATGGCTACATCCTTGCCCTAAGACCTCTTTTTTTCCTTCAGGAACTCAATTGCCTTACTCTCAGTCCCCTAATGTCTGGAGTATACGCACACGACCAGAACTGACTAACACTGGAACCCAGGCAGAGCTCCCAGACAGGGTGGACCTGTTGCATTTTCCCTCCCACCCAGACAGAAAAGTGTAAAACATCCCAATCCCTGAGGGAGGGATAGTTCTAGGATCTCCAGTTCTGTCTTGGCTCTTGGCAGGCCCCTGAGAACTTCCTGCCTCCTCCCAATCCATGTCTCCATTCCCTTCTCTGATCCAGCCTTCCCGTCATCATCACTGTCATCCCTCCCCATCATCACCACCTCCTTCTCATCCACTGTTGCTCCCTCTCCACAGAGACCACTCGCCCAGATTCCAATATCTACAAGAAACCCCCCATCTACAAGCAGAGAGGTGAGGGTTCCCCTGATGGACCAGCACCCACTTTCCCGCCACCTGCTGGGAGGCTGCACTGAGGGTGGGAGGGCCATAGGAGCAGAGATGTTCGTAACATGCCCTGTGCTCTTCCTCATGTATTCCTGTTGTATCCACGATCTTAAGGTGTGAAGAGGGAGACGTGAGCGAGTGGGGAGCTGGGGTTGGGGTTGGCCTGCTGAGCGGGGTATGCCTGGGCTGACCTTGACCTTCCCCCAACCCCTGCAGAGTCCACGGGAGGCAGCCCTCAAAGCAAGCACCCCATTGAGGACCTCATCATCGAATCCTCCAAGTTCCCTGCAGCCCAGCCTCCCGACCCCAACCAGCCGGCCAAGATCGAAACGGACTACTGGCCGTGCCCCCCATCACTGGCTGTTGTGGGTAGGAGAGACTGCTGGAGAGGGGAGAGGGAGGCCCAGACACTGCCTTGTAGGCCTGGCTGAAGCCCCAGGAACCCACCCCCACCCCCTGCACGAACCCTCCAGGCTCCTGCTCCCCCATCCCCAGCATTCCCATCCCTCTTGGTGTAAATGACCCTGCTTGTTAGTCATTCATTCACTTTCTGTTCATTTCTTTCACTGCTTAATAGACTTTTGTCAAATTTCTACTGTGTCTCAAGCTCTGTGATGAGAGTTCTGAAAAGAGAAAGAGAAATGAGATGAGGTCTTGGTCCCCAGTGACTTTTAAGTCTTGTGAGCATGTGTGGCCTACCCAGCTTCACTGCAAGACTAGAAAACACTGCTTTTATTTTAGCGATTTGTAGTGTTCCCTCCAAGGTGCAGCCCTAGAGACGCGAGTTGAGTGCGTGGTTGATTGACTGATGTGCCTGCTTTTGCCTGTGTCCCCCAGAGACAGAATGGCGGAAGCGGAAGGCATCGAGGAGGGGGGCCGAGGAGGAGGAGGAGGAGGACGACGACGACTCTGGGGAGGAGATGAAGGCACTCAGGGAGCGGCAGAGAGAAGAACTCAGTAAGGTAGCGTCTGGAGGCCCCCGCCCGCCTCCCTGTGTCGTCCTGGGCTTCCTTCCGACATGGCGGCTGGAGAGGAGCGAGGAGATCCTAAACCGGAAGTTCCCAGCCCTCTCAGAGCCTCGGAAGCCAGGGCATCCTTCCGGTGTTTTACTTTCTGATCTGAGTGCCTTCGTGTCTGAAGAGCATACTGGTCAGAACATGTGAGGAATTCCCCTTCTTCGCCAGGATGTCCGGCTATGCTTTGGAAGGGACACGGGGACTGCATGTCACCGTGGGGGCCGCCACTTATGATTCGGACCAAAAGCACAGGAAAGGACGGCGTGGACAGTGCCAGGCTTCCGCAGCCACAGTAGTTCCTGGGGCGAGGAGAAAGCAGTGAGCGGACTGCTGGCCGCCAAGCAGAGAGAAGGGGTCCAGGGAGCCACAGAAAGGCCGCTGCTGGCGACATGGGCTTGTGCTCTGGGCATTGTGGCCTGGGGTGCAGAGGTCCCTGGGGCAGAGTTAGCACCAAGCAGCTCTGCCTCCTTGCTCTCAAGGGTGACCAGACCCAATGTGGCAGCGCTTCCTACAAGAAGGACAGGCTCCACGGGCTCTGGGCTGCCAGCCAGCCCTTCAGGAACTCTGTCCCCGCTCCTGCCCATGCTACACCCAACTCCATACCTTTTGGAGAGGAGAAACAAGTATCAGGACTTCCCTGGCAGTCCAGTGGTTAAGACTCCATGCTGCCAATGCAAGGAGCACGGGTTCGATCCTTGGTCAGTGAACTAAGATCCCAGTTGCCATGCGGTGCAGTCAAAAAATTAAAAACAAAAAAAGAAACAAGTACTGACGCTGCCTTGGATCCATCTTCCTCTCTCCTTCCCCAGGTTACTTCCAACTTGGGAAAGATGATCTTGAAAGAAGAGATGGAAAAGACACTGCCTATCCGGAGGAAAACCCGCTCTCTGCCCGACCGGACACCCTTCCATACCTGTGAGTGTCCCCGCGGGGGCTCAGAATCGCCTGGCTAGGCCCTGAATCAACTACTCTGCTGAGTGTGTCCCACGCCCAGCCCTGGGCTACTGTGGGCGTACAGGATGGAGACGATTGCGGTGCTGGCTCAGGGTGCTCACACTCTCCTTAGGGCCAGAGCACCAGCAATGGAACAAAGTGAGATGACAAAAACTGGCATCAGTTACCACAGAATTAGCACACTTCATTTAATTCAACAAGCATTTATTGGGTGACTACCACATTCTTAGGTCTTCCCTGGTGGCTCAGAATGTGAAGAATCTGCTTGTAATACAGGAGACGCAGGAGATGCAGATTCTATCCCGGGGTTGGGAAGATCCCCTGGAGAAGGAATGGCAGACCACTCCACTATTCCTGCCTGGAGAATCCCCATGGACTGAGGAGCCTGGTACGCTACACAGTCCATGGGATCGCAAAGAGTGAGACACGACTGAGCGACTTAGCCCACACTCACGCTGAGCTCAGGGTGAGGCTCGGTGAGAGTGGCGAAGGTTCAGAACAGTTCCTGCTGGGAATGGGGGCTGGGTCGAGGGTTAGGGTCTGTAGTGATACTTATCCACATGCGGTGGGCTTCACTGATGGCTCGGAGCGCCACACAGGGTGGTGCTTCCCATAGCCTGTGGGCTGAAGGGGAGTGCAAGGTTGATACAGATTAGAGTTTTTTGTGTGTTTGTGTTTTAAAAAGAGGAGTTTTTTCTTCATATTAAATGTTTAAAATATTTAATTTATTTGGGTGTGCTGGGTTTTAGCAGCATCAGGCAGGATCTTCGATTTTCATTGTGGCATGCAGGATCATTAGTTGCAGCATGTGGGATCTAGTTCCCTGACCAGGGATCGAACTCAGGACCCCTGCATTTGGAGCATGAAGTCTTAGCCACTGGGCCACCAGGAAAGTCCGAGGGTTAGAGTTTTGTAAGGCAGGTGCTGAGGAACTAAGTGGCCAGATGAGCTGCTAAATGTGGATGGAAGTATGAAAGTAAAAGTGTTAGTCGCTCAATTGTATCCGACTCTTTGGGACCCCATGCACTGTAGCCCACCAGGTTCCTCTGTCCATGGGATTATCTAGGCAAGAATACTGGAGTGGGTTGCCATTCCCTCCTATAGGGGATCTTCTCAACCCAGGGATCAAACCTGGGTCTCCTGCATTGCAGGCAGAGTCTTTACCGTCTGAGCCACCAGGGAAATTCAAAATACTCAAGGTCATATGCCCAGTCACAGGTTGAAGGTCAGGGGAAAGTGGGCAATACAGATGCTGGAGGCCCCATGAGTCTGACCCGCAGATGCGCCAGGAACGTGGCTGATGGAAAACTTCAAACAAAGAAGGGCACTGTGAGCCCAAAGTGGGATACCCAGGCTTCAGTGTCAGGGTGAGGCCGCTGTGGGCAACAGGACCCAGGAACTGACCACTGGAAGGGGTTGCCTGCTGTGGGGCAGAGGTGAAGGTCACTGGGCTAGGGGACTCAAGGAACTGTTAAGGCTCATATATGGCTGGGCCATCCACCTGGTCATCGAACTGATATTTCAGCCGGATGATATTTCAGTGTGGGTGGGAAGAGTTATGGTAGCCGTTTTTAGAGAACGTAGAATAAATAGTTAAGGCCTGAAGAATGAGGCAGAAAGAGAGAGATGCCCCGGAGGTTGGATTCAGCCCTCATGCTCCACCAGGATTAACTAGTCAGGCAAAATTAGCTCTTTAATGTGCATTTGGCCTTGCAGAGTTGAGTAGCGAAACGCCTGCCTCAGCATCATTGTTGGCATCTCTGAACTTGTATGGGACCAATGGTCCTATGATAATAGTAGGTTACTAGCAAAGCTGATCAGCCTTGACAATTGCAGAATTATGAACAAGCTTGTCATTCTTTTTTAATAGTGACATTGAAAGTAATGGTCTCTTTCAAACATAAATAATCTATCTAGACATAATTAGGAGTAAAAATCTTATAGTTGAAATTCTGCTAGTCCATTGAGGGAGAAGTGCATACTTATTATCACAAAAGTGAAGTAACTTCAGTAATGAATGAAGGACTTCTCTGGCGGTCCCGTGGCTAGGACTCCACACTTCCAATGCAGGGGCCCCAGGTTCAATCCCTGGTCAGGGAACTAGATCCTACAGGCCATAACTAAAGCCTGGCACAGCTAAATAAATAAATATTATTTAAAAATAATTAATGAGGGTTGTGAAAACAGACAATTCTCTATATAAAAGTCAGAAGTATCAAGAGGAAAAAAACGAAGTTCCCCTAAACGCATTTTATTCTCACAAATTTCCAAATAACATATCTTATAAGAATGTTTGATGAAAACAAGTGTTCCTCACAATTTTGAGTCTATCCAGGCTAAACTTTCACGCACAAAGAAAATGCTGGTCAAAACAATTGCTATAGAATGCCAGCAATGTCTAGCCTCTGGAGATGAAGGAATTTTGAGATTAGCTCAAACAAAGAAGCTTTCTAGCAAACCTGTTACTGAAAACCAGTTTTCCTGAATTATAAGCTGTAGTTCTTGAAAGCTTAGTGGTGTTGAAAGTGAAAGTGAAAGTTGCTCAGTCATGTCCCACTCTTTTCGACCCCATGGTCTGTAGCCTGCCAGGCTCCTCTGTCCATAGCATTTTCCAGGCAAGAATACTGGTGTGGGTAGCCATTCCCTTCTTTAGGGCATCTTCCCAACCCAGGGATCAAACCCAGGTCTCCCGCATTGCAGGCGGATTCTTTACCATTTGAGCCACCAGGAACGCCCTTAGTGATATTATTAGATGTCTAATTGCAAGTGACATCTGTTCTGGGAATGTCAAGTCTAAGCGACTGCGGTGCCATCTAGCAGCTGACAGTGCTGGGAGAATGACTGCTTCTGTTTTATGACATCAGGCATTTGAAATTTGATTACTAACATTGCTAAACATGAAACTGTAATAATTCAATTCTTTTGACTTATTTTAGACTTATTTTTGTATCCCAGAGGTTCATTGTATGATGGTGAGCCTGATCACCTGGGGCTTCCCAGGTGGCACTAGTGGTAAAGAACCTGTCTGCCAATGCAGGAGACGAGAGATGTGGGTTTGATCCCTGAATTGGGAAGGGAGTGGGAATACTGGGAATCCACTCCAGTATTCTTGCCTGGAGAATCCCATGGACAGAAGAGCCTGACGGGCTACGGTTCATAGGGTCGCAAGGAGTCAGACATGACTTAGCTCATCATCTGACTCTGAATTTGAACACTTGAGCCTTTGGCCTAAATGTCTATTTTGCGCACATCCGTTAAAGAGAGGGGAGGCATTAGGGACAGTTCAGAACTGCAGCATGATGTCACCTGCTGCAGGTAAGAGGCAGGAGCTGGAAACCGAAAGAGGTCCACTGGGTTCCCCCAAGTCCCCTCTCCATGGTCCTGCCCCTGGTAGGGGAGGCCAAGGAATGACTCTCAGGCCAAAGGGACTGAATCAGGGCCTCCTGCTCTCTTCCAGCCTTGCACGCAGGAACATCTAAATCTTCTTCCCTCCCCGCCTATGGCAGGACCACCCTGAGCCGGGTAAGGTCCAGCACCGAACGCACAGATTGCTGGGGTAGAGTGGGCATGTGGGGCCTGTGAGGGACGGGGTACTCGGGCACGCGGGCAGCGGGCAGGGGTGAAGGGGAATGATGCGGTACACTCCCATCTCCTCTGATCCCTTTGTGTCCTGTCCAGCTCCAGTCTACAGACTTCACCCCATCTGGGAGCGAGGCTGAAAGCCCAGGTGAGAGACAGGGCTGACTTGATGCTGGGCAAGGGGCTTGATCCAGCCCCAGGGGCAGCCGGTGCGTGCGATGTGGGCAGGGCTCTGTGGCCGGAGGTGGGGAGGCTGAACTGGCAGGTTGGAGGCCTGCTGACCTCAGAGCCACCTCTGAACAATAATGACTCTTCTCTCCCGCAGGCCTGCAGGTGAGTGCCCTCCGGAGGGGAACATGTGGACCACAGAAGCCACGGATGGATGGGGAGACTGGCAGTGCTGTGGGAGGGGGTTGCGGGGCCATGGAGTCACCTGGTGAGGCCGTAAGAAGCACATGGAAAGGCTGGGGAGGTCTCCTTGCCGCACTCTGGCTCACTGCGGCTTTGGTCTCCCCAGAATGGAGAGGGCCAGAGGGGGAGGATGGACCGGGGGAACTCCCTGCCCTGTGTGCTGGAGCAGAAGGTGAGGGGCAGGGGCAGAGGCAAGGGGTGGCGGGCAGGGGACAGAACCGGCTCTAGCGGGGGAGGGCCAGCTGGGGGAGAAGCCAGAGAAGTGAATGCACTGAGGGGTCCTCCGGGCTGACGTTGGGAGGGGCAGCACGGAAATTGAATGGCAAGGTGGCATGAGCCCCCACAGCCCCTGCAGGCTGATAAGGGGGCCTGGGGAATGGCAGGGGTAAGGCTGACAGGCACCTCTAGGAGCCTAATACTGGCCCCCTGTCCTCCCCCACCCCCAGATCTATCCTTATGAAATGCTGGTGGTGACCAATAGGGGGCGAACCAAGTTGCCTCCAGGTGTGGATCGGATGAGGCTGGAGGTATGCAGGGACCTTGTGCAGGGTGGGGGAGGGGCTTCCTGCGGGGGAGGACCACATCCTGGTCACTCGGCCCAGGCCCAGCTGTGCCTCCTCCCCCTAAACTGCCACCGTGTGTCCCCTCACAGAGGCACCTATCAGCGGAAGACTTCTCTAGGGTCTTCTCCATGTCTCCTGAAGAGTTTGGCAAGCTGGCTCTGTGGAAGCGGAATGAACTCAAGAAAAAGGCCTCTCTCTTCTGATGGATGGCCCCCACCCGCTCCATGACTGACCCTCACCTCTGCTGCTTCAGGACCCTGGAGCTGGGGTCCCAAGACCCCAGAGCATCATCTCTTGGTGGGGGGAGGAGGGAGGTGGCGTAGGGTTGGGGTTGGCTCCATCACCCAAGTTGAGGGGGAGCAAGACCTCTGCTGTATTGGGGTTGTGGGGTGTGGACTTTCTTTCCCATGATGAGCTGGGACGGGCGAGGGAGGCCTCCTTCCCTCATCCCTGGTCCTCACAGTACAGGGCAAGCCCATTGTGGACCCCAGCACACACAGAGTTAATGTTTGCATCCTCTCCCTGCCCCACCCCCACATGAATGTCCCCAGAAGAGAGTGATAAGTGAACACAGCACTTAGTGGTCAGGCCTGTCTGCTGGGTGGTGAGATCTCTTGGGCCTGGTAGGAGGTCCCATGAGGGTGGGGAGCAGCCAGGTAGGCAGAGAGCACCCCAGGACCCTGTGTGTACCCAAGCACTCCTCTGCAGCTCACCTGGGACAGGTTCCCCTGCACCTGGGCCTCCCGCCTCTCAGCTTTCAGCAGGGAGGCCACCTGGTCCTCCAGCTCGCGCCCTGCCCTGCCCTTGCGACCCCCAAGCTTCAAAGCCTCTTGCTCTAGCCCTGTGGCTTTCCCAGAAGCCTGGGGCGTAGAGTGGAGATGTCGCCTATACAGACCCCCAGCCCACCATCAGCCTGCAGGCGGGGTTGGCTAGAATGCTGCCTTCTAGCATCCAGGTCTTGGGCGGAACCCATCTCCTTGGATGGGATCAGGAGCCAGGCTGAGAGTCCTGGCCACTGGTTCCGCCCATGCCCTTGCACCCCCCACCACGCTCTCTAAAGAATGTAATTTATTGGGGCACCCCCATCTGCTTTCTTCACCTTACTCTCCGCCCTACCCTAATCACGCTCCCAGCTTTTCTTCTCTCCAAATACACATGTGTATATAATTATATATATATTTTTGCCCGGGTCTGGGTTTTGTTCCTGCCCAGACCCTGAGATCCCTTTCTGCCGTGTGTGTGTGTGTGTGTGTGTGTGTGTGTGTGTGTGTGAGATCATGCTGGGGGAGGGGCACTCTGCTTGAAATTAAAAGGTTGCATTGGGGCCCCAAATCTCTTTGTTCTTTATGAGCTTCCAGATCGGGGTAGGAGAGACAAGTGATGCCAGGCTGAGAAAAGCCATGGGGCAAGGGTTCAAATGGGGGGAGGGGGGAGGCAGAGTTGGAGGAGGGAGAGAGATGGCGCACATACTACCCGCCCCCTCCTGCCCCAGGAAAGCCGGGGCAGGCTGGCAGTTCCTCTCTGCCTCCTCTCCTTCAGGGGCTGAGCGATGGTGGCATGGACAAGGGGACAGAAAGCCATACTCTGGAGGGTGATATAGAGCCAGCTGGGGAAAAAGGCTCTGTCCTCTACTGAAGCCCTAAGTGTAGCCTTTGGCAGTCAAGTTCATCAATAGTCAACATGGTTGTACCCTTCCGGGCTTGTGATACCCACAGTTTAATGGGGAGGCCACACACCAGGAAAGGTCAACAGTGTGTGAGTGGGCAGTGAGCTGATTGTCAAGGGTCAGGAGGGAAAAACTGGGGGGTGTTGTGTTTAGTTGTGTCCAACTCTTTACAGCCCCATGGACTGTAGCCCGCTAGGCTCTTCTGTCCATGGGATTCTCCAGGCAAGAATACTGGAGTGGGTTGCCATTTCCTCCTCCAGGGGATCTTCTCGACCCAGGAACTGAACCCACAACTCTTGCATCTCCTGCATTGGCAGGCGGATTCTTTACCACTAGCACCAGCTGGAAAGCTGGGTGAAGAAGTGATGGGTGAAATCTAGCAGGAACAACGGTCAAGCCGAGGCTGAAGGAGCAGGGGTCCCTTGGTTGACTTGGCAGGGCCGCCCACAGCAACTGGGCAGGGAACAGGCGGGCTTGAGTGGGTGGAGGGGGTGAAGACTGCACTGGAAGATCAGAAAAAGGACTTTGGCTGTGGGTGCTGGTGAGGGTGGGCCGGGATCACCCAGCAGGATCAGAACCTGGGTTTGGGCACCTGAAGAGGTATGCAGTCTAGAGGACCTGGTGAGTTGGAGGAGGGCCCGTGTGTGAACCCAAGACTGTACCTGATACCTGAATCAACTCTCCTGCCCCCCTGAGTTTCTAGGCCCTTCAGCTGAAAAAAATCAAAGAGGATAACAGTCGCTCAAATGGGAATGATTACTTCTTTTTTTTAACTTTTATTTTGTAGAGTATTTATATTTATTTCTTTTTAGCTGCACCATGTGGCATCAAGATCTTGGTTCCCAGACCAGGATGACCAGGGATCAAACCCCAGCCCCCTGCACTGGGGATGTAGAGTTTTAATCACTAGACCACCAGGGAAGTCCCTGAGCGATTCCTTTAAATGGTAGGAGTTCTGTGACATCTAAAACGTTGTTTGATCCTCTTAATAAACTCGTGAGGTCAACAACACACACAGGTTGTCTTCATCCTTTTCCAGAATGAGAAAATTGTGGAATAGAGACATTTCACATGAAGTTTTCACTAAAGACTACAAGCAACCAATGAATGCAGACTGGAGACACACATCCCAGTTTCTTCACCACTAAGCTGGGACTTTCCCAGTACAGACAGTTGTCTCTCCAGGGGCAGCAGGGAGAGGAATGGGTATTTAGTGAATGTCTGGAAGGCTTACCGTGTTCTAGCATAATGGACAGGAGCTCCCAGGATGCTTTGCACCAAGGGGTGGGAGGAATGTTTGATCCCAGGGCACTCTGGGAAATCTTTACAGTAGGGACTCAACTGGATTTGAGGTCCTAAAGGATTTGAAGTTCCCGAGGAATTTAGAGCAGCTCAAAATGGAGTGTATGAGCTCACACCCTCAGTCATTTCCAACTCTTTGCAACCCCATGGACTATAGCCCGCCAGGCTCTTCTGTCCATGGGATTGTCCAGGCAAAAATACCGGAGTGTGGTGCCATGCTCTCCTCCAAGGGATCTTCCCAACCCAGGGATTGAACCCAAGTCTCTTATACCTCTGCTTTGGCAGGCTGATTCTTTACCACCAGCACCACCTGGGAAGCCCTCAAAATAGGGATCTATCCTAAAATAAAACCTTGGTGATTATCTAGTCCAGTAGCTAGTCTTTTAGTAGCTAGTCTTTTTTTTCTTTAATTAGATCTTACGATTAGTAATTAGGATACATTTATAAGTGAATTTTATAGTCAATTATTATGAAATCAATCAATGAGAATAAGGAAACTATTTGATGGGTATAAAATTTTTAAGCCAGGGATTATGCATGACCAGACCACTGCCCTTTCAACCTAAATTACTCTTGTTTTTGGTTGCGAAGTATCAACAAAATCCTGATTCACATAGATTCAGATAAGGAGCTCAGTCATGTCCAATTCGTTTGTGACCCTGTGGACTATAGCCTGCCAGCTTCCTCTGTCCATGGGATTTCCCAGGCAAGAATACTGGAGTGGGTTGCCATTTCCTTCTCCAGTTTACATAGATAAGTAGTTAAAAATATCAGTGGTTTAAAAATGCACACAAGAGACTTTCCTGGTGGTCCAGTGGTTAAGAATCTGCCTTGCAATACAGGGGACTCCTAGTTGGGGAACTAAGATCACACATGCCCTGGGTGACTAAGCCTGTGTACCCCAGTGAAAGATCCCGCATGACACAAGGAATATCCATCATGCTACAACCAAGACCCAATGCAGCGAAATAAATACATATTTTAAAATAATGACACACACAAATGTGAACAGCCACATTCCTAGTGTTGAGAGTTAGCAGCTAAGTCCCGTCTCTTTGAATCTGGGCTTAGTGACTTGCTCTTTCAAGCTGTTTCTTCTGCAACAGCCTTCTACCTTCGTTTACATTGACAGGAGGGGAGGTTTATTCAAACCTCTTCTCAGTAAGGTAAACTGGCAGCAGAATTTAGCTGCATCAGTAGGCTCTAGCACATACACAAGTGTGTCCACTGACTTTTATTAGGGCTTTTAAAATAAGATTTTTAAAGTTAAACCAAGTAAAATATTATGAAGTTCTTATACACTTCCTCTATATCCTACATTTCCTTGAAATATCTTGAAGGAAAAAAAAGTGGATTTAATCTATCCAGCCTGCTTCCTTTACCTACGAGGAAGGAGACCCAGAGAACAGTGTTGGACTACACTCTAGATTGCTTCTGTTTTAATTTTTTTTTTAATTCACTTATTTTGGTGGGATCCAAATACTAGCTCAGCCCGGGCTTGGCCGAACTCTAGCCTCTGCCTTGCAGTGCAGCTTTTCTCTAGTTGTGGCGAGGGGAGGCTACTCTAGTTACAGTGTGCGGGCTTCTCGCTCCGGTGGCATCTCTTGTAGCTGTAGAGCTCAGATTCTGGGGTGCACAGCTGCAGCGGTATCGTTCCCAGGCTCTGGAGCTCAGGTTCTGGGGTGCACGGGCTGCAGCGGTATCGTTCCCGGGCTCTGGAGCTCAGGTTCTGGGGTGCACGGGCTGCAGCGGTATCGTTCCCGGGCTCTGGAGCTCAGGTTCTGGGGTGCACGGGCTGCAGCGGTATCGTTCCTGGGCTCTGGAGCTCAGGCTCGGTAGTCATGGCGCACAGTCTTAGTTACTCTGACATACGTGGTATCTTCCTGGACCAGGGATCGAACCCTGGCCCGAAAATGCTAAAGATGATCCTATTTGCAAAGCAGAAATAGAGACACAGAGAACAAATGTATGGATACCAAGGGGGGAAAATGGGGGTGGATGAATTGGGAGGTTGTGACGACATCTATACGATGCTATGTATGGAACAGGTAACTAGTGAGAACCTACTGTATTTAGCACATGGAACTCTACTCAGTGCTCTGTGGGGACCTAAATGGGAAGGAATTCCAAAAAAGGACACTCCAAAAATGTCTCATGCATTGTTGTTGTTCTTCTGTCGCCAAGTTGTGTCCGACTCTTCGTGACCCCAAGGACTGCAACATGCCACGCTTCCCTGTCCCTCACCATCTCCCAGAGTTTGCCCAAGTTCATGTCCATTGAATTGGTGATGCCATCCAACCGTCTCATTCTCTCCTGCATTGGGAGGCGGATTCTTTACCAATGAGCCACGAGGGAAGCCCTAGATTGCTTCTTAATACACAATACAGGCTTGTTTCTTGTCTTTGTTCTTATATTTTATACTTTTTAGCTTAAAAAGCCTCCTCTGATTTCCCATAGGCTTCTCACCAGGGACCAATTGTAGGTGAACTGTTTGAAACATCTGTTTTTCCCAAGCAGCTGCCGGAGAACTGAGATCCAAATACTAGCACATCCTGGGCTCAGCGGAACCTCGGCCTCCCCCTGACTCAGTCTGGACTTCAGGCTCCATCCACTCCACGGCATACAGCCACCTCTGGGCAGGTGCTGCCTCTGGGGCCTCAGTCCCACTGGTGAATGGGGCCCCAGGGCAGGGCTAGAACAGTGAAGCCCACAGCTCCAGGTCCTCAGCTCTGTGATGGGGGCTACCCAATTCCTTCGCAGAACCCCTGGTGCCTTACCCTCTCATCAGATGGTGTCAGGGGTCAGCAGGAATACATTTTGAACAGACATCAGCCCTGTAGTCGTGAAGAATATCTTTCCATTCTGGGGAGGTGGAGGGGTGAGGTGGGGAATGGGCTTTGACCTGGCAGAGCTGGCTGCTAGAAAGCTTCCTTCTCAAGGGCCCAGCTTTGGACATTATGGGAAAGTCTGCTCCTGTTGAAGGTTCTGTCTGTGTGACTCTGGGGTGTACTCTTCTAGTGTGGCCCCCACACGGGAGACCCACCATCTGTATCTTTCCTTGGTGAGTCTACAAGGGCAAAATGGGGCCAGTGTGACTTCCTTGGCAGGAACTATGGATCAGCACTGTAGCCACTTAAAGTAACAAGCAACAATGAAATTAATTTTTATAATATACTTTGGTTAACTCAATTTACCTAACTGATTGCATTTGAACTTGCAATCAACCTAAAACATCATTGTGTCTGTGTATGTACCAAGTCACTTCAGTTGTGTCCGAATTTTTGCGACCCTATGAACTAACTGTAGCCCTCCAGGCTCCTCTGTCCATGGGATTCTCCAGGCAAGAATACTGGAGTGGGTTGCCATGCCCTCCTCCTGGGGATCTCCCCCACTCAGGGATAGAACCTGTGCCTCGTATGTCTCCTCTATTGGCAAGCAGGTTCTTTACCACTAGTACCACCCAGGAAGTCCAAAATACCCTGTGACAATTTATTTTTTAATTTTTAAAAATGTTTATTTATTTATTTATGGCTGCATGAAATCTTCAATGCTGAAAGGGCTTTTCTCCAGTTGCAGCAAGCACGGGCAACTCTGTAGTTGCATTGTGAGGGCTTCTCATTGCAGCGGCTTTGGTATTGCAGAGCGCCAGCTCCAGGACATGCAGCCTTTAGTAGTTGCAGCAGGTGGTCTCAGGAGCCGTGGCTCCCGGATTCTAGAGCACAGGCTCAGTAGCCGTGGCACATGGCCTTACTTGCTCTGCGGCATGTGGGATCTTCCCACACCAGGCATCAAACCCACGTCTCCTGCATTGGCAGGCGTATTCTTTGCCCTGAGCCACCAGGGAAGCCCCATTAGTGACTATTTTACATTCTCTCCTTTGTCTGCCATGTCTTCAGCATGTGTCAGTTAGGAGTGACATTTTTCAGCTCCAGAGCCACAAGTGGCCAGCGGCTACTATGCTGGCCGGGGATGGGGGAAGGAGTCACACCGGCCTGGTTCTGCCCTTCTGGACGCACCAGGAGAAGAAGCAGAGTGTCTAACCTGGGGAAGGGGATAGCACACTGAGAAAATCAAGGCCAAGGATTACATAGGCAGAAGCCTCAACCAAGCAGGGCTTCCTGGAACGTCCAAAGTTGGGCCCTTTGGCAGGGTGCTTTCCAGCAGCCAGTTCTGCCAGTTCAAAGCCCATTCCCCATCTCCCCCGCTAGCCCCCCCACCTCCAGGAATGGAAAGAGATTCTTCGTGATCATAAGGCAGTCAGCCGTTCAAAATGTATGTCTGCTGATCCCTGACATCGTTACAATGGGGCGGCGGGAGGTGGGGCGGTGGCGGTTAGGCAACATGGGATCCCATGAGGGAAGTCTGGAGACTTCCAGACCCACGGACCTTCTCACTCCTTATGGGGAAGCGTGCTTGGTCCCACTCGCCCTTCTCTAAGGGTCGTTCGCTCGCTGCCTCCTGGCTTCCTCAGGGACCCCGGCGGACTTGACCTTGTCTCTGCTGCCGCGGCGGGCGGCGGGCACCCCCAGCCTCGGGGCCCCTCCTCGCTGCCCAGCCGGGCCACGTCGGCGGCAGGCCTCCTCTGCGACCCCGCGCCGGGCAGGGCGGGGGCTGCGGGGCGGAGCGGCCGGGGCCCCGCCTCCCTCGCTGCGCCTCCGGGTCGCCGCCTGCGCCCGGGAGCTGCTCCGCCGCCGCCCCGGAACCGGGAACCGGGAACCGGGAACCGGGCACCGGGCCGCAGTCATGCTGAGCCGGCTCGGGGCGCTGCTGCAGGAGGCCGTGGGGGCGGTGAGGCCGGAGGGGGACCGGAAGGGCGGGCGCGGGGCCGCGAGAGGAGCCGGCGGGCGCGCGGGCGGGCGGAGGGCTCAGGCCGCCTCAGGGAAGGGACCCCTGCCCGGGCCGCGCGGAGCCCCGTCCCGGGCCTCTTCGCTCCCCCGCCGCGCCCCCTCCCGGAGCCCTCTTCCCGTTTCCAGGGCTTCTTTCTTGATCGTCCCTCTTCCCAGCTTTTCTTCAGGTCGCTCCAGCCCCTAACCCTTCTCCCCGAATTGCTTCCTGTTTATTTTCCCTGCTCCCGGAGTCTCCCAGTTCCCAAACTCCTCCGTGCCGGGTGCTCCCCTGTCACCCAGTAATTTCTTCCCCAGATTCCCCCCAAGTCCCCTCCCCCAGCCTGTGGGCCTTGCTCCTCCCCCGCGCTCCTCCCTTCCTGGTCACCTGGCCTTAAAAAATAGCCGCCCCTGCCTCTGGTTCCTTGCCCTCGGACGCCTCCAAGACCTCACTCGCGCGGTCGGCCCTCTCACCTTCGACTTGGGGAGTGCAGGCCCCAACTGCCCAAGTCCCCAGGAAGGGTAGATACAGTCCAAGTGTGTGTGTGGGGGGGGGGGGGCGCCTAGCCCAGGAAACAGTCTTATCCTGGGTACAAGTGCCGTTTCCAGAAGTTATCTCAATCCCAGGCTACCCCAAGCCCCGTTGACCTTGAGTCCCAAGAGGCCAACTCTGGTGGCGCCTGGGGTGGCTAGGGGGCCAAGGAGTTTGTGTTTCTGCCATTTTCTGTTGAGTTTGAAGGCTGGTCAGAGGCGCCCACAGTTCACTCAGCAAGACAAAGGTGCTGGTTTAGATAGGGTAGGCAGGATGCCTTCCAGTTAAAGTAACCCTGCCAAGAATCTGCCTGTGAAGTTAACAGTTCTTTTGTCCATAGTCTAAACTCTGCTAATCGATCAGTTGAGTGTATCAAATGTTCTCGGGAGAAACAGCCTTGGGTTCTGTCCCTTTCCTCCTCAATGCGTGCCTGGGTGCTCAAGCTCTCAGCCCAGTCGTGTCCGACTCTCTGTGACCCCACGGACTGTAGCCAGCCAGGCTCCTCTGTCCATGGGATTTTCCAGGCAAGAATACTGGACTGGGTTGCCATTTCCTTCTCCAGGGGATCTTCCCGGACCAGGGATCGAACCCACATCTCCTGCATTGGCAGGGGGTTTCTTTACTGATGAGCCACCTCCCCAACACACAGCCCAGATCAGGGCTTATGAATGAGAACAGTCTCAGCCTTAAGCAAACTTGTGAAGAAAGTGAAAAGTTCCTGCTTTCTCAACTCTTTCACCTGCCCCAGCCCTGAGGTCCTTGCAGGCACCTCGGGCCGTCCTGTCTCTGGAGGGGGTTCCAGAATGATCTCTCCTCCCCTCCTCTCTGTCCCCAGTCAAAATAGCTGTCATCTTAGAATATAATCTGACATTCCTTCATACCTGTCCGGGAGAGCTCCAGACACAAGGTGGGCGGACAGGACAGGCAGGACCCTAGCCCCGAGGAGTGAATTTCTAATGCTTCCTCTGTAGAAATGTCAGCGTCTGGCTGAACGTGAGTTGGTGGTCAAGGGAGATATTTTTAGGCAGGTATCCTTAGGCCTCTCAGTATACAACATATAGGTGATGCCCTAGAAATTTGACTGGTCCCATGTGAGCACCAGGGGAGATGGGGGTCCCCTCTCCCTCTTCAACTCCAAGCTTGAGCACAGATCTTCCCAGGGCTGGGTCACCAGGTTAAAACCCCCAGCAGGTTGCTTGACTCAACTTGACCCAGCAAGTGTTAAGGAGAAAGAGTGCTCTTTTCTGCCCCCTTCTGACAAAACAGAATAGCAATCTTTACAGTTATTTGTAAAAAAAAAAAAAAAAAAAAATTATCTTTAAAAAGAAATCATTTGGTGCAATTTCTTTATTCTGGAGTTACAATAGCTAACTATATTCAGGTAAAGATTATCTGATGGGTTTTTTTTTAATCTCTAATGGTTGTTTGGCTAACTTTTGTTCTGTTTCTCTTTTTTTTTTTTTTTTTTTCTGGGTTGTTCTTTTTTGGTTTAAGTCCAGCTTAAGGCTTTAGGAGACTATAAGTGAATTTTAAGGTTAGATGAGACCCCATCACAGGCTTGTGAGACAATCACAGTGTGGTTAAGGGTCAGAGGGTTTTCCCAGAAGAAGGAACTGTGGGAAAGGCTTAAGGAGTTGTTTGGGTTTTTTTAATGTATTTCCATGTTATTTATTTATTTTTATTTTGGGCTGCACTGTGTCTTCGTTGCTGCTTGTGGCTTTCTCTAGCTTCGCCAAGTGGGCCTGCTCTCTGCTGCGGTGCTCGGGCTCCTCATTGCCGGGGCTCCTCTTGTCGTGGAACACTGGCCTAGGCGCACATGCTTCAGTAGCTGCAGTGCTGGGCTCAGGAGTTGTGGCTCTCAGACTCGAGGTGCATGGGCTCAGTAGTTGTGACGCTGTGGGTTTAGTTGCTTCACCGCATGTGATCTTCTTGGACCAGGGGTCGAACCCGTGTCCCCTGCCTTGGCAGGCAGATTCTTAACCACTAGACCACTAGGGAAGTCCAGGTTTAAGGAGTTTGCTGAGATATTTTAGTAAGTATCAATGAGTAGCACTCTGTGCAGAGCCCTTTAGGGACTCTCAGAGATAGAAACACAGAACCCTGGCCTTCAGGGAGCTCACAGTCTCCTACAGAGATGATTGTTCACCCAACAATAATAGCATCATGTAGACCGTGATAAGATTCAGTCACTCCATGTGGTCCGTGTGTTTGGAATGACTGTGGGAAGTGCCACTCCCATGAAGTTCGTGGCCCCCACAGCTAACTCTGAAAGAAGACTGCCCAGGCCGCCAGGGCAAGGGGCACTATCTCTGATTCAGTGTCATTTCTTCCTCCCCTTGTCATAATGGCCTGCTAAACCTTCGTTCTGCATTTGTCTCCTACACACCCACCAGATGACTCTTCCTCAGGAGCTCAGAAGATGTCACTGACCTGCACAGAAAAAAAAATGGACTTCTTGGTTTTGCCAAGAAGTTCAATGCCCCACACACTCATCCATCCATCCTCGTGCTGGACACACTTTGCAAAGATCCTTCTGCAGGAAACGTCTCTCCTGTGTCTCTTATTGTTGAAGTCAGACCCAGCTCTTCGGGTTTTAGTTCCCGCATGACCTCAGCATAGCCTCTTCATTTCACTTGTTGGAACTGACCCTTCCTCGCCCAAAGGTCACTATCCACCTCTCCTGTGTTTTCACACTACTACTACTTATTTTCTTTTATTTGACTGCCCTGGGTCTTAGCTGCCACATGCAGGATCTTTGATTTTCATTGTTGCATGTGGTATCTTCTATTTGTGACATGGGGCATCTAGTTCTGGACCAGGGATCAAACCCAGGTCCCATGCATTAGGAACATGGAGTCTTAGCCACTGCACCAGCCACTGTCTCACACTATTTCCTGTAGTTGAGTCATGCAGTGAATTTTATATTCTCTTCTCCTCCATGGCACGTTTCTGGAGGACTGGCTCTTAGACATCCTGGTGTGGCTCATAACATCAGGCGTGGTGTTTTGTACATGGTAGGCATCAACAGATACCTACTGAGGGAGTTATGGAAGGAGGAGACACCCTGTCCTGTGGCGCAGTAAAGCATGAAGTTAGAAAGAGGTGCATCCAGGGACCCTGGAGACAGCTTTGTGGAGGTGGTAGCTTTGAGTTGGACCTCACTGGGGACTGCTAGGACCTAGATGGGTGTAGGGAGATATACAGGGTCTCCTAGGCAGAGGAGCAGCTGGAGGAAAGACCATAAGGTAGGGCTGTGGGTAGGGACTACTGGAATATGCATTTTTCCTCTGGGAACATTTACTCTGCCAGAAAAGAGAAGAAATGCCCTTTTTGGAGAAGTTTTCAGAGGTAGTGGTTGTTACCAGTTCAAGATTAGTTCCAGCTGGGGCGTGGGAATGGAGAGGTTGCTTTAGGAGAAGGGGGAGATTTGAGGGCTGCTCATGGAAGATCAGAATTCCCTGGGATGACTGAAGGAGCCGGAGGAGGTGTGGACAGGAGTAGAACTGAGAGAAGATAGGGGTGCGCAGCCTGCACTGTGAACCAAAGATGCAACATGTTATAAGTAAGGTGGGCCTTGCAGGTGGCACAGTGGTAAGAACCTGCCTGCCAGTGCGGGAGACCCGGGTTCAATCCTGGGTCAGGAAGATCCCCTGGAGAAGGAAATGGCAACCCACTCCAGTATGCTTGCCTGGGAAATACCATGGACAGAGGAGCCTGTCTGGCTATGGTCCATGGGGTCACCAGAGTTGGACATGACTTATTAACTAAACCACCACCATGTTAGGCATTTTTGGTGGGTGCAAGCCACATGACACGTGGGATCCTAGTTCTGGATCAGGGATCCAACTGGCGCCCCCTGCATTGGAAGCACAGAGTCTTAACCACTGGACCCCCAGGGAAATCCCACTTGCTTCATGCTATAACATTACCCACCTGGCTGAACTGAGTTGTGGCTGCCTTCAACCCAAATTTTCAGACTCTCAGAGTGAAATGGACCTGGATGCTTTGTCTCTGCCACATTTTCCATTTGGATTTTGTTGTTTTGGGGGTGCTTTCCTGTTTACCTCCTCGCACCTCTGTTGTAGTAGAACCACGTTGTACAGAAATGATCTGTTTCTATGTCTGTTTTCCCCACCAACAGTCTTCGCCACTCTGGGACGGGGGACAATCATGACATGTTTCAGGACCACAACATCTCAAGGAGGGAGGGGGTGTCTGGGGAGAAGACACAGGAGATTATTGGCAGATATGAAGACAATGTGGAGATGTCTTGGAGAAAATGTGTTACTAATTCATTTTGAGAACCCAGGATCCCAAGAGCCTCCTCCAGGGCCCAGCAGCCGTCCAACGCTTAGCAGATGGTGGGATGTCTAGTGGTAGCCACTTAGGTTGTGTCTGCTCTCTCCACAGCGGGAGCCCAGCATTGACCTGCTGGAGGCCTTCGTGGAACACTGGAAGGGCATCACGAACTACTACATCGAAAGTACAGGTGGGGCCTGGTCTCCTTCCATTCAGGGATCTCTGGAGGGTGTGGGGAGCGAGGGTGGGTGGGGGTCACCCCACAGCTCAGAGATGCAGGCATCCTGGGGAAGGTGATATCCACTGCCCACTTCAGAGTGGGGGCTGCCCCACCCTGACCTTCCAGGTAGGGACCCGTGTGAGTAGGAGCAGGGACAAGGAGGTGGGGTCTCACCGGCCTGACTCTGCGTCCCAGAGGTTGAACTCTATTTGCCCTTAGCTGGCCAGAGCATCCAGGCCTTCAGTCCCCAGGTGCCTGTGCCCAGAGCTTACTGACTAAAGAAAAGAAGTGGGATAGGAGAAGGAAATGGCAACCCACTCCAGTATTCTTGCCTGGAAAATCCCATGGACAGAGGAGCCTGGCAGGCTATAGTGCATGGGGTCTCAAAAGAATTGGACACGATTTAGCCACTAAACAACAACCATCCATCCATAGTCCATCCATAGTTAGAGGTAATTTGTGTTACTCTTTTGGAGTGATGCTAAATAACTTGTTTGTTAACATGTGAATTCAAAGCACTAACTGATTTCCTCTTGGAGCATCTGAAGCTTCCAGTCTGAGGAATTCTCAGGTTTCTCCAGGAAGAGGCATGATATATGAATCTGGAATGACAACAACCAAGTCAAGAAGTCCCCCAAGGGTCAGAGGGGTCAGAACCATGAGAGGGTGATCCTTGAGCAGATGCCCAGGATGGAGACAGAGCCAAAGGGTGGACAAAACCCCTCCCCCAGCTGTGGCCACTGCAGGAAGGTTCCTTAGAGTCACAGGTCCACTAGCCTCTTCCCCTTTCAAATGACTGCTCTTCAACTGCTTTCTGTGAGAACAGTCTTAAATGGAATCTCTGTTTCATAAACGATGGAACTCTGTAAAAAAAAAAAAAAAGAAGTGGGATAAATTCCTTTTTTCCTTGAGCCAACTTCAAGGGCATTTCCCTTGTAGAGACCTGGCATAGGATGAGAAGAAACCAAGGCATGTACCATGCCTGGTCCTTCTCCCCCAGCTGACACTCTAGCTCTGGTTCATCTGGGCCCATCAGGATCCCTCACTGAGGGGGCAGCGTCTCATTGGCTGCTTGGTAATCGGTATGCTGGGCTTGATGGAGATGCACTGGTTGCTAGGTAACCTTCCCTGCATTCCTAGCCTTCCACCTCCTAGAGTTCAGACTGGGGATTGACTCGTTTTGTTGTTTGTTGTTCAGTCGCTCAGTCCTGTCCTGTCTGACTCAGTCCTGTCTGACTCTTTGTGACCCCATGGACTGCAGCCCGCCAGGCTCCTGTAGAGTTTGCTCAAATTCATGTCCATTGAGTCGGTGATGCTGTCTAACCATCTCATCTACTATTGCACCTGCCGTCTGCCTACACCTTTCCTAAAGGCTTTACTTCCAGCCTGAGTCTGCCCCAAAATTAAAAGTGGCCTTAAGACACTCTGAGGGACCCTCTTGGAGTGTTCTGTTAGACCCAGGTCCTCAGTCTTGGCACTGGTGACATCTGGACGGGCTCGATCTTTGTTGTAGGGGGTGGGGGGTACGCCGTATGTTCAGCAGCAACTCTGACCTCTCCCCACTAGGTGCCGGTGGCACCCGCTCCATTGTGATGAACATAAATGTCTCTCCAGACACCGCCAGATATCCAGGGGAGCAGGGGCAAAACTGCCCCCAGTTAAGAATGATTGCTTTAGGTGGTGCAGTGGTCAAGAGTCCTTGATACCATAGCAGGGGGCACAGGTTCAATCCCTGGTCAGGGAGATAAGATCCTCATGCTGCACAGCAGCAAAAAAAAAAAAATCCTGATCCATACCAATAGGTCATTTTATGGGATTAATATAAATGTAACATATATAATATTTTATATATGAATATATAATATTTTATATAATCTAAAATAACAAGCAATATTTTTTAAAAAGAATGCTTTAGACTGACGATCTCTTTTTTTAAATTGAGATATAATTGACATATAACATTATGTTAGTTTCAGGTGTACGACATACTGATTCAATACATGGATATATTGTGAATTGATCATCACAATAGGTCTAGTTAACATCTGTCACCACCCATAGCTACAATTTTTTTTTCCTGTGATGAGAAATTTTAAGATCTTCTCTGTTAGCAACTTTCAAATATACAATATTATTAACTGTAGTCTTCATGCTGTACATTACATCCCCAGGACTTATTTTACCTCTTAAATTTTGCACCTTTTAGACTGAAGATCTCTTGTCATGGAGTCACAAGCAGAAAACTAGGAAAAGTTCTAGAACTGCCTCAGGTCCACCTGGGTCTTCACCTGGCCCAGTCCATTAATTACCAGATGGTCCCTGGACCAGAGGTGCAGGGCTGGGTGAGGTGAGCTGCCTTGCTCAAGAGCCTATGCTTTCAAGAAAAGCTAGGGGGTGCTGCAAGGCCAGTCCCAAAGTACCAGAACTTTCTTTATAAAAATCCTCCACCCTCTGAGACTGACTAAGAAAACTCCACTAGCCAGCAGGACTTGGGCATCAGGAAGTGAGTTTGAGTCTGAACCCATGGTCATAAATGGATTTTTTTTCAGCTTCTTAAAAAAAAGAGAAAATAGAGTATTGCCTTCCGTGAGTATAAAAGAGACATAAATAGGCCCCCGGAGGTTATCTGTTAGGAAGCTGAAGATAGCTTCTAAATTATATAACAGAGACCCCTGAGCCCATAGCCTCTCACTCAGGCCCAGAGCTGGCTGGCAGCCCACCATCTGTCCTTCCCCAGGTTCAGAGAAAAAACTGCTGCTTGCTTTTCTCTAATAAACTGCTGGGACCTGCGCACATGCCCTGTAAGATAGCTATATCCTGTGCTTCATCTAGAAGGTCTTTAGTCTTTTTAGCTAGTGCATGCTAAGTCACTTCAGTCATGTCTGACTCTTGCAACCCCATGGACTGTAACCCACCAGGCTCCTCTGCCCATGGGATTTTTCAGGCAAGAATACTGGAGTGGGTTGCCATGCCCTTCTCAGGGGATCTTCCCCACCCAGGGATCCAACCCATGTCTGTTAGTCTCCTGCATTGGCAGGCAGGTTCTTTACCACTAGCGCCACCTGGGAAGCCCTTTTTAGGGTTAGCTAGGGAGGCATCCCCCACTCCAGTACTCTTGCCTGGACGGAGGAGCCTGGTGGGCTGCAGTCCATGGGGTCGCGAAGAGTCGGGCACGACTGAGCGACTTCACTTTCACTTTTCACTTTCATGCATTGGAGAAGGAAATGGCAACCCACTCCAGTATTCTTGCCTAGAGAATCCCAGGGAGAGGGGAGCCTCATGGGCTGCCGTCTAGGGGGGTCGCAGAGTCGGACACGACTGAAGCGACTCAGCAGCAGCAGCAGCGAGGCATCAGCTGTAAACTTGCCTTTGCTCTGGTCTTTGAAGAGAACTGCTAACCTGGCCTTCTCCAGGTTGTTCGCCCCGCCCCCCCACCTCCCCTAGACCCTGTGGCTTGACCCTTTAAGCCACAGTATCCCTGGACTTCACCCCACTCGCCTTGTTTCCTGGCTCTCTGTTAGATGAAAACACCCCGGCCAGGAAAACAGATATTCCCTGGCGGCTGAAGCAGATGCTGGATATCCTGGTCTACGAGGAGAAGCAGCAGGCGGCGGCCGGCGAGGCGGGGCCGTGCCTGGAGTACCTACTGCAGCACAAGATCCTGGAGACCCTGTGCGCGCTGGGCAAGGCCGAGGTGGGCGGCCTCGGGCGCCTCTGGGGCCTTCCGCCTGAGCCGGGGCCCGGGATCCCGGTCTTTCTACCTGTGCGCCTGGCGCCCACCCCGGGGCGGGCTGCGGCGTGAGCTCGGCGGGGACGGGGTCTGCTGCAGCACAAGATCCTGGAGACCCTGTGCGCGCTGGGCAAGGCCGAGGTGGGCGGCCTCGGGCGCCTCTGGGGCCTTCCGCCTGAGCCGGGGCCCGGGATCCCGGTCTTTCTACCTGTGCGCCTGGCGCCCACCCCGGGGCGGGCTGCGGCGTGAGCCCGGCGGGGACGGGGTCGCTGGGGGTGGCGCAGAGCAGCCGCCCCGCTCCCAAGGCTTCAGACCCTCGCTGCTTTGCCGTGGTGGCTGTTCTCGCTGTCCCTGGCTTGAGGACATGCTCCCTTTTGTTCAGTCCCCGTTCGGTCATCAGTGATGTACTGAGGACCACTGCCCCGGTGCTGGGGACCCGACAGTGACTGAAACTGGCGAAAATTCTAGTCAGGCGCATCAAAGGAGCCCACGGATAGTATGTTCAATAACGATAAGGTTAGGGACAAAAATTAAGCGAGAAAGGGGCTGGGCAGCAGCGGGAGGCCAGTTTCCTAGGGTGAGAGGAGGCGGCGCTGGTGGAGGAGGCACCAGCCCTCCCGCGCAGTGAGGGGCGGAGCGGTCCAGGGGGGGCGTTGCCTCGCCGTCTGACTGACAGGCCATCTGTCCCCGCCCTGCAGTACCCACCCGGCATGCGGCAGCAAGTGCTGCAGTTCTTCAGCAAGATTCTGGCCCAAGTGCAACACCCGCTCCTGCATTATCTCAACGTCCACAGACCCGTGCAGGTGAGGGGCCCGGAAGCTGAGGGGTGTCCGGGGATGAGGCCTGTGCTTTCAAGCAAAGCTGGTGGGGGTGGTGGTGCTCCAAGGCCAGGCCAAAGCACCAAGACTTCCCTAACAAAAAAAGAGCGGCCCCTACCCCCCAGCTTCTCCATCAGGCCTTGGGCACCGTGCCACAGGACTTGAGTCTGAACCCATGGTCCTGCACAGATTCTGTTCCCTGCTGCCCCATCCCCCTCTTCTCTCTGCCCTGCTCCCCTTCCAGAAACTTCTCCGACTTGGTGGGACAGTTCCTGGATCCCTCACAGAAAAGGAGGAGGTGCAGTTCACCACCGTCCTCTGCTCCAAGATCCAGCAGGACCCAGCCCTGCTCACCTACATCCTAGAAGTGAGCGCCTCTGGGGAGCAAGAGGGGGCGGGCCCAGACCCCGGGGCAAGCCCCCTGTGGCCCTGCTGAAGGGGCAGAAGGATGGAGCAGGTACTGGGGAGGCACTTGGCAGGTTCCCCTCCAGCTCTACACTGAGGCGCCCTTTGGAGTCCCAAGGGGCTGTCATGGAGAATGGTCTGCACCACGGCCTGGCCTTACCCATCCTCCCTTGCAGGGTAAAGAGACTACTGGTAGGAAGAAGGCGCCCAGAGAAGCCACTGCCTCGCTGAGAGAGGCAGCCAGTGCCAGGGACAAGGACCGCCCGCAGAGCAAGGCTCCCGACACTGGTCCCTGCGGGGCCTGGGCCTCAAGCGCCCAGCTGCCTGCTGAGACCCAGGAGCCAGATGGACCGATCGGGGAGAGCGGCCTCATTACCTCCCTGGTTGGCTTGTGCAAGAGCAAGGTGCCGGCAGCCCCCAAAACGCAGGGGGCAGGGACGGGGTGGGTGGGTCGCTGGGAGGGCACTTGTGGGGATCAGCCACAGGCCCCTGAAGTCCTGCCCTTGCCCCCTAGAAAGGTCGGGTGGCCCTGAAGGCCCAGGAGAACCTGCTGCTCCTGGTACGCGTGGCATCCCAGGCGGCCGCCACCTGCCTAGTGCAGAGCAGCCCTTGTTGTCCTGCCGTCGTCGAGCGCCTCTGCCAGCTCTACCAGTCCCTTCCCAGCGCCCTGGACCCTGCAGACATTGCCGCTATAGAGGGCATCAGCTGGAGGTAGGTGTTTAGCCAGGGAAGCCAGGTCTAGGCTCGCAGCAGCTGGAAGCCCTACCTCCCATCTTCCTGGTAGCCTCTCTTGTTTTCCGAGGGGGATGGGGACCCCTGCTGGCCACCCTCCTCCTGAGGTTATAGCCCAGGCCAGGGGCCTTCTCACCCTCCGGGAAAGCATCACTCTGGTTTCTGCCCTCAGGGAAAGTGAAAGTGTTAAGTCAATTCAGTTGTGCCCAACTCTTTGCTGCCCCATGGACTATAGCCTGCCAGCCTCCTCTGTCCATGGGTTCTCCAGGCAAGAATACTGGAGTGGGTTGCCATTTCCTTCTCCGGGAGGTCTTTCCCACCCAGGGATTGAACCCAGGTGTTGTGCACTGCAGGCAGATTCTTTACCTGCTGGTCTGAGTCACCGGTCTGCCCTCGGGGCCCCCAGTAGAATGGCCCTCCGGCAGTGGAGGTTCCAAGGCAAAGGGCGAAAGGGCCCACTTCCTGGCTGTACCGGAAGCAGGCCTCACACACCTCCCTTGCCCTCGCGCAGGTTACCCAGCGCCCCGTCTGATGAGGCTTCCTTCCCCGGCAAGGAGGCCTTGGCTGCCTTTTTGGGCTGGTTCGACTACTGTGACCACCTCATCACAGAGGCACACGCGGTGAGCAGAGCCGGCGCTCCTCCCCACCTCCAGCTTCACGCTGCTCTGTTCTGTCTCTACCTGGAGGACCTGGTGGGGGGAGGGTCTCTTGGGAGCTGGGTGGGGCCCAGGATCAGCAGACCCCCTCTGCTTGTTATGTAAGGCTCTGTGCAAGGACACAGCTGTTTCTCAGTGGAAAATGGTCGATGGTCAGTAAAACGCGTTTTAAGACGTGCTCTTTGGCACCCAGGTGGTTTCAGATGCCTTGGCAAAGGCTGTGGCTGAGAAGTTATTTGTGGAAATTCTGCAGCCCCAGCTCCTACACGTGTAAGTTCTATCTGGTTCCCTCCAGGTGTGGCTATGCTCCGGGCAAAACGCCTACCCCACCAAACCCCTTCCTGTGCTGGAGGCCAGGGACCTCCTTGGCCAGAGTCATGGAATCGGGGGCTCCATGGGCAGATGATGCCCTTCACACACCTGTGGCCCAGAGCCATGTGGGCCAACCACGGCCCCCCACCCTGGGACTCCAGGACCTCCAGTGGAGCAGGGAATGAGCAGAGCAGATGCCAGCGAAGCAGGAAGGGCTCTGCGCCTCCCCCCGGCCCTCCCCGCCCTCCTCTGCCGGCCTCTGCCTGTGTGGCTCAGTGGGCTCTCCCCGTAGGTCCGAGCAGAGCGTCCTGACGTCCACTGCCCTGCTCACAGTCATGCTGCGCCAGCTCCGCGCCCCGGCGCTGCTGCGGGAGGCGGTGGCCTTCCTCCTGGGCATGGACCAGCAGCCTGCAGCCCCCGAGGACAGCCCCCGCACCCTGTGTGCCCACCTCATCAGGCACTGTGACCACCTCTCTGATGAGGTGAGGCGGGCAGCCCTCCTCTCTACTCACCTGCACCCCACCTTGCCCACGGGATTTCCAGAAGCTTCTTCCCATTTTTATTAGCTTTCAAGGCGGTTCTACCCTTGAGGCATTGAAACCCAGCTCCCTCTCCCCTCCAAGCAAAGAAAAAGACAGTGACCCAATGATTAGTAGCCAAACTCTTTTGTCCCGCAGTATTTTTCTCTGATTACTTACTTACAATGACACTTTTTATTTTTACAAAGCGCTTTTTTTATATTCTCCTGGCTTGTTGGAGGCTGACAGCCACTCTGTGAGGTAGGCGAGGCCGGTATTCCATTTTTCAGACATGGAAACTTAAGGTGCAGAGGAGCCAGCTGGCTTGCCTGATACCACACCTCAAATTAGTTAATAGAATTGAGACCAGCCAGACTTCTGGTTCTCGGGCCCGCACCCATTTGCTCCCCTGGAAACCTGCCACCTGAGCCCCTGGCCAGGGGAGGCAATTCCCCCCATCCTAGGGGACCTCTTCTCAGCCGGGTGAGCAGTTTCCAGGCAACCCTGGAGGCCCGCATGGGGAAGGGGTTTTGCGCTGATTCCTTCTTGCCCCAGATCAGCATCGCCACACTGCGGCTATTTGAGGAGCTACTGCAGAAGCCCCACGAGCAGATTGTCCGGAGCCTGATCCTATGCCACCTGGAGGGCCGCGCTTACGTGGCCCGTGGCTCGCCCGAGCCCGAGAGCTATGAGGACACCCTGTAAGTGAAACCTGGTGCCTTGGGGAGGCCTTGGGCCACGCGGAACCCCCTCCCCTGGCCCCCCGCTGGTTCCTATGTTCACTGGAGCTGCGCTTTTCTGCCCGGTGCAGAGATCTAGAGGAGGATCCCTACTTCACCGACAGCTTCCTCGACTCTGGCTTTCAGCCCTCCGTGAAGCCTCCCCCGGCCCCTGCCACCAACCCCGACGGCAAGACAGCGGTGACCGAGATTGTCAACAGGTAGGGGCCCATCAGGAAGTCCAATCCACCTGAGCCCTGATGGGGCACAGGCTGGGACAGAGTGCTCCCGAGGCCTGGAAATGGAGCAGGGCAGCCCAGGCTGGGCCTCCTCCCCACATCTAGGGTCTGTCTCTCAGTTTCCTCTGCCTCGTTCCTGAGGAAGCCAAGACGTCGGCCTTCCTGGAGGAGACGGGGTACGACACGTACGTCCACGACGCTTATGGACTGGTGAGTGTGGAGGCCTCTGCCAGTGCCGGGTCCTCGCCACTCAGAGTGTGGGGCCGACGCACTCCGCCCCTGTCATCTCCAGCCCAGCGCGCCCAGCTCTGGCCACGCGCCCGGCCCCGTCTGCCTGTGTGGCTCTCCCAGTCTGCCGCACCCCTGACCCTGGCGTGTGTTAGTCACTCACTTGTGTCTGACTCTTTCTGACCCCATGGACTGTAGCCTGCCAGGCTCCTCTGTCCATGGGATTCTCCGGGCAAAAATACTGGAGTGTGTTGCCATTTCCTCCTCAGCCCGTGTCCTTAACTCTCCTGCCTCTTTTAGTTCCAGGAGTGCAGCTCCCGAGTGACACCCTGGGGCTGGCCACTGGCTCCCCCACCCCTGGACCCCCATGAACCCGAACGGCCTTTCTTTGAGGGTCCCTTCCTCCAAGTGCTGTTTGACCGCATGTCCCGGATTTTAGAACAGGTAGACAGCAGGGCTGGGCCCTAGCCATGGGGTGAGGTCTCTGGAGTCCTTCGGTAGAGCAGGGCCCAGCCCTGGGGGTCCAGTCATTTTCCCTTCCCTCCACGACCCCCCTCAATCCCCACCTCTCTCCAGCCGGGAAGCCCCGTTTCGCCTCTGCTTCACACGCCCTAACACGTCCTGGCCCTCAGCCCCAGGGAACCCATGACACACACATCACGTGCATCTCCAACCCCCGCACACGTTCACACTGGCCAGGCGCAGTGCTGGGGTGGAGGGGGCAGGGGGAGAAACGCTCAGCACCCCTGCCAACCCTCGCTCGTCCACTGCGCCCCCTGCAGCCATACAGCCTGAATCTGCAGGTGACCTCAGTGCTGTCCCGGCTCGCGCTTTTCCCCCACCCCCTCATCCACGAGTACCTCCTGGATCCCTACACCAGCCTGGCCCCTGGCTGCCGCAGCCTGTTCTCTGTGCTCGTCAGGGTAAGGTGCCGGCCGGGCCAGAGGAAGCATGTCAGTGCTGGGGGCAGGAGGGGAGGGCAGTGGGACGGGGGCGGGCTGGGGCTGCCGGTGTGGGCACCCTTGCCAGTGCCAAGGGAGAGCACAGGTACCGTCCACCCTCCCATGGTTTGACCAGGCCAGGGACCCCACGGCAGGGTCTCTGGTCTCCTTGTCACTTCCCTCTTGTTCCCGCTCCAGGTGATCGGGGACTTGATGCAGAGAATTCAGAGGGTGCCCCAGTTCCCAGGCAAACTGCTCCTGGTGCGCAGGCAGCTGATGGGCCAAGTCCCCGGGGAGCAGTAAGTACCCAAGGGAAGTGGGTGCCCAAGGAAAAGCCCTGGGGTGGCATGGCGCGGGCTTCCGGGTGGGGGGGCACCAGGGCGGGGGCAGAGGAGGGCCCGTTGCTGAGACCCATCTGTGGTCCCTCACAGATGCTCAGAGGTGGCCATCCCTGGGTAGTGCCTCACAGACACGGGGATGTCCCGCTGGGCACACTCCTCACGCTTCCCAGCTCTGACCCCTGTGCTGTCTCCCTCAGGCTGGACCACCAGACCTTCCTCCAGGGCGTGGTCGTCCTGGAGGAGTTCTGCAAGGAGCTGGCTGCCATTGCTTTCGTCAAGTTCGCCCCACATGGTCCTCACCTGCACCTCTCCAAACCCCCGGAAGGGCATGTGTGAGTCAGGAGGAGAGACTCCCGTGCACGCCTCTGCCCAGGAGCTGCCCCTGTCTGGCACTGGTGCCGCCACGGCTCCTGGAGCAGGAGGTCCAGGGGCTGCCTTGGCTCTGTCTCTTTATATCCCAGGGGCTTCTACCTGTGGGGGTCTGGCCTTCCGCTCTTGGGTTGACTCAAGACCACCTTGGCCTGTTGACTGCACCAGACTGGATTTCAAGGAGTGGGTCTCAGGCACCAGAACCAAGGAGCCAAGGAGGTGGCTTCCTGGGCAGCACTGTGTCCTTGGGGCCCTCTCTGGGGAGCTGGGTGGCAGCCAGGTGAGCCCCCAGACCCAGAGCATTTCTCTGCCTGTCAGCTGCGTCCACGGGTCTTCTGTGGCCGGAGCCAAGACCTGAGACTCAGTGGGGAGTGAGTCAGTGGCTCTGAGGCTGGTCAGGCGCCTGGGCCAGAGAGATGGGGGCACGGCCCTGCCTCTGTCCCACTCAGCACCACAGATGCCGCTGACGCTTGATGCGTTTTCTCCCGCCTTCTCGGTTTAACCCTTGGGTAAGGGGCCGTGGATGGCAGGGCAAGCCCCTCTTCCAGCTCGCCCTCCTAGAGACTGTTGCAAAATTCCAAACAGCCTCGTGGCAAATGCCCAAAGCACATCCCGCGCCCAGGCGGGGGCAGCTGCTAATGAGAAGCTTGATGCAACTGCAGCCAGGGCAGGAGAGGGCCTGGGGAGCTGGGGGGCTGGATGCCAGGCTCCGGCTCCAGCTGGTTTCTCGCTGGCGCCTTCTGAACCCGTCTCGGCAGGTCCACAGCACCTGGGCAGAGGGGCTCAGAGACCCAGGGAGGCCAGGCCTCACCCGGAGCATTCGGCTGGGGTTCTCCACAGAATACTGTTCCCAGCAGAGCCAGAAGGTCCGGGTCCAGGTGAGGCCAGGGTGCCCACCGGACCACAGCCCCTCCCCTCCCCCCCGCCCTGACCCCAAGGCCTGGCAGGGTGGGGCTGGGGCACAGGCAGTCCTTTGCGGTGCTGTTCTCCCAGCGTGCCCTCTGCGGTTGGGGCTGCCACCCCACCCGGCCCAAATCTGTCTCGACCTGCAGGAACACACAGGCGGCGCCAGGCATTACCTCACAGCAAACTGCAGTTGCTGGCTTGACTCCTGGGCAAGGAGGAGCAGGCCAGAGCCCCTTTCGCTTCCTTTTCCTGCCCATGCCGCTTCTAGAAGCCGGCCACAGGTTGCCAGGAGGTGACATGAAAGCGGAGGAAACTCAGTGACCTCTACCTCTCCTGCATTCCTCCAAGCTGGGGAGGATTTAACCGCTGTTCCTGAGGGCACCGTTCAAGTCCCTGCATGTGTGTGTGCCCACGCATGGGTGTCAGCGTGGGACGAGGGGGTGAACTGGGTCTGGACTCTTCAATTCAGAAAGAACATTCGAGCATCTGGGAGTCAGACCCTCCCCTCCTCGATGCACTTGGGCATTCGCACGGCGTCTCCCCAGACAGTATGGCAATAAATGGTGTGGTTGCGTGGTCACAGCTGCCCCATTCTTCTCTGCCCTCCCCGTGTCTTCTGCCCAGGGCTCCACTGCTCATTCAGGCGCATCTTCCTCCTAAAGAAGTCGAATTCAAGTCCTCTCCCAGCACAGGAGAGGGGGGGCGGGGCAGTGGGTGTGTGGTGGGGGCGGGTGGTAAACAGGGATGAGCTCTGGCGGCGCAAATGTGATGCTCCCCCAGCGCCTGCCAGGAACCAGGAAATCAGCCTCTCTTGGGCAGGGAGCTCTATTTCTGCTCGGCCTGCCTACAGCTGAGAGCTGCAGCTCCAGAGATACTCTAGGGAATGGGCCACCTGGGGCATCCGTGCACAAGTCTCCTTTGCAGGGTTTGTGTTGCGAAAGGTATGACTGCTTTAGTGGTGAACAGTGGGCTTGAGTTTTATTTTCTGCGTGTGGTGTGTAGGGTCTAGTTTCCTGACCAGGGATGCAACCCATGCCCCCTGCATCGGGAGTGTGGACTGCCAGGGAAGTCCTGGGCCTCACACTTAAAAGAATCTAGTCCCTGAGTGTGCGGAGATCCTCTGGGGAGGAGGGTCACCAAGAGTCCTCCAGGGAAGGCAAGAGGGAGGGCTGATCAGTGGCTTTCACCTCCTGGCATGTTCCAGTCATGTGGGGTTGCTTTTAAAAATACCAATGCCCCGGTCCCACCCTCCACCAGTTAATCAGATCTCTGAGGATGCACCCACAGTTGTTCTTTTAAGGCTCTCCAGGTGATTCTAGTGGGCACCCGGGGTTTAAAGTGCAAGAGTTAGGTGCTTAGTCGTGTCTGACTCTGACCCCATGGACTGTAGCCTGCCAGGCTCCTCTGTCCATGGGATTCTCTGGGCAAGAATACTGGAGTGGGTTGCCATTCCCTTCTCCAAGAGATCTTCCCGACCCAGGGATCAAATCCAGGTTTCCTGCATTGCTGGTGGATTCTTTACTGTCTGAGGCACCAGGGAAGGATTGAAAACTACTATTAATAGTAGGCTAAATAATGGAAGTAAAGGTCACTGTCCAGTGTGCTTACAGAGCAGTGGGTCCCTCAGACACTAAGAGAAGGGATCCAAAATAAAAGGGTTTGACTCCTTTATCTGGAAGATGGTCTTCAGAGGGAACAAGAGGATTCCTAGCACAGCTCCAGAGGTCAGGAAAACAAGATGGTGGCCCAGAGAGGCAGGGCAGGGGCCTCTAGGTTTTCCTGGTCCTCGGGCATCAGAGTAGAGTTACATCAGAAGGGAAACCCAGCCAAGTATCTTCCCTGCTCAGTACCAAAACTGTACATCAGTGATGCGTGTATAGCAGTCAGTACATATTTCTTCATTTCCTTTGGTTTTCCCTTAAACTTCAGTAAAGTTTTTTTAAAAAAATAATTCCTACCATGATTCAGCTGAGCTAAGGGGAATGAAGAGAGGGTTTTGGTCTGGCTTTGGGCTGGAGTTGTACCAGGGCAGAGGAAGGAATGAGCCTGGGGGCGGAGCGATGCTGCTCCCTCAGAGAAGCTCAGAGAAAAGAGAGGGGCAGCTCTCACAGCTCCTCGCCCACCTGAAGCTTCTGGGAGTCTCGCTGCTCAGACCTTGGAGGGGGTGTGCCCACATCCCACCCTGAGGAGGCCTGAGCCAAGCTGTGGTGGACAAAGGAAGCCTGCCAGCCGGTCACCTGCTGTCTGGGAAGGCCTGCGTGGTTTCCATGGGATGAGTGGAGGAGCTTCTCTTGGTAGCAGCTCCCCCTTCCAGCTCAAGTCCGACCCACAGAAACACTTAGGTGGGAATGCAAAGTCGGGAATGCAAAGTCAGTAACACCTATTTACTCAGCCAGGGACTCCACTCCCTTGGAATGACGTCCCCCACAGCTGTTCCCTGTTCTAAGTGCCTAGCATCTGGCAAGGGCACAGAAAATGAGGAGGAGATGCCACCTCAGGTTCCAAAGGTCCTCACGTCCCCTTAGGGAGTCCTGCCCTCATCGTAACTTCAGGGCAACTGGGTCCCCGAGCTCTGGACTCCTTGTTCAGTTCAAGGCATTGTCCCTTTGGGTGCTGTGCAGGGACCTGGTGACAAGAGAGGGCGCAGTCCCCCTGGGAACCAGGAGAACTGCCCAGGTCCCCATGCAAGAAGATCTCTGACTGCCACACCCCTGCCCTGCTCCAGCCCACTGACAGCCACCTCCTATCTGTTGATTGGGACGACAGACGAGTCCCGAAGCCGCTGTAAAAGCTGGTTTTGCAGGTCTTCCTCCACCACCTTCCACCAAAAGAAGTTCTCACCCCGAACCTTTGGGGGCTCATTTTGGAGGCCCGGATTCCGAAAAGCCACAGTGACCAGCACGTTCATGCAGATGCCATCCGTTAGGTCTTTGCCCAGGTGTTGCAGTCCAAGCAACCCCTTGGTCTCTACTGCCAAGTGGTGCAGGGTCAGACACTCCTGCAGCAGCCGCAAGACAGCCATCTTGATGCCGCCCCTCTGCTCCATGGGAGCGAAGCCACAGGCAGTGACGGGCAAGTGAGGCGTCCCCACTGTGCCCGCCAACACCCACACTGTCTGGGCGCTGGTGAAGATGGCCACGAGCCGCTGGCAGACTAGACTGCAGGGAAGCTCTTGGGGAAGGAGGAGAGGGTGCCTGGCTTGCTGGCGATACTGGGCAGCAAGATCGACCAGATGAAGAATGTCCTGGGCCCGCAGTGGGGTAGGCAGTGAGGTTCGTGGGTACCAGCCAGCCTGTAGGGACTCTGCATCTGCTTCCTTGGGAGTCTTGAGAATTCCACCTGGGGGAGATGCAGGGGATGTGCTCAGTTGCGTCTTAACTCTGCAACCCCACAGACTCTAGCCCACCAGGCTCCTCTGTCCATGGGATTTCCCAAACAAGAATACTGGAGTGGGTTGCCATTACCTTCTCCAGGGGACAGGGAGGGAGAAAAGGTCTATGTTGAATAAAGTGCCGGGCCTGGTAGAATAAAGGGCCACCCAGGGTTCTGGCTGTGACCCAGGGGAGGCCTGGGGTCAGGTGTTCAGTCTGGAATCTGGAGATGCCAGGGTTATACTAGCTAGAACAGGGGCTCATCTCACCTGAGGACCAGCAGGGGGACAGGTGTCTACTGCCCTCAGCCCACACTGCCACCTGCTGGGCCATACCTGTGGGGCAGGTGAGGAACGCGAAGCGGATCCAGGAGGGGCCCCGTTCCTCCACAGACAGCAACGTCAGAGGCTCACACTGCAGCCCGGCCTCCTCCTTCACCTCCCGCTGTAGCGCCTCCACAATGGTCTCCCCAGGCTCCATCCGCCCCGCAGGAAGGTACCACGACCCACGGCACTCCTTCTTGGCCTCCTGGACCAGTAGCACCTCATCCTGAGGGGGAGAGAGAGGGTCCTCGCCCACCACAGCCGGGATGGGAGCTCCAGGGGGGCAGCAGAGCCAGCAGCCTTCACTTGCTCTGGGTCCAGCTCCAATCTCAGATATAGTCGCTCAAAACCCACATCCCAGGGGCCACCCTGAAATTGCTGAGCTCTCCAGGGGACTGGCCCTGGGTCTGGGGACTGCAGCAGTCTCTACAGTTCATCTTTCTCTGCATTCAGGTTTCCATTTCAGAAAGGGGGTAAGACTTCTGGGAGCTGCTTCAGGGGCTGGAGATTAGGCCTCCAGGGAGGGTTGCCATGCATCCTGCACTGATTCGTGTCTGCACAAGCCACAACATATCTCTCACCTCCCCTCATGGTTTATAAACTCCTTGTGGCCTGTCTAGGCTTTGAAACACACCCCAAACCCTCACCCCAAACAACTCCTACCTAAGGCTCTGACCCTTCTATTTGTTGTTACCGCACCGTGTACAGGGATCGACACCAAACAGAGCATCAGACAGGGGCTCAGAGGCCTGGGTGTTCGCAAAAGTTGTGCACTCACTGCCCATGGGGCCCAGGGGAGGCCTCTGAAGCACTGAACAGGTTTTTAAGCCCACTCCGTGGCGAGGACCGCGCTAGCTTCTGGGGAGAATGGAAGAGGAGTAAGGCAGCGTCCCCTCAAGGAACTGAGGCCTGGTGGGATGAAACAGGCTTGTGAACCTCCGTTTCCTCCCTCGTACGTTGGGAGGATCGCAGGGCGGCACTGCGCAAGTCTCAGATCTAAGTGTGAAAGTGCTTTGCAAAACTGGGAAGAGCCACACACCAGCAGGCTGCGGCTGTTGCCGGTACGTCCTCTGTTCCCTACCGGGGCTGGCTGCGAGCCCCGGAGACCTGGGCGGTGGGCCCGCCGGGCGGACGCTCACCTGCTCGTTGAGGAACACCGCCAGCACCACGTAGCAGACATTCTTCCGCAGCCGCACCGGCGCCGGCGGCTCCCCAGCCGGCCCCGAATCATAGTTCTGCACGAGCAGCCCCCGGCCCCCCAGCACGGCCGTCAGCGCCCCTCTCAGGCCGTCCGAAGCCATAAGGTCCCCCGAGAGGCGGCGGGCCGGGAACCGCAGGTCGGCCGAGCCGGGTGGGATGGACGTGGGTGACGGTGGGGCCCGTCGGCCTCGCCCCCTCCCGCGAGGACTCGGGTCGGGTGCGCTGGCGAACAAGGAAGCGCCCGGGTGTTCTGGACGCTGATAGGCTGCGCGTCACGACGGCCGGCTCGGATTGGCTGGCGCGCAAAGGTCACGGCGGGGGCGGAGCCAGTCCGTAAGGGGGCTGAGGCCCTGACGGTGCGGACGCCACACCGCATCTGCAGTTGCATTGGTTCCTCCTCTTTCCCGGCAACTCAGGCCGCCAGCATTGCTTAATCCCTCCAGCGCGCACTTGTCTGCCCGGGTTCCGACGGTGACGTCACCTGCCCGCAGGCTGCGGAGCGGCGCGGCAGCCAGCGACGGTGACATCACAAACCCGATGACGTCACCGGGCTAGCGGCCTGGACCCAGTGTCCAGCACTTGTAAACAAACCGCGGCATTGCCCTAAATGACACTTCCCAAATAACCTTATTTCTCTACTGAGAGTGTACTGTCTGTCACGTGGCAGGGAGGACAAGAGCTCCTGCCTTGGAGGAGATTCTGATCTAGTTGGAAAGGTGGACATAGACAAATAATGGAAAGCCAGCTGACTTTTAAGGCGAGTGCTACACGATTGGTTAAAAAAATTGGTTCGGGCAGGAGATGATGCAGGCGCTCAGAGGAGGGAGATTGCAGAGCTGGGATGGGCAAGGTGTGCCTGGCCATAGGAGGCAGAACTTGGGGCAAAGATCAGTGTGTGTAGCCGTCATCAACCTTGTCCCGGCCCCCGGTCCGCCGCATTTCCCACGCAGGGTCAGGGCCTCTCCCCTTCAGGGGATGCGTACTACTCCTTCAACTTTGTTGTTACCGCCCCGCCCCCACCCCACCCCCACCCCCACTACCACGTTGGTGGGGTTCTGCTCTATTGAGAGCCGGGTGTGGGTTGATTTCAGGAGCTCCTTCTTCTCCCCCAGCCTTACCTTTCCTCCTTCCTTTAACCTCTTCTCAGGACAGGAAGGCAAAATAGAAACCAGAGGAATCTGAGCTTCTCAGTCCCAGTGAGGGCTCCCTTTTCCCTCCTCCTGGCTTTGGTCATGTCCCTTTTGAGGGGACAGTAACTTGGTGGAGCTAAGCATTGGACTTGGATCTGGATGCCTAGCCATTGCTCCCTGGCTGATTCTGTGCCCTAATAGAGTCAAGGGCTTGTTTGGGGGTCTGTTTTGTGGGCCTGTTTCCTTATCTTTCTTGTTGTCATTCAGTTGCTAAGTCATGTCCAACTCTTTGTGAGACACGGACTGCAGCATGCCAGGCTTCCCTGTCCTTCACCATCTCCCAGAGTTCACTCAAACTCATGTCCATTGAGTCGGTGATGCCATCCAACCATCTCATCCTGTCGTCCCCTCCTTCTGCCCTCAATCTTTCCTAGAATCAGGGTCTTTTCTAGTGAGTTGTCTCTTCACATTGGGTGGCCAAAGTATTGGAGCTTCAGCTTCAGCATCAGTCCTTCCAATAAATGTTCAGGGTTGATTTTCTTTAGGATTGACTGGTTTGATCTCCTTGCTGTCCAAGGAACTTTCAGAAGTCCTCCAACACCACAGTTTGAAAGCATCAGTTTTTTGACATTCAGCTTTCTTTATGGTCTAACTCTCACATCCATATATGATTACTGGAAAAACCATAGACGACTGGACCTTTGTTGGCAAAGTGATGTCTCTGCTTTTCTCTACAATAAGCTGCTAACAGCTCTTCCTTCCCAGGACTGCTGGGAAGGTGAGCCCTCATGAGAGGAACTCTGGACTGTCCAGCGTGGGTCACCACCATCAAGCAGCCCAGCAACGCTCCAGGCGGGGCTCTCCTGGCTACCGCATTTGTGGTGACCAAACAAAGGCTCACTGTTTTGAAATGTGCTTACAGGGCCACCATGAACTAGACCTTAGTCTAGGGAATTCCAGACACACCAGGTAAGCCTCCTTAGGCCCTTTTCAAATACTAAGCTGACTGCAAGGTCCCTGGAAGCAGGGCACTGGGTTAAGCTGTGGGTTATCACTGGGGGAGCCGCAATCTTGTGAGGCACTTGTGAACGCTGCTGCCCCCACCCCATCCAAGACCTCGAACGTTCCAAACAACTGAATCCACAGGGCCGAAATCAGGCCCCCAGGACTGCAAAGCAACTTTTCCACGTATTTGCCAGGAACACATGCATGTACGTATGTGTGTTTAGACCTTTATTTTCACATCTGTGAAATGGGGACAGCATTCATCCCAGACTCCCTTCTGCCTCCCAGGGATGATTTGAGAGAGAGTGAGATCATGTCTGGGCAGGGCTCTGAAAGCCTCAGAGGCGGCCTAAGATAAACACCAGACAGCCTAACTGCCTGGAAGAGCAAAGGCTGTGGCAAACCGCGGCTCCACTCTCCCCATTATCACTGGGCAAAGCGTTCCTCGCCAGTTGAATGGACCTAATCACCCCTGTGATGGGAAGCACATAAGAGAAATTTGAAAACCAGTTGTAAACAGTGAAGGGCCCCATGGGTGGAAGGCCCTAGAGGGGGTTGTACTGTGCCACGCTAAGCCTCTTTAGTCATGTCTGACTCTTTTTGCGACCCCGTGGACTGTAGCCCGCCAGGCTCCTCTGTCCATAGGATTCTCCAGGTAAGAATACTGGAGTGAGTTGCCATGCCCTCCAGCAGGGGATCTTCCTGACCCAGGGATAGAACCTGCCTCTCTTATGTCTCCTGCATTGGCCGGAGGGTTTTTTACCAGGCCTTCACAGATGCTGAGAAGGACAACAGAAAGTGACTGTCTCCAGGTGTCAGAGGACACACACCAGATGGAGACAGGAGACAGGAGAGGCCCCAAGGCAGAACTGGAAAAGCTGAGGGAGGGAGAGGGGCTGAGATAGAAACTTCTAGAACCTGAAACCAAGGTAGGGCTCCATCAAGTATGCTCTGCGTCCTCCATTCCCACAGAGGCTAGAGCACTGGCTTGTGTGGGTGGCCAATGCAGCCCAGTGGACAGAAGTGGCTGAACTGGTTGGCCCTGTGGTGCAGCGCTTCCAGCGCCCACAGGAGCCAGGCTTGGGCCAGCCATTTCAGGGCCTGTGGACACGCATGTGCATGTGAGCACATGTGCAGAAAGACAGTGTAGGCAACCTCAGAATTGGGCCAGGCAAGCAAGGTGGGGTAAGGGTGTCTGTGAAGCTAGAGTTCTTTTAAGGAGCAGCAGCCCTGGCCCTGGACAAAGCAGGAAGGGTGAGGAGGGCAGCAGGCCAGGTCACTGGGAGGAGGAGGCCCGACTTCAACCTGTGCCCTGCCACTAGCTTCCCGAGTGACCTCAAGGGAGCCACATCTATCCTCCAGGCCACCTGTAGGGAAGATGGGTGGATCCTCAAACAGAAAATTAGTGAAAGCCCAATAAAGTCTGTTGCTTAGTTAATAGAGTTGTATCAATATCAACTTCTTACATTCTGATCACTGTACCCTGGCTATATGGGCTTCCCAGGTGGCGCTAGTGGTAAAGAACCCACCTGCCAGTGTAGGAGGTGTTAAGGGACAAGGGTTCGATCCCTGGGTCGGGAAGATACCCTGGAGGAGGACATGGCAACCCACTCCAGTATTGTGCCTGGAGAGAGGAGGCTGGCGGGCTACCATTCGTAGGGTTGCAAAGAGGTGGACATGACTGAAGCAATTTAGTACCACCACCACCACCATGATTATTTAAGATGTAACCATGAGAGGAAGTTAATGAAGGCTAACTGGGAACTTTCTGTAGTATCTCTGTGACTCAACTGGAAAACTCAAATCATTCCAAAATTAAAAATCTTAAAGAAAAAAAAAAAGAGACTTATCACCTTCACTGCCTAGGGCTTGGCTTCAGTCCTTATTGGGGATCTAAGATCCCACAAGCCACAGAGTACACACCCCCCCCAAAAGAAAAGCCTAAAAAATGAATCTTATAAGAAAAAAGAGAAAGGCGGAGCTGGATATGTACATTCTGGCATCACTTCCAGCTCTGAGGTTGTGAAATCTGGGCCAGTGAGCAGGACTAGAACAGGTAGACCATGGGATGCGGGGAGAAACAAAAGCCCGAAGGACAGGGCTGGACTGGGGGTGGCCCACTGAGCCCCCTTGAGGAAGAGGGCCACTGAGGGCCCCAAGTTGTTTCAGGGTCAGTCCCCACCTGAACTGGCTTCATTCCTAGGTGAGTCCTGGAACATTTGGTCCATCTGCTGTTCACTAGGAGCCCGACCCAATATGCCCTCAAGGATGGTACAACCCGCCACGAAAAGGGAGGTGGCAGAGAGGTTTGGAGGGGGGAGAGGCCCCGTCACGAGGCCATCCCTGTCTTCCCACAGGAAGGACCCCGTGTAGGGGGTTCTGGGGTGATATCAGGACACGGCATTACAAGGTGAGATACAGGTAAGGACAGCTCACTCTGTGCCACTTGGAACATGATCAGCTGTGAAGTGCCTGTCTGTACCGGAAGGAAGAGCACAGAGGAGACGGCAGCAAGGCCATCTGCAAAGTCCATTAAGCGTGAAGACTGTAATACAAATGAGGTGGCTCGAGTCAGGATACTTGGCTCCGGTCCCAATGCTGCCACTAAAATTGCTGTGTGACCTTGGGTGATGCTGTGTGACCTTGGGTGTGACTTAACCCTGGCCTGCCTGTTTCCTCTTCTCTAAAATATAATTAAATAATATCGACCCCAAAGTTATGATAAAGGGATTCAATGAGATCAGTTAAAACACTGACACATCAAAGGCAGTAGTTCCTTAATTTTCTCTTTTTTCCTATCCCAGGAAAAAAAAAAAAGAAAATAGCCTAGCTTTGCATACAAGGAAGAAATCTAATTTTTTTAAAAAATGGGCTATGTTTATGTAAATCACTGCCAAGCCTAAGACAATATAAGAGACCATTTAAAATACATTGGCTTCTCTGGTGGCTCAGATGGTAAAGAATCTGGAAGCAATGCAGGAGACTGGGGTTCGATCCCTGGGTCAGAAAGATCTGCTGGAGAAGGGAGTGGCAACTCACTCCAGTATTCTTGCCTGGAGAATCCTATGGACAGAGGAGCCTGTGGGCTACAGTCCACAGGGTCACAAAGAGTCAGACACGACTGGGCGACTAACACATTCTTAAAATAACGTTTAGAGAGCAACTCAGAAAATGATGATCAGTGTTAAAGAAAGAAACCTAATACAAAACACCCCCAATTCAACCATGTGTAAAACAGATCCCTGGAGAAAAAAAAAACTAAAGGAAATACACCAACATTATAAGAGTGGTTGGATTGAAGGTGAGTGGAGGTAAATAGTATACAGGTTTCTTTTTCTTATTTTCTAAAAGTTCTGAAAGTATTTTAAATTTATAATAAAAAATTTTATTTCATAAAAAATAACAACATTCCCAGAACCACCGCATGAACAATTATAACAAGAGTCAGAGCGTGTTGGGGGTGAGAAATACACGGAGCGGGGAGGGGTGGAGCCACATCAGAGGGCCCTGGGGGTGGGGAGGGGCTGCCAACCATCTCCAGCACCAGCCAGTGGGCATGGGGCTGGCCATGGGCACTGACGGCAAAAGGGTGGTCGAGGGCTGTCTGGGGCCAGGCTCCCAGAGCTCCAGTTCTGACAGGAGAGATGGGGTGGCCTGAAGTTTGCAAGGAGAGTTAGGGCTTCTGGGTCTCTAGTATCACACAGGGAGATGCCATGCTGCTGTGACCGAGACCTCCGCCTTGCCTGCTGTCAGGAGCATCCTCAAGGTCAGCCCCCCTTTGCTCCTCTGTGGGAGGGAGGGACACAGCGTCCCCCCACCCTAAGAGGAGCAGGCAGGGGTGTCTGAGGTCCTGGTCACCACTGCTTCAGCCCCCTCCCACCCTGCTCCAAGTCCAGGTGTCCCCCTCCCTTCCCATCCACGTGGCCTGCAGGAGTGTGGCCAACCACAAGGCAGCATTCACAAAACAACAGCTTTTAATGGAAATCCAAGGAGGGAGGCAAGAGGAGGGAGCAGGGATGGGGCCTCGCCCATATCACCCCTTCCAGCCAAGCCTAGATGGTGACCTGAGGCCGTCCCCTGCCCACACTTCACAGCTGTCTGGCAGGAAGGCGGGATGTCAGTGACCCCTTGTCCAGCATCCCAGCAGGGCAAAGGGCCTCCAGGAGCCTGGGAGGATGTGGGCGGTGTGAGCAGAGCTCAGGCACAAGAGACAGCAGGAGGTGAAGCAGCAACAGAAGGTGTCGCCTAAGCCAGAATGATGCCTGAGGTCCCCCAGGGAAGGGCTGTTTGTCTGCTGGGTTGGCGGACAGGGGTTAGAAGGAGACAATCACTCCCCCCGGCCAAGTGTGGGTCTGGTACCTGGGAGAAGGGCTCAGGGCCAGAGCAGGTGCCAGTCTGCAAAGGGCAGGTGTGAGCTTCAGTGGCACTGTGGGTGTTGGCATCAGGGCTCATGTCAGGGGCAGGCAACGTGGTGCCTGCTTGTGTCCAGAATGCGGAATTGATCCAAAGTCCCCAAGTTCCCCAGGGCCGTTCTCTACTGAAACTGTGCCTGCGCTGAGCACTGGTCTGCCTGCCCCTGACCTCTACTCCAGACACCCGGGACCTCCCACCCCTATTTAGCCTCTTGCAGTGTTCCCACAGCCACCTTCACTGCTTGGAATACAGCCCAGTCCATCTAGGAGAAAGAGAGAGGACAAGGAGATTAGCCATGCCCCCAGGCTCTCCCTGCCAAGAAGGCCCTCCCTGGACCCAGCTCTGCTTGATGGGGAAATGGGGCAGCACACCCAGGCTCCTGGCCAGTGTCACACTCACCTGGGCATAGAGCAGGCGGTGGTCAGTGGGCAGGCTGGGCCCCTGGTGGCAGAGCTGAGCAGAGAGGGCAGAGGTCTCGGGGGACAGGAAGTGCTGAGTGACGCTCACGGTGCTTACCAGGCCCTGCACCTGTGCCGGGGAGGAGACAGATGGGGGCGGTCAACGGAGACTCAGGGCGACGCATCCTGCCCCTCTGACCCCTGAGCCCTACTTCTCATTAATGAGCCCCACCCAACCGGCTCTCAGAGAACGGACGCCCTGGATCCAGCAAGGGATACCACAAAGGACATGGCCAAAAGCAGGCCAAGGGGATGCCAGAGATGGCGCAGGCAGAGCAGAAATCGAGGGACAAGCTTGATGCCCGGTAAGTCTGATGCCCCGTAAGCTTGAGGACTTCAAGACCACAGGATTCTCTTCTTCCCTCCAATGGAGGCGTGACTTCCTGTTCTGCCTAGCTCCGCAGGAGGAATTGAGAGGGTCGGAGGGTGTGACAGCCTGGGGACTGCTTCTGATACCCTGAGCTCTCTGCAGAGCCCCCACTGGCACGCGCTAGGGAAGCACCTGGTGGGGAGCCCCCGCGGGCACCAGCACGGCTTCTCCGGGGGCCTGCAGCAGGGTCCAGCAGCTCACACCCCACTCCTCCCGCAGGCGCCGCCGCAGCCCTGCATCCAGGTAGCACCTGCCAGGGGTACCAGGCTCCAAGTTTCCTGCCCCAGTGGGGCACACCTCAAAGAAGAGAGGGAGGGATGAGCAAGTGGAGGGGAGAGGCCAGGGTAGGGCTGCAGTAAGATGGGGCGTGGGCTTCCCAAAGGCCAGAGGCACAGGTAGGAGCTGTAGGCAGACGGGGGAGGATGCAGGGGTGGGTGGGACAGGAGCTGAGTGCTGGGGGCTGGGGCCGCTTAGGCCAGCAAAGCAGAGATCTGGCTGGAAGAAGATTAGAAGGAAGGATTAAAAGTCTGAGGCAGAGGGTCCAAATCTCTGCTTTTCCTGGGGCTAGATGGCTTGAATAGTCTCTGTGTCTCTGGCCCTGGGCTCTCTGCTCCCTCCTTCAAAGGTACTCCTTTCTCCAAAACCCAGGAAGACATCCTGCAGAATTGCAACTCATAAACTGTCTACGCCAGGAGCTCTTAATTTGGTGGAGTCCAGGGACATCCTGAACTGCATGCTAAATTGTGGGTGAGTAGGTAGCCATATGCCCCTAGGGAGACAATTTGAAGCTTTCGTCAGATTTTCCTAAGATCCCAGATCCAGACTCAGAAGTTCCGACTCTCAGTGGATGGACCGGCTAGACTGTCCAGGCTGAGGCCTCTGAAGCAGGCAAAGCTTTGGGAGCTTTCACCATCCCTCCCCTCTCCAGCCAGAGCAGGGAGCTCCTTGTGCAGAGGCGGCTCATGGAGGCCAGGAGCCCAGGGAATGCAGCCTTGTGTTCCAAGTGCCCACCAGCTCCATCCAAGCCCTTCAGTTAGGACCTCAGCCATTATCCCTGGGCTCTGGGTTCAGGCCTCCAAGACCAGGCTGATGAGTCAGGCTGGACCGTAGGGTAACCCCAGGCAGGTGCCAGGAAAGTCCGACCTGGACTCTGAGCAGTGTTTCCCAGGCCTCTCAGTGAGGCTGTGCCCCTCAGACCCTCCCCCTGAATCATCGGCTTTGGCCATGCAGGACTGCCCACAGCCGGCCACACCCAGCCTAGACAAGGCCGTGTGTGTGAAGGCCTACTGTGGTCTGCTCCCCGCTGTGTGTTTCAGCCCATGGATGGGGGGTGGGAGGGGTGGTAGACAGCTGCGCTGACGCTTGCATGTCTGTGTGCACGTGTGCCTGAGCTGGGTGACCCTTGGTGGGCATCCCTTCCCTAGGACAGTCAGGGCTCCGCTGGACTTTGGATCCACAGGGCCTCTGCCACCTCCTGCTCGGCCTCTCTTCTCCTTCCCTGCCCCTACTCTACGTCGCATCTCTCCCTCTGCCTACGATGGCTGCCCCCTCAGCTGCTCCTTGCCAGTACCCCAAAGAGCACCTCCTCATAAAGTGCGGATGCCAGGGAGGAGAGCAGTGGGAAGGGTTCTCAGATGAGCTTCTGCTCCCCTTGGCTGGCTGCCCCCAGGAGAAGCACAGTGTAGGAACCTAAGCTGGGAACAGCCACGAGCTGGGGTCCCAGCCTCGGTGCTCCCATCTGCACAATGGGAAAGCACCTCCCAGATGGGGTGTGTGTGGGTCAGTCGTTCAGTCCTGTCTGACTCTGTGACCCCATGGACTGCAGCCCACCAGGTTCCTCTGTCCAGGTAATTCTCCAGGCAAGAATACAGGAGCGGGTTGCCATTCCCTTCTCCAGGGGATCTTCCTGACCCAGGGATTGAACCCCGAGTTTCCTGCATTACACGCAAACTCTTCACCATCCTGAGCCACCAGGGAAGCCCTACTGAATGTGGTGCCTGTGACAATTAACAAAGATGACAGACCCAGGGCCCAGCCTGTGGCAGATCTTGCCTCATTTCACCACTAGGTCCTGCCTGCCCCCCCCCCACTTTCTGTGCACCCCACCACACACCTAAGGACCCAGTCTGCCTTCTCTGCGCCTGTCGAGTCCAGCTCACCTGAGGCTAGGGAGCGAGCACACGGGGTACCTGCACAGAGGGAGAGCTCCTGGGGCTGGGAGGGGAAGGGGAGGGTTCCCCAGCTCCCGCCTCACCATCTGGAGGAAGCGGCGGATGCGCTGGGCGTCCTGTGCCCGGAACACATGCCACACGGTGCTGACCTGGCTGCCCGGGGACCACAGCCCCTCCCCATCCAGGCCTGAGAGGAAATCTGGGAAAGAAAGACGGCTCAGGAGGACGCCAGGGCCAGCAGGGACACCACTTGGCCTCGGAAGCTCGTGCCCACCCCTGCTTCCAGCTGAGGACGCACCTTTCTGTGTCCGGCGCCAGGCGGGCAGGGGGGCTTCAGCACGTACCAGGACACTGACCAGGTCGGTCACCTCCACACAGAGGTTCTTGGTCCCCAGGTGCCCACGGTGTGGGCTCACACCTGTATGGAGGTGGAGAAAGGCTAGCTGGGAATGGGCCCCAGGACCTTGGCACAGACTCATGGGTTCTTGGGGTTGATAGGGAGAGGGGTAGGGACTGGGCGGGAGCGGAGTGGACACTCACCATAGGCTGCCCACAGCTGGGGCTCCAGTGGACGCAGGACAGGGCCCGGAGGGAGGTAGGAGGCCAGGTTGAGTTTCCCATGGCGGGCACAATACTCTGGGAGTGGCAGGCTGGCAGCCAGGTTCTCTACCCTGTGTGTGTGTGTGCGGGGCGTGGGGGGGCGGGGAGTTGGATAATGTCATGCCCAACAGACTCAACTCAGGCACCAGGGACCCCATCACAGCCCCTGAGACTAGGGTAACCCCCCCCCCAAGGCAAGCACAGAGCACAGAGGATCCCAAGGCCAAACAGGAGATGCGGGGAGGCCTGGGCAGCCCCTGGCACCACATACCTGCTGGTGTCCTTGTCCCCCAGACCTCTGTGCAGCAGGAACACCAAGCTCTCATCTGACTTCGGGCGACCTAGCGGAGAGACAGAACAGCTATTGGCCCAGGGAGAAACCTCACTGGCCCAGAGGGCCCTGCTCCTGTGGTGGCGGCAGTCTAGTTTCTGCAGGGGCTCTGCTTCTAGCTGCCCCCAGGTCCACTCTGAGACTCCTCGGCCTTGCCCACTGCCACGCCCCAGGCTCAGGCTCCCGCCTCCTCCTCCCTGTCTGGGATACTCACTCTCAGGCCGGGAGAATCCCTCCCAGAATGTCGCGCTGCCCAGGCTGGTGGGCTGGGGAGGCCCAAGGGGGGTCAGCGCCTGCACCTGGCCTCCGAGTGCCCCGAGAGCTTCTGACCCCCACAGGTGGCCCTGAAGTGTCCTCTGAATTCCTGACACCAACACAGGCTGCAGCGGGGAAAGAAAGGGGAACACGGGGAGAATGGGGGGTACCCGATGGGGCCAGACTGTAGTGTGTTGTCGGGCACCACAATGGCATGGGGACCAGCCTTGTTCCCTCTGAGTGACTCACCAGGTCTGCCTTGGCCTCAAGATCAAAGGCCCGTGTGTATTGGAAGAGGGTGGTCATGCCCAACAGACTCAACCCAGACACCAGGGACCCAATCACAGCCCCCAAGACTAGGGTAACCCCTCAAGGCAAGCACAGAGCACTGAGGATCGCAGGGCCAAAGAGCAGAGGCAGGGAGGCCCAGGCAACCTCTCTCAGGCCTCTCAGGCAAGGCCGTGAGAGCTGGGAGCCTCACCTGGCCCTGCCTCCAGTGCTCCTGGAAGAGGTGGAAGCCTCGCTGAGGCCTGGGCTCCTGCAGCCACAGCAGAGCTCCAGGGGGAGGCAGCCGGGGCCGAACGGGGGAGAGGGGCAGGCCCAGGCCCTTGCGCAGGCCCGGCCCGGCCCGCAGCCCTGGCCCGGCCCGCAGCCCCGGCCCCAAGGCTTTCTCCTGGATCTTCCGCTCCACGACCTGCGCGATGATGCTGTCCAGGATGTTGGTGATGCGGTCGTCCTGTGAGGAGGGAGGGACGGAGGGGAGGGAGTACTCAGGACCCACCTGAGCCTACCAGGGAGGCCAGCCCAGCTTGGGTCCCGGGCCTCCAGCCCTCCCTTCATGCCCTTGCTCACGCTGGGCAGGGCCGGAGTGACAGGGGCAAAGGCCATGTGTATCCGTTCATGCCCCAGGCAGAGTTTGACAGCGGTGGAGGCCAGCAGTTCACACAGAGAGGGACAAGGCAGGGGCCCTCGGCTGCCACGGTCTTCTGCCGGGGTCTCTGTGGAGTCTGGGGTCTCTGTGAAGGAGAAGGGTGTGGGGCTTCACCTTTCTGTCGAGGTTCCATTGCCCACACACGTGCTTCCCTCTCCTGGCTATGCCTGCTCAGCCTTCGCTGGCCTTGCCCATCTCAACCCTGCCCTAGACGCACTCGCCTCCCACCAGCTTTCCTGCAGGGTCTCTAGGACCTCTCTAGACGAGCGACTCAGATCAGGGGTCTGGGCGGAGAAGAGCTAGAAGTCTTGTCCTAGATTTTACTGAGATTGATTTTCTTTAGATGGAGGAGGGCATGGCAACCCACTCCAGTATTCTTGCCTGGAGAAGCCCATGGACAGAGGAGCCTGGTGGGCTACAGTCCATGGGGTCTCAAAGAGTCAGACACAACTGAGTGACTTCACATACACACACACAGCACACTTTCTTTAGGATGACTTGAGGAGAAAAATGTTGATGGGGGTGGGGATGGCTAAAGCAATTCCAGTCTCTCCTGGGGATTCCAACCTGACTCAGCTTCCCCCACACAGTCTGAGCGAGGGGCAGGGGACTACTCACCCTCTTTAATGTCCTTGGTCCTGTTGGTATCCCCGTTGCAGGAAGGTTGTGGAGTTGGGGGAGTTTTCTCCATCGGCTCCTTCTGTTAAACCAAGTCACCACCCGCCCACCCCAATCCAATCAGAGATGTAAAAACAGCAAATGCAACTCAATCCAATTCAACCCCCAGGTATTCACAGTGGACCCCTGTAAGTCCTAAAATGGTGTTTACAAGGAGCAAAATGTCATATGATAGAGCATTAGGTGGAGAAAAGTTGCCCATGGACTCATGCATGCAGCCAGATCTAAAGTCTATGTAAAAGAGGCTGGAATAAACACGGAGGCAAATGATTGGAAAGAAATATGTCAAAACAACAATGGTGACATTATAAGCTATTGCTGTTATCTTATCTATATTTTCCACATTTTCCATAGCTGGAATGTATACAATATCTGACACACAAAAACCATTCTCTAAACTATTTATTGAATATATGACTTTTATAGTAAGTACATGAACTTCATAAAAAACAACAACAACTGTGAAATGCGTATTGAGCACCTGCTCTGTATTAGGCGTGGGGAATACTAAGAGGACTTCCCAGGTGGCGCTAGTGGTAAAAAAAAAAAACCCATCTGTCAATGCAGGAGACATCGGAGACGTGGGTTTGATCCCTGGGTCAGTAAGATTCCCCTGGAGGAGAGTGGCAACCCACTCCAGTAATCTTGCCTAGAGAATCCCATGGAAGAGGAGCCTGGCGGGCTACAGTCCATGGAGTCGCAAAGAGTCAGACATGACTGAAGCAAGTGAATACGCATGCACATATTGAGAAGCTGGGTGGACACTCTGCCTGCAGGGGCGCACGCCCAGGAGCGGGAAGAAGAAACTCAACAGTTACAGCAAGAACACGCACAAAGAAGGCGGGAGCTCCGGGCAGGCAGGGAGTGAGGAATTCTGGGGCCTGGGTGGGGGCAGATGCTCAAGCTCACTCCAGGCATCCTGGTCCCCAGGGTAAGAAGAGAAGTGTCCCGACTTCACCCGGCTTCCGGGTCCCTCTTCATTCCCACCGAAGTAAAAGACCATACCCTGCCGAGGTCAGGGATTTGAAGACACGCTGCCTTATCCTGGGCCCTGCAGGCTAGCGCCCTGCTTTCTTACCTGCGGGCCCCCATCCCCAGCGGTCCACACTCGGGCATCAGCTTGGCAGGGGCAGTGCCCTCGGATGTCAAACTTCACCCAGACCTGGTGCATTGCAGTGCTTAATTCTGCCAAAGCTGTAAGGGGTAGAGGGGAGATGGAATTTGCCAGTGACGGCAGACAGGGGGCCACTCCCACACTGCTTGGCCTCACTCACCAGGAGGACATGGGATAGGGCCGAGGGGCATCCACACGGGAAGCTGGTCTCCCCCTGGACCCGCCCTCTGTTCCCCCTGCCCCTCCAAGGAGGCTCACCCTGACTGGAGACAAACTGGGTGAGCATCAGGGAACTGGCACCGTGCCCAACCTCCTGGCCACACTTCTCTGTGGACTGTCCCTGAGAGCCTGTTGGGGTGGGAAGGCAGAAGCTGTGGGTCAGGAAATCAAGGTAACCCCAGGTTAAGGTCAGGGAAGAAGGGCAAGGGCGTGATATTTCAATTGGGGACCTTCACAACCTATAAAACACGGGCCTTCTGGGAAACTTGGGTTCCACAGTGACATAAGATTCTGCTTGCAGAACACAGAGCCTTTAATATGCTGAGTGCATTGCAAGATGATCACGTAGAATATGGTGTTCCAAGAGGTTTCTGACCCTGGAACTCTTTTTGGCCATGTCTGTTGGAACACTGGGAAACTTCAAGAGTTGAGGTGGCTGAGTTGAGCCAAGGGAGAGAAAGCTGAGAAACACGAAGACAGCAGGACTTGGAATCAGAATACCTGACTTTAAATCCTGGACCTAACACTTGTTGTGTGACCTTGGTTAAGTCACTTAACGTGAGTTTCTCTTACTATCTGGAAAATGGAGGCAATAATACCCGCCTCCCAGTGTTGTAAGGTTTAAAAAGGTACAAGCTGAGCAAAGTGAGGGGCAGAGAGTAGGCATGTGATTTCTTTCAAGGCTGGGCTAGAACACAGGCATGGCCTTCTGATCTGGAAAGGAAACTGTCTGGTCCAAGGGGCATTGAGCAGTCTGCGGAGGGAAACTGTCTTGGGGAGACTCAGCCAAGAAATGGCCTTGAACTTTTTTTTTTTTGGCCCATGCCTTGAGGCATGTAGGATCTTAGTTCCCTGACTGGGGATCGAACCCATGCTCCCTGTAGTGGACACACAGTCTTAACCACTGGACCACCAGGGAAGTCCCTGACCATGAACTCTAAAGCAGCCCTTCTGAGCCCCCCAGCTCCTTTCCTACCTGCTTTCTCCCTGGCCCTCCCAGCACCTGCCATGCGACCACAGGCCACACACAGCCGGTGGCTGCAGTGAGGGCATCGCCAGTGGGTATTGAACAGTCCGAGGCGGCAGCGGCTGCAGCAGCGTGGAAGGCCTGGGTCGTCCTCGGTCCCGACTGGTGCCTGGCCTGCTAACCACAGGAGAGAACAGGGTCAGAGGGGCCTCAAGCCAGTGGCCTCTTTGAGGACCTCATGTGGGAGGGATGCATAGACGGGGGGCAGTTTCCACTGAGGGGCTACCCCAAAAGGGAGACAGGCCTTTTGCAGTCACCCTGCCCCGCCACCGCACCACCATCTGCAACCAACCCACCCAGGACAGCTGAGTCAGTGTGCCCCACAACGCCTGTCCCAGGGCTTCCAGATCCACCCAACACAGCCCTCCATCCCCTCATCCTCCAGAGCAGTGGGGTCTTCTCAGGGGCATACATGCTAAGTCACTCAGTCATGTCCGACTCTTTGCGACCTCATGGACTGTAGCCCACCAGGCTCCTCTGTCCATGAGATTCTGGAGTGGGTTGGCAAGGATACTGGAGTGGGTTGCCATGCCCTCGTCCAGGGGATCTTCCCAACCCAGGGATGGAACCTGCATCTACTCCATCTCCTGCACTGGCAGGTAGGTTCTTTACCACTAGTGCCACCTGGGAAGCCCATTTCCTCAGGGACCCCCTGTATCTCAAAAGAGGAAACCTTACTCCCTCTCTCACCCAGAGTTTCAGACTAAGCACTTGCTGGCAGGTGGGAGGCCGCTGGTGAGCAGACGTTCCTTTACTCATTAGACACACACTTGTCCGATCTCGGACTGGGTGCTGGTAGTTCAAAGCTGGTCAGAACCTGGTGCTTGCCCTCCCAGCACTCACATCACAAGGCAAGAGATGAGGCCACCAACACGGCAGTGATCATGGCATCACGGGGTGGCTGCTAGATTATGAGCGGGACGGAAGGATGAGGGTGGGGACAGCTGCCCAAACGGGCCCCGAGTGATGAGTAAGTTTTCATTCACCAGGTAGGAAGGGAGGAGAAGGGCATTCCAGACAGAGGGAACTGAGGGTGCCAAGGCCCGAGGGAGCAGACAAGCTCGAGTGGGCCGGGCAGACAGTGATGTGGTGTGCTGGGAATCCAGGCGGAGGGAGTGGTAGGGTGGACAGGAGCTGGCTGTGAAAGGGGAAGGGGCTGGACTTTCTCGGACAGGAGGGAGCCACCACTGCCTGGATGGCAGGAAGGTTTGGGGGAGAGTGGATACATGTATGTGTATGGCTGAGTCCCTTTGCTGTCCACCCGAAACTATCACAACATTGTTACTTGGCTACAGCCCAATACAAAATTAAAAAAAGAGGGAGCCACCTGTGGGCCTCATCCAGGAGGTGACAAGACTGAGGGTGTGTGTTTTCCAGGATCCATGGAAGGGAGCCTGGAAAAGACCCTGATGCCGGGAAAGATTGAGGCCAGGAGAAGGGGCGACAGAGGATGAGATGGTTGGATGGCATCACTGACTCAATGGACATGAGTTTGAGCAAACCGGGAGATGGTGAAGGACAGGGAAGCCTGGTGTGCTGCAGTCCTGGGGTCACAAAGAGTCAGACACGATTTGGTGACTGAACAACGACAAACAGGAGGGAGAGGCTGGAGCCAGAGCACTAGCTGAACACCTTGCACTCTGCTCACCTCTAACCTTGGCCCCAATCCTACCAGCCTCCCAGGGCCTGACAGCTGGCCACCCCCCTCCCGTGCAAAGCCACAGGGAGCTCCCCCACCACCTCCCGGAGCTCCTACAGACACTTGGCATTCAATCTTGTTTCCCTAGCAAGCCCAAAGCTCTAGGAGGGTTGGGCCAGACCAGGTTTTACACCTTCCCAACATCCCCCGCCCAGGCCAGAAACTTCAGAATACAAGTTGACTCAGAGCCTGAGCTGGAAATATGGGCACAGCAAGGCAGGAGCTCCCGAGCTGAGCTGGAGGCGGGACGGGCAGGCAGTTCAGGCGGGGACGGAGGCCCCATGAGAAAGCACTGACTGCAGGATCAAGCCCTCGCAGGGTGAATGCCCCATGGGCACGCTCACCTTCCTGCTGCGCCAAGGCCAGGGCCTCCCGCTCCCTCCTCAGGACGCGGCACAGCCGGTCCCCCAGTGCGCTGAGCAGGTGCTTGGCCAGGCCCACGCTGAGCCCAGCCTCCGGGCCAGACCCTCCTCCCTCCTCGGAGCTGGCTGCCAAGTCTTCCTCCTGTGGCTGCTCCCCTCCCAGCGGCAATCTGGAGACAGGGTGGAGGCAGGTGAGCGGGGAGCCCCCACTGGGAGGATGCTGGGGGCAGCCAGGGGCAACAGGCTCACCTGGACACTGGCTGGGAGGAGCGGGCCGGCCCTCCCATCTCGCCAGCTGCCTGGGCACAGCCTTGGCACTGAGTGATGCCTGCCACAGGAGCCACGCAAGGTGTATCCTGAAGCCCCGGGGCCTGCATGCTGGCCCCATCGTCCCGGGGTCCTGGAGAGAAAGGGCAGCAGGTCAGGCATCCAGGCCTCCTGAGGTTTGGTGAGTCCCAGGCCCTGCCTTAGCACCCAACCTGCCCCCATTCGGAACAAGGGAAGCAGGCCTCCAAAAACTTCAAAAGAGCGAGCCCTGACACAGACTGATGAGCCAAGAGGTGGGCTCTACGATACTAGGGCAGCTGGGGCTCCGGATGCAGTCGGTGTAGATTTGGGATGGCTCTGCCTCAGGCTCAGTGATGCCACTGGCTGTGTGACAGCGTGAAGAGGCAATCCCAACGTGGACAGAGGGCGCTGGAAGGTGAGAAGGCTGCAGAGTTTCAACAGAGGCCACAGGTGCAGTAACCCAAGAAGGCGGTGGAGGGGCCAAACGCTTCCCGCCCTAGGCAGAGGCCTGGGAGAGCGCAGACAGACCCATGCTGGTGCAGGGGCGCAAGGCCGGTGAAAGAGTCCGGATCCAGGCCCAGCTCCCAGGAGGCCAAGAAACTGAGGTGATCCCGAGGAACCGAGGCTGGGTCGGCAGTGCCAGACGCCTCTGTGAAGGGCGTCACTGCGTGACACAGGGGTCTAGGATGTGCCTAAGTCCTAACGCCAGCAATGTAAACCGACTCTCCATGATCTAACTGGCCTAGAGAGTTGTCATTTGTTCCTGGAGCAGGACAAAGGGTTCTTCAGGAGAGGCAATTCCTCCGATGGGGTTTGTGGCCCAGATAATCACAGAGATGCCTGTTCATGGGCTGCTTACTCAGTGCCCTTCATGTGAATGATATGGTTTCATCTTTGCAGCAATCTTTACGAGGTAGGTGCTGTCTTTATTCCCATTTTATAGATGAAGAAACTGAGGTCCAGAGAGGTGAAGTAACTAGCCCAAGGTCACACAGCACCGATCAGTCAAGTCAGGACCCAGGTCCTTTGACTCCACGCTCTGAACCCTGTCATTATATTCTCACTAGTATGCCATGACTTGGGAGGAGGCCCATGAAAGCAGGAGCCACTTGCTGGAAGGCTCTGGCCTGTAGATACTAAGGACTCCCATCGAGGTGGGCAATGGGGCAGCTGAGCGTAACCCACTGATAAAGGATTATGGACCCCACCTCCCTGGAAGGCCCTGTCCTGTGGCGCCCTTCCAAGTGGGGCCCCCAGCAACCCCCACTTCCACCCCACCTCAGTCCCCTTACCTCTGTGGTCATCACGCTGTTCTGTCTCCGCCTTGTTCCCAAATAATGAGTCTAGCACTTCCTGCTGGCCTCTGGCCCCCTGCCCCGCACTGCCCGGGAAAGGACCAGTCGGGCGCTTGGCAGCTGGACTGCTTCCTGTTCCCTGGACCTCGGGGTTGCTTGACCTCTTGAGGGCTCGCAGCTGGGCTGCCGGGCTCTCCTCCTCCGCAGGGCAGCTGTCTGGGTACCCGAACTGCTCAGAGTGTCGAGTGAGCCATGTCTTCTTCAGCTTGGTGTGATGGCTGGGCGGGCAGGCCCTGGGACCAGGGGTCTTGTAGGCTTCCTCACTGGATTCACCGGGCTCACTGGTGGCCCCCTCCAGGTCCTCCGGGCACTGCCCACAAGGGTCATCTCTAGCTGGTGGGTCAGATGAGCAATAGCCTGCCTGGGTGGAAGGAGGCCCAGGAGACGGGCACCTTGTTGTGGCTGATGACCCCGGCTGGTACCCAAGGCTCCCACCTCTGGGGACAGCCCAGACATTGCCAAGAGTATGAACCAGGCCTGGGGAACAAGTGGGCCACGGGGCCCGGGCCCCAGTGTCTGGATGTCCCAGGAGAAGGGGGCAAAGGTTCGGATGCCTGCCAACTCCTGTCTCTCCATCCCTCTGGTGGAGAGAAGGGCGTTCCACCTCCCCAGTTCTCTGGAGATGCCCACCAGGGGCTGAGCCCAGCAACCCAGGTTCCACAGTTGCCAGTGGGTCCTTTGCCAGCCTGAGTATGCTTGGATCCTTGTGGTAAAAGCCCTGAAGAGAGGAGAAGGGATTAAGTTGGTACTGACTTTGCTTCCCAGTGTGTAAAAGGACAAGAACAGGTGTGTGCCCGTGTGGCTTTAAGAGTTGTGAAAATGTGGACGGATATACTGGTTAATAGGCGCTGGACCTCTAAATGCCTGCTCCACAGCCTCACAGCCTTGGACATCCCAGATCTTTCCCTAGGATTTCTCAGGTCTCCCCATAATCCAGCAACTAAAGAGTTAATGCCATGCACAGTCAAAGGGCCTCCAGGATCTATTCAGATGGTGTGATGCCCTGTACCATACTGGATTCAAAATATTTTACATCTCATCCCCAAGATGACCCTGGAGGCCACTTGGAGGAGAGGTGCCATAGGTACAGGCCATAGGACCACCAGCACATCCCAGGGGGCCTTGTCTGTCCCTCCTCCTGGAACAAGACCACACATCCTGAGGCCCCAGTTCCCAGGGTCTCCTTCTGGGTGGACAATGGGTGAGTCAACTCCTGAAATGGCCCAGAGGCCACAGGGTCATTCTTGGGATGGCCACCCTTATGCTCAGGGATCGGGGGGCTGTAGTGAGGCGGGTAGAATGCCAGCGGATGGGTAAACATCACCTAATGAGAAGGTTATGCCCAGAAAAGGAATTGCTTGGGGTTGACTCTGTCTGAGCTGAGAGCCTCCTCCCCGACCTGGGTACCACCTCATCTCTTCATCAGAATGGATTGGCAGAGTGGTTTGGCCCTGCCGGTGCTGCCCCCGGGGCATGCTGAGCCCCCTTGTGTGGCCTGAGCCCCAGGTGCCCTTTCTGCTCCAACACTCACCTTGCTGCCTAAGCTGAAGGCAGAGGGCACTTTGGGCTGGCCCCCGGAGTACCCCCAAGGGTGCGGGGCCAGGGGCCAGTCACATGGATACTCTGGGGGCAGGCTGGACACTAGGTAGGGTGGCAAGCAGGTGGGCATCCAGAAAGGAGCTCGCTCCAGGATCTTGGTCTCCAGAAGGAAGGGGCAGTGCAAGGGCCGGAAGGCCACAGGGTCACTCTTGGGATGGCCACCGTTATGCTCAGGAACCAGGGGGCTGTAGCGAGGCGGGCACGGTGATCCACAGAATGCCAGCGGATGGGTAAGCATCGCCTCCTTCCAGCGCAGCCCGTCCTTGCTGCCTGGCCAGCCAGCCTTCCTCTCTCCGTTCCGGGGACCTTCACCGTCCAACAGTGGGAGCGTGTCCTTGGGGCTCTGCGGGAAGCCAGGGGGCAGCCAGGAGCCTGGGGTGCTCAGGACACCCCTCCAGAAGGGAGCGGGCTCTCCCAGGCACAGTGCCGCAGGGCGCAAGCCATCTCGTGGTGGGGTGTCTAGCTCCGGTCCTGTGATGCCGTTCTCAGGGGCTGTCTTCTCCCAGGCTGGGCTGTCCTTCAGGAAGCTGGGCGTACCCTCCATCACTCTCCTGCCCTCATGGGGCTCTCCCAGAGGGGGTCCCTGGAACAGAACCATAAAGGCATGAGCTGATTAGAAATATGCTTCAAGCACCCTAGTTCCTGGCACCGCCCTGGCAGCACCAAGGCACCCCAAACCAGTAAGGCAAGTGCCAACCTACAGCTAGGTTCCATGCTACCTGCCCACATGAGACTCGAAGGACCTGCCTGGGTGGGATGCCCAGTAGCAGGGAGGTTACCCTTTCCCCCAAGGGCCTGGAACGTGACAGCCCACCTGGGCCAGAGCCCCTCGTCAGAGACTGCCATTTCTAGAATGACAGGTCCTGGCCTCGTTGAGCCTGGAACCGGCCATGAGACATGGGGAAGGACCGAGGATGAGAACCCAGAAGATGAGCTCTGCACCAGGCGCTGCCCTGGGAGACAAGAAGGTTGGATCCTGGCCCTGGTCCGGTGGCCTGCTGTGTGACCTCGGGCAAGTCGGGTCACTCCTCTGGGCCCCGGTGTGCCCTTGTGTCAAACATGGTTGGGAGACGCACAGTTTCGGAAGCCTCTTCTGCGCTGCATCTGTGGTTCCTGGGGTGCTGCCAGGCCACCCCCAGCCCGACCTGGGCTTGTTTGGGTGGGCAGTGCAGGCAGGGCAGGCTGGAGGCACGGGGAAGAACAGGGCTGCTGGCCCGAATCTGTCTCTACAGAGGAGCAGCCCTTTAGCGGTGCTTTACAGTTTCTTGGCTCCTGAGGTAGAGCCCACGACAACTGCTAGGGGCTGGGGTCCCCGCTGCTCCCCCAAGGGAAGGAGTGAGTCAGTCTGGAAGAGAGGGATTAGAGGCCTGAGGCCAGATGGGTCTAGATACCTCAGTCTAGCCTGCAGTGCGAGGGCCGCTGTGGACGCTGGTAACTGCAGCCTGGCCGGGGGGAGGGAAGGAGGCGGGGAAAGCAGGCTGGGCCCCAGAGAGAAGCAAAGGAGGGAAAATTGAACGTGCGTGCAAAGGACCAGGATGACAGGTGGCACCGGAGCCGCTGCACTCTCCCAGCAAGGCGGCATGGCCCACTGGGGTAAGCCCCAGGAAGGAGGCGAGGGAACTCAGGCGAGCCGTGACATAGGGCGCTTGGGTTCTCTGGGGCCACTGCTCCGACACGGTCCAGCCCTGTCGGGCATCCTAACTTTCAGAGGTGTGTGGCCCGCCTAGAGGAGCAAGCAGAGCTCCCTCCCTGCTTGTGGCCCAGGCTCGGTTCGGAGATGCCCGGCTATGGGCGTCCCCAGAAGGCGCGGGTCTGGCGCCCGTCTCTGCGCTTACCTGGGCTTCACGGGCCCGGTGCGGCGCGGGCGGCGGCGGTCGTGGTGGCCGACGCCGGGCGTCCTCTCCCCATGGGCCGGCTCCGGGGCCTCCTGGCCGACGGGCGAGGACTCTTTCTCCCGCTCTCTGCTCAGCGCGCTCGCGCTCTCTTTCCCCCGGGGCGGCGGGGGCGCTCTAGGGCCGCAGGTTGGAGGGGTCGGACTCCGGGATCTGCAGGATGCGGCACACGGCGCGGATCGGCCGCACCAGCTTCTGGGCCGAGGCCGTGGGTTGCGCCATGGGACGCCGAGACTCCGTGCTGCGCCGCGGGGAGGGCCGGGCCGGGGCTAGGGAGCGGGTGCCCCCGGAGGGAGAGAGGGAGCCGGGCCGGGGGGAACGCGCGCCCCGGGTCGGAGATGGCGGAGCTGGGGGGAAAGGCCGGGGGGCCGGGGGGAGGGGGTCGTGCCTGGAAGGGGGGCCGATCCCGCGACCCGGGAGAGAGGCACCAGCAAGGGCGCAGCGCGGAGCGGCGCGGCTAATGGAGGGAGAGCCCAGCGGAGAGGGCAGCAGGACCTCTGATCGCCATCGCCAGACGCGCAACTGAGAGTGGGGAAGCTGCTCCGCCGGTTTCCTCCTCCAGCACCCTGCGGGAAACAGGAGCCCGTGATTCGGCGGCCCCGCCTGGGCCTGCCCCCTCCCGGGCCCCGGGGGCTTCCGCCAACGCCCCGGCGATGCCACCGGCTGCGCACGGGGAGAATGAGCCCTTTGTTCCCCCCTCCCCCCCGCGGCACCCGGGCGCCTGCCGAGAGAGGCTCCCCCAGGGCAGCGTGCCAGCTTCCCAGCCGCCCCACCCTCCCGTGGGCCCGGCCCCGGAGCCTGGCAGGCGGGCAGCACCCCCACTATAGGTGCCAAGCCCGGGAACTGGAGCAAAGGGCGGGAGGGGCCGGACCAGGCCACCGATGGGGCGGGGTGCCCCCAGGGGTGCCAGGGCAGGGCGGCTGGGAGGGATCAGTGCCAGAGCTGGCAGGGGCAGTCGAGTTCTCACGGGTCAGTGATGGGCGCTGTGACCCATGCCAGCCACCCCGTGCCTGCTGGACCACTGGCTCCTGGTCGTCTCCAGCTCTGGCACACGGGCACACTCACTGGCCCCACTCTGCCCAGCCTGGTCCTCATCTGGCCAAGCTGCTGTCCACCATTCCAGACCCAAGACCCCTTCCAAGGCGCGGCGCGGTGTCTTGCACTAGCCGTGCTAGAAGGGTCTAGACTCTATTCAGTTCTTGGTCTAAGGGTCCCGGGTTCACCAACTGCCCAGAGAAGAAGTGGGACTGATGCCCTCCCACCCCGTGTCCTGGGGGTCAGCCCCTGGCCTGGGATCCCAGTGTCTCCAGGCCCAGCACTGGAGAGGAGCCCATGGGAGTGGCTCCTGGGAGGGAGCAGAGAGGAGGAGAGGAAATGGGAACGCAAGGCACCCTCCACCCGAGGAAGCATCCCAGCTCCTCTGCGGGGGTGGTTCCAGAGCACAGACACAAACAGACAGATTCAAACACACACAGACAGATTCAGACACACACAGAAACCCACACGCCCAATGGGCGCTTCCCTTCCCCTGGGGCACCCACCACCCACCCCGCACAACTCCCCTGCCTCCTTGTGGAAGCCATCCTCGGCCTGCCCTTACCCAGCCTGGGACATGGGCAGTGCCACCCCACCCACCCCCGTTCCATCAAAGGGATGAGTTCACAGATGTGGCCAGCCTTGTCCTGGGTCACTGCACCATTTCTGGAGAAGGGCGCCCTGAAAGGCCTGGAGGGAGCCTTCCTCTAGAGGCCGGAGGGGAGGCAGGGATCCCTGGACTGGCTGAGGAGAAGAAGAGGGGTCCCGAGGAGAGGAGGCTTGGAGGGGTCAGCACCGGGCACGGCTTAGGTCATGTTGGCATAGATTCTCCGGCCTTTTGCCTCCCCCCAGAGGCTGGCTCTGTGGCAGGGCAGGCTGGTAGGGGTTGTTTACATGACTGAGTTATTAACACTCCCTTCCTCCCCTGGCTTCCCTGAGGGGTGGCCTGGACCTGCGTGTGCCCGGGGAATTGATCACGGAGGGTCTAACCCAGAGTGCAGTCCCGAGGCCCCAAGCCCCATCCTCCTGTTCCTAGGCTGGTTCCGGGATGCGGAGAGGGGCCAGGGTGTGCCCGTGGTCCCCCATCTGTGTCCTCTGGCAGCCGAAGCTTGTGGGAGAGTCCAGGGGGAGATCCCTGTGGCTCGAGGCCTAGAAGAGGCTGGGCAGGCCAGGGTGGGGGTCTGGGCTGTCGGGGCCCCAGGGCCGGTCACTGTCCTGCCCCAAGGGGATGGGGACAGTCCCAGGGGAGTGGAACGGACACCCATCCCACCCCATTTGCCAGTCTCTCAGGTCACTGGACTAGACCAGGACTCTCAGGACAGGCTCCTGCAAATGCCCAGGGGGTCGTGGGGTGGGGGGGTGGGGTGGGGAGAGGGAGCCCCTTTCCACCCTCACCCATTTTCCATCCTGCTCCACAGCCCAGAGCCCTTGTAGCCGGCTGTTCTGGGCCCGAGGACAGAGCAGGTCTGAGGAGACACATAAAGACACAAACAGAGGAGAGCCACACACCGCGGGGACACAACAGCAGCTGCGCTCCGGGGACAAAGCGCGCTGACCAACGCCCCCACGCGCGCAGGCCCCGCGGCCCGCCCGACCCCTGGAGAGCACCCACACTCACTCACACACTCACACACACACACACACACACACGCACGCACATTCCCGCTGACACGCGCAGCAGCACTCACAAGCCGGCTGACCTCACGCTGTCCCCAGAGCCCCTTACCTGGGCAAGCACGAGTGCCCCTCGGGCGGAGCAGCCCCCTGCCCAGGGGCGGGCAGCGGGCGGGGGCGGGGGAAGGAGCCCCGGAGAGTCAGGCCAAGCTGCCACTAATCCGGGCGGGGAGGGGGGGGGCACCCACGTCAGAGCGGGGACTGCCGGGTGGAGGGCATCTCAGGACATCCCCTCCCACACACGCGGCCGTCTGGGCACCTAGCCCTGCTTCCCCAGCCCCTCCATCCTTCAGACAGCTGAGGCCGGCCTCCCCCCCCAACCCCCCACCCCTGTGGCAGCGCCTGGGGCGGGGGCAGGGGGGAGGGGGAATACCGGGGAGATTTCTCCCAGGACGTTGGGGGAGGGGCGGAGGAAGGGAAGTGTGGAGATGCTTTGGGAGCCAGGAGGAAGCTCTGCGGCCGATGCCCCCTCCCCTCTGACCCACCCACCCACCCACATCTCTACCTATTTCCTCTTCTATCTCCCCAGTGCCCCTCCCCCTCCCCCAACCTTCCCTCCCCTGCAGTCCAGCCACCTCACGCTGCCCCAGACTCACTCAGGACCTTCTGTCTAGCAACCCAGCTCTGGTCCCCCACCCTGGGATTTCCCCAGCAGGGCATCATCCTCTTGCCCAGGCTTCTGCCCCTACCCAGCTATGGGGCATCCCTGATACTGGGCGGGGGGCGGGGGACAAGGGATGAGTGCCTGAGAGTTGTCTGCTCAACCCTCTCAAGGGTGGGGTCTCGTCATCCAGGACTCCCCAACTCAGCCTGGGCCCGGGCTGTGTTGGAACAAGAGACTAACCCCGCCGCCCGGAGAAGCACTGAAAAATGCAATAGTGAGGCCAGTGCACCTGGAGGCCAGAGGTGGGGAAGGGGGACCAGGATCCAGAGGGGCCAAAGAGGCAGGGAGAGAGAGGAGCTGCCTGAAAGGTCCAAGGGACTGCGGGGGAGGGGGGGCGGTAGGGAGGAGGCAGCAGGGAGACCTGAGAATGAAGATCCGCCCGCACCCGGGAACTCGGAAGCATTGGGGGGCATCCCTCAGAAGCAGGCAAGGTGGATGGGGAGGCCGGAGTGGGCATAAACCAAGCGGGACTGGTACCCGGGCCAAGCAGAGGTGTGTGCTTCCAAGGGGACTGGCCTAGGCTCTTCACCTCCCCACCGATGCCCACGGCAGCGGAACCTGGCCCATCTGTGCTCCAGGCCAGTTGGAACTCTGGCCAGCTCTGATTCTGCCGGGGGAGGCAGTGGGCACGCTGGTGGGTAATGGGGATGGGGGTGTGGGCAGGCCAGGGCACAGCCCAACCTGCCCCTAGGGGCCAGGCCAGAGAGGTGGCGGGTTGGGCCAGGAACCCCGTGCAGAGGGAGAGGGTGCCAGGCAGGTGTCTCAGTGATTCCCAGAGGGAAGCCCAGTCTGCATCCAGTGCTGTAGTCTCAGCATCACGTGTGTTGATCCAGAACTTGGATTTCTCCTTGCCCCTTCCCCTCTGGCCCTAGGAGGTCTTGGAACCCATACAACTGCAGCAGATACTCACCAAACATGTATTACAGAGACTTGGGCATTTTCAAGGCTCTTTGATGGGCACCCGAAGATTCACGATACAAAAATGAACATACAAGGTCATCCCCAGCCTCAAGGAGCTTCTGCTCCCTTGATGCATGTTCTTTTACCAGCAAACATTCGCTGAAGCCTCTTAGGTGTCAGGCCCTATGCTGGGTGCTGTGGGTGAAGACTGGGGTCAGGCATGTTAACAGACTAATAAGGTGCTTCTGGTCCCAGGCTGGGAAAGTCAGGGGAATGTCACAGAGGGGGTGATGCTGAGCTCAGAAATGAGAGAACAAGTACTTCACCATGAACCACAATATGTCACCTGCTCTAACCACTATTTGCTCCAGGCCAGGATACAAAAGTAAGATGCAGATCTGTTCATTATGAAGCCACAGTGCAGTGTGGGAGGTGGTCTGGATGAGCAATCAACCCCAAGGGGGCATGGGGAAGGCTTACAGAGGGCTTCCTGGAGGAGGTGATGTTTGAGTAAAGTTCAAAGGGTAGATAGGAATAGGACAGAGCATGAGGGAGGGGTAAGAGAGGGGGACAGGAAAAGAGCCTGGAGTCATGAGTCTAGATTGATAAGGTGGGGAAGAAGAAGCTATCGGCATCTATATGGGCAGGAAGCAGAGGGGGTGATGAGCCTGCAAGCACAGCCCAGAACAGGGTGAGCTGGCCAGAGATCAGGAGCTTCACGAGGGGCTAGGGTCAAGGAAGGCTTTTAGGTGACATCTGATCATGAAGAAATGCTGTGACAGCCTGGAAGGAAGAACAGGAGATTCATACAGCGGAGCAAAGGCCTGGAGGCTGATGCTGGAATGAAAGAGATGCTTCCGGAGACAGAAATAGGAGCAGCGGGGGCAGCCAGGCTAATGGGAAGGCTGGGGCTAAGGTGGCCATCGGGACCATCTCTAACTCAGCCCCGGGGCCCTAGTGACCCTGCCACTCACTGTAAGGTACCATCCGAGGAATGCTCCCAGGAAAGCTCCCGTACTGGCGCACACTGTCAGCCTCCTGAAGCTGCTCCCTGCCTCAAGTTTTTATTTCATTTTGCCATTTATCACATGCTCCTCTGTTCTGTTCTCTCACTACAGGGTGTAGATCGTGCCATTCCACCCCTACCGAAGCAACCTCTGGGCAGACTTGCCTCAGGAGACAGTGCTCTGACCCAGGGGCAGCACAATTGTGGAAAATTGCTTCATTTCTCCAAGTCTCAGTCTTTCCATCTGTAAAATGGCTATAACTCCCACCTGACAGTCTTGTCAGGAGGATTTAAGGAAATCACCTCTTTAAAATGCACAAGGTCAAGGACACAATCAATGTTTCATCTCTGCTCGTTTCCTCCTTTTCTCCCTGGCAAGAAACTTTCTCATTTACTCTAGTTCTGCACAGTGGTTAAGTATTCTGACTGTGGAGTCAGACTACCTGGTTTCCAAGCCCAACTCTGCCACTTACTAGCTGTGTGACCTCAGGCAAATAACTTGCCCTCTAGGTCCCTGTTTTCCCTTTTGTGAAATGGAGATTATAATAATAGTAAGTGCTTTGTAAAGATTGTTGTGAGGAATAAATTAATACACGTTGAGGGCTCAGAGCAGCCCCTGCTGGGGCAGCCACAGTCTAGATGCTAGCTATCACTAGACTTTGCACCCCAAATTTCTTAAAACATGCCTGGTACCTGGTAGATGCTCAATAAAGATTTTTTGAATGAATAAATGAAGAGATAGGGCAACCCCATGATGCAAGGGAACACCAAGATAGGAAATCACTGAACACCAATCTGTGAGGAGCTAAGCCACCCAGCAGATTAAGTACCTCTCCCGAATAAACCCGGATAATCCCCACACCAAGAGTTAATCCACACTCCTCAGGTCACTCTGGGTGACTACCCCATATCCCCTCTTCCCACCTGACACTCTGCCCCATCTCTCGACTTAATCAGAGGTGGGAAAGGACGGCAGGCCTGTGGGTGGGAGAGGGGAGCAGCCCTGGGACACGACGGTAAGACCAGGGCAGGAGCCGGCAGGGCTGGGCACTGGCTGCCCGGGGATTAAGGGATGAAGTGGGGCCAAGCAGGCAGCCTGGGTCTCAGGAGAGATTCGAGGATGGGGCAGGCTGAGGACCAACGACCACAAGCAGCAGGGAGGGCCTCTGGAGGCCGGGCCAGGGTTCTTGTATCATCCCTCCAGCCAGCCAGCGGCCAGGCCCCTGCAGGGGCAAGGCTCTGCTCGGCCTCCAAGCCCCGCCCTCCTTGACCTGGAAGCTGAGGGCAAACCAGACTCTGGCAGCTGCTGCCCTCTCGTGGCCACTCCGCGGCGGTGCAATGCTCCGACCGTCAACCTGAGGGTTTACAGACCTCGCCACCCCTGGAGGTGCCCAGAGGCCTGGCAGGCCCTTGCAGGAAACTGGCCTCCCCAGGCCTAATCTGCGCATAGGCTCAAGCTAATCCCCTGTGAGATTATCGTGCTGCCTGAGGTCCCCCCACGCCTTCACTGCCACTGGTTTCTACTTCCCGTGAAGGCCCGCTTCCATCTCCTCCTGACTGCTTTCTTAGACTCTGTCCCCTCCCAGGGCTGTCCCCCAGCTCTCCCATCTCTGAGGTCCTCAGGAGCTTTCCACGACAGCACAACTACCTGTCAATGGCTGTCTGGCCCTCCTGTAGTCTCAGGCCTTTCAGCGCTGGTCCTAGACCCTGACTAGCCTGTAGCGGGCTGTTTAGACAAGGACTACAAACCAGAAGAGATGGAGCACTTTTGTGAATTTATTTATCAAAACTTCCACAAACCCAGCCTCATTCACCAACACAAACCGTACAATCAGCACCGCCCCCCAGCCCCACACACACACACACACAGGCCTTGGAGAAGGCTGTCAAGTACTTTGAAGGACAGGAAGGAAGGAATGCAGCTGGGTGACCTTTGGGTTTTCCAGGGGCCTGGGGAGGGCTCTGGTCCCACACCTGGGAAGGTAGGGGGCGAGGAAGGCAATAAATAGAACCGTAAGCCCAGCCTGCTTTGGTACATCGTGGGCGCGGCCCTGCACGTGGCCGGGAACCGTCAGCAAGAGCCAGGAGGGCCAGGAGGGCTGCGGGCACAGCCAGAAGTCCCTCGGAAGGGCCCCAGCGCCCCGCAGAGCAGGAGGTAAGACCCGGCCTGGCTCCGCAGACCCTAGCTGTCCATGTCTGAGGGTGCGGTCTTTTTCCTTGTCCGAACCTTCAGGGAGCGTGAGGTGCCCTGTTGGGGGAGAGAAGGCAGGCACGTCGTGAAAGGTCGGGGCTGCGGCGGCAGTAAGGACAGCCCCCCTCCCTCGTGCCTGCCTCACTACTGACCTCCCGGGCCAGAGGCTTCCTCTTGACCACACGCAGGCTCTGGCTACGGCCCAGCGGCTTCTCTCGGGGCCGGGCTGGTGGCTGGGGGACCACTTCTGTGTCGGACCAACACTCATTATCGGTGTCACTGTCTCGCAGGCCCCCTGCCCCATACCCTGTGTGGAGGAGAAGGAGCCGGGAGGCAAAGCTAGGCATTGACACAGTCTGAGGGCCGGCTGACCCAGCTTTCCTCCGGCCCTGGGGGAAGACGCCATCCCTCTCTCTGGGGGGCACAGTTCCGGGTCCCTCTGCCCACTCACCGATGGGTGGCCTGCGGCGGGGTACCTGGTCCTCCAGGTAGAGGGGATCCTGGTAGGTGGGGGCGGGGCCATCGGGGATGGTGCGCAGGTCCTGCATGGAGAAGCTCCGCAGCCTCCCGGCCAGTGCACCCTGACTCTGCAAGGGAGCAGGAGCCGCTGCACCACCTGACGGAGGGGGCAGGGCTTTGGGCAGAAGGGGCCTCAGGCAGGGGAGCGGCCCAGGGAGATCAAGGCTGACCTGCGAGCAATGCCTGAGGCACAGGCCCAAAGGCAACACGGCAACCCTTCTAGCCCTGCACCCTGGGGCGCCAACAGCAAGCTTGGGCCCAGAGACAACGGCCAGTGTCAGAGCCAGGCAAGTCTGAACTCCAGCTCCGTGCTCCCGCCCACTCCCCCACCTGCCACCTCTCACCCCGGCTCCCCCGGGATGGACAGCTGCTATCCCTTGGCTCCCTGGCTGAGAGCTGGACCTGCCCAAAGGGCCCCGGGGGTGGGGCGGGCTGTTGGAAGGCTGAGGCCCAGGGCACCTTAGCGGCAGCCTGCACAGCAGCGGAGGCAGCAATGTTGAGGCCCCGCTTCCCAAAGCTGAGCACCGTCTCGTAGCTGCGCTCCTTGGCTTGCACAATGTAGGTGTCGATTTCCTGCAGACGGCATCAGGGAGGAAAGCTCAGGTGGACAGCCCAGGTCACTCCTGTTCGGACCCAGAGAGACCACTGGGAGTCATGCCTCCTGGTCCACCCCAGCCACAGAGCAAAGGGCTGCCCACCCACTCACCTGCGCCGCCACCTCAATGATCCGCCACGCTCCAGGCTCCCCACACCATCCCCAGACCGGCTTCCAGCCGGTGTTTTACACCCTCCAAAGATCACTCACCTGTGCGCCCATCTGATTAGTCAAGGCTAAGAAGATAAGGCTCTGTCAAGGCCGCACAGTCCAACAGCAGCAGGACTGGGATTAGAGCCCAGATGTGCCCCAGTGTCTCAAGCCCCAAATCCAGGGCTCCTTCCCTCGCACCCACCCCTACGCTGCCCACCCTGCCTCCCCCTGGGGTACCTTCTCATGGCGAGACAAGGATGGGTGGACAAACTTCCGGTAAAGCATGCTGGCCCCCCTGGTGTAGGGCGAAAGCAGCCACAGCACAAACGCCATCTTGATCTCGTAGTAGAAAGGGAACCTGTGTGGGCAGAGGGGCAAGGTCCACCGGGGAGCCAGGCCAGGGACAGCCAGCCCCTCCCCGCAGCCCACAGAGCCCCGGTGCCCATACCAGGAAATAAAGACGTCCGTGAAGGTCTCCACCGCCATGAAGAGTGCAAAGACAATCCAGTACATCATCCATCGGACCTGGATAGGGTGGGGCGGGGGGAGAGGTCAGAAGCCAGAAGCTGAACTGGCAGTACCAACTCCCCTGTCCCGGGCTGACCCAGCCCAGAGATTCCAGAAAGCCCTTCCCACTGCATTCCCCTGGCACTTGGCTGGCCTTACAGAATTGCCTCTGAGAAACTGCCGCTCATTCCTGTACCCACCCTCAATCAGCTTCACCCACAAGATCTTACAAAGAACCCCAACAGCCCACCCTCCATCCACGCCCATGGTGCTTCAGGATATACCACCAGATCATACCCCTGAAAAAGAGGGAGGCCAGCTTGGACCCCACACACCTCACCAAATCCTACCACACCCCCCGCCTGAGCTGAGCCCTCCTGCCCACCCCCACACTCACATATTCACGAATGTTCTTGGTCTTCACAGCCTTGTAGGAAGCATAAGCTGGGTACAGCATCCCAAACAGCAGCCTGAAGAGCAGCCCCCAAAGCAGAGAAGTGAGAGGGGCACCGTTCCCCACCCCCAGCCAGGTGGCCGACGCCTCCCACCCAGGTCCAAGGTGGCGGTGCCTGCCCTGTTCTTCCTGCCTGGCTTGCACAACCTGCGCCTGAGTCAGAGCCCTGGAGGCCACCTCCCCACCCTGCTGTTTACAAACACCCCAAGCCTGCTCAGGCCTGCAAAAGTGGCCCTTGGGTGCATGATGCAGGGAGAGCACAAGGAGGGTGGGAAGCAGGCTTCGGAGCCGTGAGGGCACCGGGCTGATTCTTCCCCTGGACGTGCCATCAGGCACAGGGCCACCAGATCCGGCAGTGCCAGGTTGCAGACAGAGATATTTCAGCCAGGTGCTGGAGTGCCGAAAGGTGACGAGTAGGACTGAGTGGGGAGGGTGAGGCCGGGATGGTGAGTCACGTGAATGCCTGCTCAGTTGGGAAGCGCCCACAACGTGCCACATCTTGTGTCTGCCAAGGGGCTGCTGGCCGGCCTGTGGTGCTCTCTCCCACGCCCCTGCCTGCAGTGAGTGTCTGAGTGCAAGGGGTTTCGTCTGGCCGGCAGCCAAGTAGGCTTGAGGGTGGGGGTACCAGCACGCGCCCCACCCCCCCCCCATGTCTTGTGCAGGTCCACAGATCCGTTAACCCTTGCAGTGAATGTTGGACGGAGGGGAAAGGTGTGAGGGAGCTCAGAAAGCTCCCCTTTCCACCTGACATCCCCAGTTTCCACCCCAGGGGCAGGTTGAAACCCAGGGACAGAGGGAGTATTAGAACGGCCATACTCACACCACCAGGCGACAGATCATCCACGACACCATTCTGCAGCCTTGGGAGCGAAGGGAGATCCCTCCAGGAAGACAAGAGAGACGCTCACGCCACGGTGGAGGTGTAGGAACCACAGAGGCGCTAGGATTGCCCCTTTGTTAGGCGGAGCCCGCACTAACTCCGCGGTGCGGAGAGCCTGAAGAAAGGGGAGATGAGCGGGCCGGGGCAGGCAGGACCGACTCGGGAGCCGGTACCCGCCAGCGCGCTCTTCCGCCCCACCGCGCCGCTTTGGCAGTTACAGCTCTGACCCGCACTTCCTGCTCCGGAGAACGAAGCGTTCGGCCCTTACCAGGGCCGCTGTGGGTCCCGGGCCAGGGGTGGCTGGTCGCAGCCTGCGCTCCTGCGGGTCCTCGGGACCTCAGTGCGCCCGGCCACCGGCACCAGCTTCGGGGCGGAGTTTGCAACTCACTTGAAAGTTGCACGGAACTGGGCGCTGCCCAACCCCAGGTCTCCGGCGCGGGGCGCAGGCGCAGAGAGGCCCCGGAGGGGGCGGGGCGAGGTCAGGGAGGCGAGAGGCCTGCCCCTTAAAGTGGCGATGCTCAGCCGTCTCGCGGCTGGGGCCCACAGGTTGGAGGAGGCCTCGGAATAGGAAATCTGCAGGTGGGAAGCGGAGACAAAAAGGTGGGTCTGGGCGGGAAGAAACGAAGGGAATTCGGAGTCTTGACTTTATGGAGCCCTTTACTGGCTCCCCTCTCTTACCTCGTTTTTCCGCCCTCTGTAAGATGGGAATGGGCGCGAGATGGGTGGAGGTCCCGGGTTAGAGTCTCAGTTGAGAACTAAAGGTTTGGCTGAGCGCCAGCCAATCTGGCTCTTACAAGCACTAAGTCAGGAGACGGATAAGCGCTTCAAAGATGCCGAGGTGACAGAGACGGAAAGCGGAGGGGACTTGGAGGAGAGGGGATCTGAGGGACTCATCACCCCATCCCAAGTCACCCTGAAGGGTGCGCTGCAGGAGTTGACTTCTCCCGCGTCCCTGGGCAGGCAGATTTGAGAGATTCTGGGTGAAGTCCTCAATCCATCTTCCCCCAGAGTTTGAAATTCCACATATTTTTGTGAGTCGAGAGCACAGATATCCCTGAGAGCTTTAGTATCAAGAATCGCCACTTTGTGGTGCATTTTTGAGTGCAAGGCTTGAACTTTACAAGACCCCTTTTTACCATTTAGGAAGTGGCCTCAGTGGTGGAAAGTAACTTGTCCAAGGGCAGCTGATGGTGTTTGATGGTGCGTGATAAACAAACGTTTGGCTCAGTCTTCTTTTCAAGGCAGCTCGAAGAAGGGGAGGGTAATGGGAAAGCTCCTCTAGGAGGAAGGTATGTATGTGTAAGAAGGTGAGAGGCTAAAAGAGAAGACTTGCACATTGTAACATATATATTAGTATATATGTCACTCCACTCAGTGATATATATATATATATATCACACACATGTATATATATGAAAGTGGTAGTGACTCAGTCATGTCCAATTCTTTGTGACCCCATGGACTGTAGCCACAAGGCTCCTCTGTCCATGGAATTCTCCAGGCAAGAGTCCTGGAGTGGGTAGCCATGACCTTCTCCAGGGGCTCTTTCTGATCCAGGGATTGAACCTGGGTCTCCCTCATTGCCGGCAGACTCTTTACCATCTGAGCCACCAGGGAAGTCATGTATCTATTTCAATAAAAATTATTTTTGAAAAAACAAAAGAAGGCAATCTTTGCTGCTTCTACAGCTTTGCAGGTGGGGTTCCATTCTTTGTATCTCTTCTGCTAGGTGCCCCATTCCTCCTTCTGGACATGGGGAGCACATCACCCACCCCCGACCCAGCACAGCCTCTTCACTGCCTCACAGAGCTAAAGCGAGGCAGCAGAGCTGCCCAGAGCTGCGGGGGCAGTAAACTTGGGCAGTTATTACTTTTTATTACAGCCATAGTTAACCCTCACCATCTATCAAAAGGATGGAGTAACTAGTGATGGAGGCCAGGGAAAGGAGGCTTCTTGGGAATAAACACTCAGTGATTATACAGTCATAATTATGATCATCAGTTTTATTGGTACTGCTGAGTGGGAGAGCTTGCAGTGAAACTGGCCCACAGAAGAAACTCCCCCGAGGCCCTGACGCCTCCTTCTCTCTGCCCCCACCTGCTCACACTGGTTGGAGCTCCTACCTAGACTGGAGGAACAAGAACCATCCAGGGCTAAGGTGCTGGCAGGAAGGTCCTGACCACCATGCAACATTGTAACAAAGGTGAAAAATACCCTTGTCTTCTTGGGATAGAAGGATGTGATTGATCATCTGGACAGCTCAGGAGGAGTGCGGTGAAGTGCAGAAAAGGGAAGGGACATCGATTCTTTTGGAAGTAAGGCTGCCTGGGCTGACTGTGTGCATGTGAACCTCCAGCAGCCTTCGGTACTTGCTGCAGATCTGCCTCTCCTCCGCTACCCTCGATGCCTTCCAGAGTCACTTGACCTCAGCATCACAGGCCTCGCTTTACCCGCATTCACTGGAGAGGAGCTCCCCTGTGCCCACTCTAAGCCAAGCCAACTGGGACCATCTCTCAAAGGGAGACTCTTGGTCCCAATGACTGTGCTTGGAAAATGTAAGAGACAATATGTCAGAGGTCTGTGGCTGAAAGAAGAGCTCAGCAGGGAGGGGTTTGAGGCGGACAGCTGAGGGGGTCACCCTCCTGGGCTTTGGCAGAGTGAGTGGACTCTGCCTCTCACGCCCTTTGGTCCTGAGCTGTTGACACAGTCACCTGGTTACACTGGGTTGCTAAGCAGCTCTCTGGATATACAGATACCTGCCCCTGGCAGGTGACCATGCAGACACACGGTGGGTCCCATCCCCGCCCTGTGCGGAAAGCTGGGCATACAGGAGTGGGGGTGTCTCCCGCCCTCAGAAGGTTCCCTGGTGGGGGGTGGGGGGTGGGGAGTGACAATGATGTTTATCTTTCTACTGGGTGACAAAATGCCAACATGTCTAGAAGACTCAACCCACTTTCCCTGGCAACCTCTCCCCTGGCACAGGATGAGACCCCATTTGAAAAAGTAGGACAGGCATTCCCAGGACAGTGTGGCTGGGGGACCGGAGAGGTACCTGCTATGCCAAGAGTGCGTGAATGCGGTTTCAGAAGGTGGAAACCCAGACATATCACCTGTGAGGTTCTCTGTTGTGAGAAGTGGGCATCTGAGGCTAAAGGTAAGACGTAGGGTACAGGGACTCTGTGAAGATGGTGAAGGACAGGGAGGCCTGGCGTGCTGCAGTCCATGGGGTCACAACGAGTCGGACACAACCGAGTGACTGAACAACAACAGGGCCTCTGAGACTGAAGATGGGCAGGAACCCTCATCCATAGAAAGCAGGTCTCCTCAGAGATCAGCCTTCTCCCTGCCATTAAAGTCTTCTGTGAGACACTGGGTACCTCATAGAGTCCTACAACCAAAAAAGCCTTAGTTTTGTGCCAGACACACGATTCTAAGGGTCACACATATATTGTTGTTCAGCCGCTCAGTTGTGTCCGACTCTTTGCGACCCCATGGACTGCAGCACGCCAGGCTTCTCTGTCTTTCACCATCTCCCAGAGTTTGCTCAAACTCGTGTCCGTTAAGTCACTGATGCCATCCAACCATCTCATCCCCCTTCGCCCCCTTCTCCTTTTGCCTTTGATCTTTCCCAGCATCAGGGTCTTTTCCAATGAGTTGGCTCTTCACATCAGGTGGCCAAATATTGGAGCTTCAGCTTCAGCATCAGTCCTTTCAATGAATATTCAGGGTTGATTTCCTTTAGGATGGACTGGTTTGATCTCCTTGCTGTCCAAGGGACTCTCAAGAGTCTTCTCCAGCACCATAATTCAAAAGCATCAATTCTTCGTCGCTTAACTTTCTTTATGGTCCAACTCTCACATCGGTACAAGACTACTGGAGAAACCATCATTTTCGCTATATGGACCTTTGTCGGCAAAGTGATGGCTCTGCTTTTTAATATGCTGTCTAGGTTTGTCATAGCTTTCCTTCCAAGGAACAAGCATCTTTTAATTTCATGACTGGAGTCACCATCCACAGTGATTTTGTAGCCCAAGAAAATAAAATCTGTCACTGTTTATATTCATACATCAACATATTATAAATGTAATGCATTCAAATCTCACACTAACCCTGTCAGGTAGGTAGCATCGTTAGCCACATTTTTCAGATAAGAAAACTGAGATTCAGATAAGTGAAGGAACACGCTTGAGAGCTCCCAGCTAGTAAGTGGCACAATCAGGATCGGGCAAAGTAGGTTTTATTATCTACTTTACAGAAAGAGATGCTCAGCTCAGGGAAATCAGTCCACTTGCTTGAAATCTCACACCAGGTCTGAGGATGACAGCCGTGATGCATGCTTGTCCAGCAGAGGGGGATGGAGAGACCAACCACTGAGCTTGTCCTTAGCCCTGACCTGACCGAGGACTTGGACTTGACCTGACCGAGGGACAGACTCTGATCTCAGTGGGCCCCAAGACTGTGATCTCCAGGAAGGAAGACCTGGCCATGAGTCAGCCCCAGGTGATGGAGACTAGTCACACTGGCCCAGCACCTGAGTGTCATCAGCGTGAACTCCTGACCCCAGCACCAGCTGACCTTGGGATGCTTACTCCTTCCTTAGAGGGAGGGGAGCAGGGAAGAAGGGGGTCTGACATCTGATGCTGGCCCCTTCCAAGCATCAGGGACAGAAAACACAGCTTTGTTCTTAAGGAAATAGGAGCTGCAAATCATCGCCATTGGATACCTGAGAGCTGTCAGAGGGTGGGATTTTTATTTGAAGCAAGTGAATCAGATCATTGCCTCCAAGTGCCTCTGGGCATCTTGCTACCTGGGGGCCCTCACGCCATCTGGGCACTGGGAAGCGCCTCCCCCGCCAGCTCTGCGTCTCAGAGCCTTCTATTCCCATGCACAGCAGAGGGCGGCAGAAGCTTGGTTGTCAGGGGCCGCTTCCTCAGGCCCCTCCCTCCCTCCGTCTCTCTCCACTCCGGGGAGGGTCTCTGTGGTTCAGAGGGGTGCCAGGACCCCAGGGTGCTCTCCACTCCTGGCACCTGCCCAGATACCTCAGGTGCTTGGCCGGCCCGTGGACACACCCAGAAGAGCCCACACAACACAAGGCCCATGTCCCCAAGGTAGGACTGAACCAGAGGGTGGTCAGAGGCAGGTGCAGCTACGGGAAGGAAAAGCAGAAGGCCTTTACCTGGGTGGTCTCCTGTCCCCCAGGGAAGCAGACTCAGGGTGAGAGAAGGAAAGTCCAGTGAGAACAGAGAGCGCTGGGAAGAAGTCAGGGTCGGCTGTCGTTATTGCTTCGGGCAGAGGGGCTTTGCCCCCCAGGAAGTCCGGCTGGTACCCAGAGGCTGGTACCACTATTCCCATCATTATCAGCCATGGGGTGGGCACACCAGGGGGTGAGTGGAGGAGGCCGGGTACCGTGTGCCCCTGCAGGAAGAGAGGCAAGGTCACGGAGGAGATGCCCTTCAGGCTGCACTGAAGCTGTGCATGTGCACACGGAGACGGGCGTGTGGGCAGGTGTGCGTGCGTGTCACTGAAGGAGTGTGTCCACGCACACATGTGCCTGCGGAGGGCACGTGGCGTGGGAGAGTGCAGCCGGCAGTAAGGAGGATGTGGCCACAGGCTGCAATGCGGAGCACGAGCAGGTAAACAGACACCCCGAGCACCAACAGGAAAAGATCAGAGGGTCAGAAGGATACGCCGAAGAACAGGAGGGAGCAGTTTGGCCGCTCTCCCTCCCTCCCAGGACCCCTCCCCAGGCCAGGCCAGAGCACGTGGCAGGCAGCAGAGCAAGGGCGGCTGCGGGCGGGGTGCACAGGCGTCCACGCGGGAGGGCACTGGGCGCTGGGTTGCCAGGTGCGTACACAAGTCTTCGTGCTGATTCCAGTGAAGACCAAGGGGCCTCCCTGGGCTACAGTCCATGGTGCGGCCCATGCTCACTGGGGTGTGTACATGTGAGAGCGCGTGTGTGGATGGGCTATGTGTGTCTTCCCACAAGCACATATGTGGCTCACCTGGAAGCTCCCACCCAGCCTCTGGCGTGGCCCGAGGAACCCCGAGGCCCCCGCACCCCCCTAGGCACTGAGGTCCACCACCACGTGTCGGTACACCAGCGTCTGTCCCTTGAAGCTGGGCGCCAGGAGCAGTTGGGCATCCCCAGCCGGCATGTAGCAGAAAGCCCGGGGGGCCTGCACGGCCAGCTCTTGGAACCGCACGAACTTCTGCCGCCCGTCATCCCACTGGTAGATCTGCGTGAAGGAGAAGTCGCTGCCCAGCGCCAGGTAGCGGCGGCCACCCACCAGGAAAGGCTGCAGGGCCAGCGAGCCCCGGGAGGGCAGGGCCTGCACCTCGGAGAAGCGGGCGCCCTCCCAGCGCAGGATCTTGGAGTCACCGATGTAACGGCTGAGGCATAGGTAGCTATCGCGGCCCGCACGGAAGTGTTTCACTGCCTGGGCATCGGGCACCTGGGTCACCTCGCCCTGAGCCACAAACTGTTTCTGGGTGCGGCTCCACTGATAGATGACGGGAGCCTGCGAACTGCTGGACACGATCAGGCGCGGCTTTCCCTCGCCATCCATGAATTCCAGGTCGGTGTCCCGGTGCCAGGGGTGCAGGGCCTGGTGGGAGTAGAAGCCGTTCTGATGCCAACGGTAGAGGCTGGTGGCTCCCGCCTTGGAGCTGTCAGCCACAGCGAAGTACCAGTCGCCGTCGATGCGGAAGGCCTCCAGGTCGTTGGGCTTGCGCACACGCTGAGGGTCAATGTCCTGCAGCTTGGTGAAGCGCGTGGTGTTGGGGTCCCAGTGGTAAATGTAAGAGCCCCCAAACAGCTGGGCCACCACCACGTACAGCTGGCTGTCCACCACCATCGGCTTGCAGTGCACTGCAGAAGGGGCTGCAGGGTGGAGGGGAGTGGTGTTAGGGGGCCCCCGCCACACCGTCAGAAAAGAGGGCCGGGCCCCTCCAACTAAGGCTGTCTGCTACAGTATTCTCTCCCTGCTGAACATCCATCGTGTGCTCCATGCTTTCTAATTGTCTCACAGCTAAGAATCCATCTCACCCTCACCCTCCCTTTGCCTTTGACCCCAAGTTCCAATATAAGCTGACACTGAGCACAAAATACGTGTTGCTAGATATTGACCAACTGAATAACCGTCACGTCAGCTTACTGTGTACAAAGGCTCAGTGATAAAGAATCGCCTGCCAATGCAGGAGACACAGGTTCTATCCCTAATCCAGGAAGATCCCACAGGCTTCAGAGCAACTAACCCAGTGCACCACAGCTCTTAAGCCTGTGCTCCAGAGCCTGGGAGCTGCACCTGCTGAGCCTACCTGCGCTGAGCCCACCCGTGCCACACCTGCTGGAGTCTGCATGCTCTCCAGTGAGAAGCCCATGCAGCAACGAAGACGCAGCACGGCCACAATTAAATAAATAAACAAGGAAAAATATATATACATGATTCAGCTTAGGCATCCCCTCTACCAGGAAACCTTCCCTGATTGCCCAGGGTAGGCCTCTCCTTTGGCCCCCAGAGCACCGTGGTCATATCTTCCTCCTAGGACCTGTGTATTATGTGGATGTTATCTGTGTATGTATCAACCTCCCCCCAAAGACTAGAAAAGTTCTTCTTGTGGGCAGAGACCATGTCTCATCTATCCTTCTACCTGTAGGAACCCAAGGAAGAGGAACAACAGAGCCCACCCCACCCTCAGGGCCACCACAGCCAGGTCAGGCCTAGATACCTGGGATTCTATCATAGTCTCGAAGCTGCCTTTCAACGTAGTCCCACTTGAGGATGGTGCAGGAGCTGGCTCCTGGCTGGGCCAGAGCCAAGTAGAGGTCGCTGGAGTAGAGGAAGGGCTCGGCTGACACTGCTGGGAAGGACAGTGTCTGGTACAACACGAAATCTGCAGGGATGCGGGGTTAGGGGTTAGGGTTAGGTTAGGGAGAAGGGTTAGGGCTACTCGACTGGCAAGGCAGGGCAGCGGGAGCATCCCAGGGGAGGCCCAGCCTGATGCCCAAGGTGGGGCACCTCCTACCCGTGGTGATGCAGTCGAACTCTCGCAGCGGGAGATCCTGCACCTTGTGCTCCTGGAAGCGGGGCGGGCTGGCGCAGTAGATGGGCGCCACCGTGGTGTTGGTGTGCGCCAGCCACTCCACCAGCCACTTCACCTTGCAGTCACAGTTGAGCGAGTTGCCCCGCAGGTCCCTGCATCATGAGGGTGATGGAGGAGGCACAGAGGGGGCAGGCTCTCAACTGCTCTGCCCACCCGGGCCCTCTGGGTTTTCAGTAGATACTGGCAAGGCTGCTGCTGGCTGCTCATGTGGCATCTTTGTGCCGGTTAGAGAAAGGTCCCCCACGGGGTGGGTTCAGCCCCGCGGACACGTGCTTGACCAGGAGAGTACAGGCTGAGTTTCAGCCCCTACTTGCCTCCTTGGCCAGGGGCCTTTTCCCATGTATGACCTCCACATCTGTCTGTTTCATCCCCGTTCCTCCACACCTTCCTCATTCTGGGGCTTTTGTTTTCTTGTAGAAATACTGGTCAATGACTGTGGCTATGCTACTGGACTTTAACACAGATTCAAATCAAACATATGTTTATAGAACTGCCATATGACCCAGCAATCCCACTCCTGGGCATACACACCGAGGAAACCAGATCTGAAAGAGACACGTGCACTCCAATGTTCATCGCAGCACTGTTTATAATAGCCAGGACATGGAAGCAACCTAGATGCCCATCAGCAGACGAATGGATGAGGAAGCTGTGGTACATGTACACCATGGAATATTACTCAGCCATTAAAAAGAATTCATTTGAATCAGTTCTAATGAGATGGATGAAACTGGAGCCCATTATACAGAGTGAAGTAAGCCAGAAAGACCAATACAGTATACTAACGCATATATATGGAATTTAGAAAGATGATAATGATAACCCTATATGCAAAACAGAAAAAGAGACACAGATGTACAGAACAGACTTTTGGACTCTGTGGGAGAAGGCGAGGGTGGGATGTTTTGAGAGAACAGCATCGAAACATGTATATTATCTAGGGTGAAACAGATCACCAGCCCAGTTTGGATGCATGAGACAAGTGCTCGGGGCTGGTGCACTGGGAAGACCCAGAGGGATCGGGTGGAGAGGGAGGTGGGGGGGGGGGTTCGGGATGGGGAATACATGTAAATCCATGGCTGATTCATATCAATGTATGGCAAAAACCACTACAATATTGTAAAGTAATTAGCCTCCAACTAATAAAAATAAATGGAAAAAAAAAACATATGTTTAAAAAGCACATGTTCAAAAAGTACACCGTAGGAAGGAGATTCAGGAGGGAGAAGACACACGCATACTGAATGGTTTCCCAGGGGGCGCTAGTGGTAAGGAACCTGTCTGCCGATGCAGAAGACCTAAAAGATGAGGGTTCGATCCCTGGGCGGGGAAGATACACTGGAGGAGGGCATGGCAACCCACTCCAGCATTCTTGCCCAGAGAATCCTATGGACAGAGGAGCCTGGCAGGCTACAGTTCATAGGGTGGCAAAGAGTCCGACATGACTGAGAGACTTGGCACGCACAGAGCTGGTTCACGTTGAACCAACGTTAGCAGAAACCAACACAACGTTTTAAAGAAATTATCCTCCATTTAAAAATAAATTAAAAAATAAAATACTTCCTAAATTGGAAAAAGTATACACATAATGTCTTGCATGCATTTTAAGAGGGTCCACAAATGCCTTGAAGAACCTCAACTTGAAAGGCTACCAGTCTCTGTATAAATGAACCTAGCCTTCTCCCCCACCCAAACCTAAACCCTCCCAGCCTGTCAAGACCTTATGATCTTCCAATTCTGGCTCCCACACTGCTCCCTCCAGGGCCACGCCCCTCTGTGCCACTGTCAACAAAAGGTAGGACTCAGGCCTTACAAGTCACTCAGGATGTCCAGGGGCCGAAAGATGTCTCTAGGCAGTGTCTGCAGGTTATTGTTGGCCAGTGACCTGAAAGAGAGACCTCTAGGTCACCCACCTGAAGGTCATGCCCAAGGCCAAAGGCCACAGGAGACAGGGCTTTGGGCCAGTGTATGTGCATGATGTACTCACAGGTGCGTCAAAGACTTGAGTCCTCGGAAGGTAAACTTGGATAATGCCCAGATGTCGTTGTTCTCAATGAAGCTGGAGAAAACAGAACTTATTTCAGCCACCATTCTGCACCCAGACCACTTCCCCGACCCCAGCTGCATCCCTGTGGCCCTCCTGGACTCCAGCCCATGGCAGGCTTTCATTCTGAGTCTGGACATGAAGCCTGTGGTGACAGGCGTCCAGGCGGGATGGTTTAGGCAGAGGGATGGATGAAATGACCTTCTGCTCGGGCCCTGCAGTGAGAGGATTCAAGGGCACTCCTCCCACCTCCCCCTAGCCCTCCTCACTTCGTCTCTGTTCTCAGCCCTCCTCCCAACTCCCCCTTCCTTCCCACGCACAGGTACTGCAGGTGTGAGAGTCCTGTGAAAGCATTGTCTCCAATCAGTGTAAACTTGTTGGAATTGAGTAACCTGAAGAGACAAAGGCGGATTAGCGTTTCCAAGGGCACACCTGCCGTGCCAGCTCCCAGTCAGTTGCCTCACCCCCAAGCCATGCCTCCCACCCTGGGGACCCTAGCGGAGAGTCCCGGAGCAGCCTGGGTGGCAAGTCCAGGCGGGAATCTGCTCTGGTCCCAGAAGCTCCCAGGGCCCCCATTTACTCCTAGGGCATACCTCTCCTGTCAAGTTGGGTCCTTCCCCACCACCCTGCCTCCCACCCTCACCCAGCTCACTCCAGTTCCTCTCAGAGGGATGTCAGTTTGAGGATAACCACGCTTATCTTTTCTTGTGACTGGGGCTTCAAACATAAATAGCTCCCTTTAGAATTCCAGACCCTCCTGTCTTCCCTCCCTTTCAGCTCCAGGCTCTCTCCAAACCCTGATCCTTGGGATCACTTGTCTCTAAGGTGACCCCTCTCACCTGCA